TTTCTTCTTGCTATAATTCAGACACATTACCTAATCAAAACACACACTATATTTGCCTTTATTGCCTTTAAATTTATCTGCAACAGGATTCTGGCACCATTTGCCATCTGTGTGTTCATTTTGAGCATGTTAGCATACTTAGTTAGCTTTTAGGTCAAAACCCCACTGTATCTACAGTAAGTACAGCCTTACAAAGCCTCTTTGTAGACCCATAGTCTTGCAGCTTGTCTTATTTATCTATAGGCTCCTCTGCCTATAGACATTAACACTACTCAACGGAATTTGAACTCTTGTGTTCCCCTTTCCATATAAAGACACAAATACGCCTACATTCATAACCTCTAGTGACCACCTCACACCCACATACTGCACATTTACAGAGAAAAAAAGCAGTGAGTGAGCAGACAGCCAAATGAGAAAATTAAGTGAAAGTCAGTGGAGCTAAAACCTGTCAGAAGTTCAGCTCGTGATAACCATTCCTAGAGTGATTAGAGAGGGAAGAGGCTGGAAAATAGACAGAGGGGGATTATGGCAAAGTAAGAAGAGAAAGCTGGGAGTAGATGGTGGAGAAGAAAAACTGATAAAGATAAAAGAACAAAGGAGGATATCTGGAAATATTTCAGTTTCATAACTTTTTCATGGCTCTTGGCTGCCTGCGGCTAAGCCAAAATATGAAGCTTCTCTTATTTGCCAGTCGAGTGTCTTGTTAAACACCAGCATATGGTGCATGAAGGTCCAGGTCCCACCCAAATCCCCTTTTAGTTTTATTCCTTCAAAGGGTCAGACACCAGTCCATCATAAAAACATTACTTCTTAGATATTTTCTGGTGTATCTTAACATTATCCAATTCCTGAGCTGCTCCAGATGTTTGCTTACTTTAATTTTAGAGGATTTGTTTTAACTGTCTGTCTTGGATGAGCTTTACAACTGACACGTGTTTCTTACTGCCACTAATTATGGTTAGGTTTCAGGGTTACCTAATGACTTTGTTGCCCACAGGTGTTGATTTGCTTTAAGCTTTAAAGCTGATTATAGTTGGTTGGATATGTTACAGATGAGCAGGTGCCAGTCGGGTGTGTGTTTTTACTGTGGCTGAAGGGGGCTTTGAAGCCTACAGGTGCTGACTTGGGGTCATTTTTATAGCTGGTTTGATGTCTCACAGGCCAACAGGTGCTGAAGTGTGCAGCTTTTTTCCCTGGTTGTATCAGACAGTTCAGGGATTGATGTCTTACAGAATTGTTAAATGCTGAAATTTAGTTGTTTTGGGTTTGATTACTGTATCCATGTAGGGAAGCAGGGAAGGGTTTTATTGTTGGTTAGTGTGGCTGACAAACTGCCAGAATCACTCAGGACCAAATGGAGCTTGACCAAAAACAGACTTGTTGGTTTCTGGTGAGCAAAAAGATTTTTCTTCTGATAAATAATGACCTACATGGACTGTGTCTGCCAGTCCCCCATTTCTGTTTAAACAAAAGTCTGTGAGGCTTTACTAAGGCACAGTGGTGCTATCATCTGCATGTAAATGCGAGTGACAATGTTAAGATGCTGATGGTTATTGTTCAAAGATGATGAAAAATAATAACCTGACTGCGGCAGAGGGTTTGTTACACAGAACCGTATGGAAAGTCTTGTTGGAAACTGTTTGTAAAAGGGCAGGCAAATACTTGGCAGGTGATTGGATAAACCATCTGTCTATCACGGGCGAACTTCAACCAGTCAGATCAACAAACCATATAACGTAGTCAAACTCTTACTGAAGCTAATGGGGATAGCATTGCGAAAAGCTTCAGTGCCGTTCTTTGTTCCTCTTTCAATGGAGGAAGTAGTTCCTCGAAGGATGCTGATTGGTCTAAACCACGCTGGTTAGGATACGCGTATAACTTGAAGATTGGCGAGATGGATTCTCGCGTGATCTCAAGTTTAGAAACGTCTGGCGATCAACATAGTTACACAATTATACCCGAAATGGATGAACATGAATGTACCAAATGTGATGCCAATCCATCCAGTTGTTGTTGAGACACTGTCAACCTGATAGTGGTGTTAGAGAAACAATCAGGGGATCAATAACGTCTTAAAGTTGCTTTCTCTGGGGACCATGAAAAAACACCTCCTCCCTCCTGCTCACCATGTGTAATAGAGCACAATAAGAACCCTGCAGACAGTGATGGACAGATTTATATGCCAATACCTCAGAGGTTCATGAGGCCATTTCCATCCACAAAGGGAGAAGTCCTCTTATTGGTTTTCCAGTGCAGATGTTAGCCAAGCTCACGAAAATAGCCAGTTACATAACTCACTGGTTTTGATTTGAGCAGAGCAGAACCAGGAGACACCAAATACTGCAAAATGAGATTGGTATACACAAAAGACTTGTCTGCCAAAAGACAGAGGACGTTCTCTTGTAATTTACAGCTCAGTCCAGCGTGACTCTGAAGTGTACTTGAGCTTCGTCTGTGATAAATTGAAAAGGCCTGGTTGGCGCGAAGCCATCTTAAATCAGCTAAATTAGCTGTGTGTGTGTGTGTGTGTGTGTGTGTGTGTACCTATGGGTTTGAGGGGATGTCTATAATCAGGTTAATAGGAACAGGAAATGGAGCTTCTCTGAGAGATGGAGAGGGGTAACAGAGGAAGTACAGAAAGGGGCGAGGGAGAAACAGGGGGGGATAATATTTCTTGGCTTGGATTCCAGTATATGACTCCGCAGGTCTGGTTCTCCCACTCCCAATGTCTCTGTCTATCTCTCTTTACCAGAGGGGGATGTGAAAAGTGTAAACTTACATGAAGTCTTTGTGATCATCATCTAAACATGACTGGCAGCAGTATGTTTTTATAAGTCCTCTGTTTATAAGAAAGCAGTGAAAGGGGGCTATTAACATACCTTATTACATGTAATCCATGCATCTAAGCCTCATGAGTTATGGTCTACATACATGCACTGATCCCAGTTTCTATTACTCTCGCTGTCTTCTTCTATGAAGCATATCCTGTCAACATGCACAAGAGACCACATATTCAGCAGTTCGTGATTTTGTCTCTTGTCCGATGGAGTCTGCAAGGTGCCCCCAGAATAATTACAGACTGTATAGTGTTCAATTATCAAACAAGTTGATACATTAGTAGAAAACATTTATATAATGATTAATAAAATAAAAATGTTATTGCAAAATACATTTTTAAGAAGGCTTATACCTTTTTCTTTCCTCAGTATTTTCTTACTTTTTTCTATATAAATGTAATAAATTCAATAGTGTGTCTGCCTATCTCTTACAATTCACTTTCCTGCTTTAACAGTTTGTTGCTTTGTAGCAAAATCTTCATGTTGTGAGCAGCTGAACAAACCGTAAACACAACACTGACATATTATCACCTTATAAAGTTGCTATGACAAACAAAATTGCTCATTTACACATCCAACAGACACACGTTGACATTAGCATTCATTAGGAGTTCTGGCGCAATATTCACTCTCCTTTTAGCTCTGTTTTTGGTCTCCACCATCTCCTGAGGGAAATATCTGGCTGCAAATGACTAACTTTGTCTTTATCTGGTTGACGTTTGGTGCTGGTAGCGTACAGTGAGTTACTCTATTGCAGAAAACTGCTGCTTGTTGCAGCTAAAAACAAGATTCATGAGAACAGTTAGTGAATTAAAATAGTAAAGCTGCGGGCTGCAAAAACCCCAAAAATAAACTGAAGATACTGAATCACTTTGTAAGAACCAAGAGTCATATGATAATTCTCTGTGGGTCCGTCATTACGAGTAGGCCCTTTCATATTACGCATATTCTACCCATTGATAATAAAGTCTACAGCCAAGATTTTCAAACTAGCACTTAACACAAAGTATAGCTGAGGCCGATAGGAATGTCATTAGTTTAGCAGGTATTTGGTCATAGATGAAAAGTCAGTAGATCAGCAAAGTTATTACGGTTCATCCTAAAGGGGAAATATATGTATCCAATTTCATAGCAGTCCAACCAATATTGGTGGTGTTAGAGGATACCGAAGTCATTAGGACTGAGCCTCTGGGGAACACGAATGTCTGCACAAAATTCCATAGCAATACGTCGAATATGTGTTGACACATTTCCAAATGGACCAAAGTGGTGCACCGATTGACTGAACCGCCATCCCATGGGCCCTTCCACTAGCTTGGCTAAAAAGTCTATAGCTACTTTGGGAGCACAGTCCAGACTCCATATGGTAGTTCTCTATTTTGTTTTGGCCAGACACATTTGCTACAAAAGCATCATTATGAAAGAACAAATAGCAGCTTTTTATTTGTGTCTCCATGTATGTGGTCTCTGTCTGCACGTTCTTTTTTAATCCCACTGTTCTTCTCCTCCTCTGTACTCCCTCACAAGTCCGAGAATTGAATAAATTATACTCAAGGAATTCTTTGGCTCAGTAGATATAAAGAGTGTCATTGTAGTGCCGGCACAATGAGACACGGACGGATTTATATGGAGCCTCTGTGATATATACGCAGCTCAGTGACAGACGGATGCAGACTGTGCAGAGTGCAGAGAAGAAGCCATTGTCCTGCAGGTCAAACTGGACTCCGAGCAAAGTGCTTCACATTGATGTTTGAAATTCCTCCAGTGTGCTCCAAAATGACTGTATGTGTGTGTGATACGGTTCTCACAGTTCATCCCACATCTCGGAACACCATCTATATACATATATACAGTATATTACTAAATTATTTTTTTTTTGTTGTAAATATTGAGGTTAAATTACCAGAATTTCTAGTATTTATTAAGTTAATCTATTATTAGATCTGCTTATTTTTCTTTTGTAGGTTGCAGCTAAATGTTTTATAAATATTCATTAAGAATGTTTGTTAGTGCTGAACTTCTCCTTATTGACATGGCGTTCTTATATGAGAAAATGAATACGCACGTCTCTTATTTCAGGATTAGATTATTTATGAATCAGTTAGTAAGCAACAGTCTCTGGCATCCTGTGTAATTGCTTCTTTTGCTTCATCCTTGCAGTGCTGCTGGCGTGTGTGTTGTCCTTCAACGTGGACCAGAAAAATGGTTTGTCGTTCAGCGGGCCACTGGAGGATATGTTCGGCTACACTGTCCAGCAGTTTGAGAACAGCGAGGGGAAATGGTGAGCGTCATCGACTGTACTTTTTAAAGAAGTGCAGTTGTCTTAACATTCATCATCTTTCACCACTACGCAATTTCCTCCTCGTCTCACAGATGCTGATTGAAGCGCAAGCCCATTTCAGAAATGCACCATGTGTTGGCAGTTTAACACGATGTTAGGCTGGAGCTCGTAACATTTCCATAAAACTTCCAACATGGCACAACTCTGAACTGAATGTGGTCGGATTAACGTGAAGGCAGCAGCAGCAGCGCAGAGTGAAATTTTACCTCATTAGGGCCACTGTAATAACTTCAGGTATCATCTCTTCTGCACAAAGAAAAAAAAAAAGAGTTTGATAAACCGCAAACACTGTGACTGAGCCAGTTTCTTGAGCCGATAATTCTCCTGAGAAAATGATTTGACATTAAACAACCAAATTAAATTAATAAGACCAGCATTTCCTCTTTGTATCTTCAGTTCTCATTCATGACAGCTGCATGGATGAAATCATGCACTTCCCATCTTAACTTGCTATCATTCTACGCACTGTCGGACATCAGAACTTAACATCTACTGTAAAAATGTTAAATGATGATATTAATGAGAAGCTGGGGGGTGGGCAAAGATTCATGATGGTCAATCTTTAACGTCAAAATAAAGTTTAGAAGAACCCTGAAGCTGATTTTGTGGATGACATCTGTAGTACCATTAAAACAGTCTGTTATCCTTGTTGTATAGGGTTCAAAATGTAAAAAAAATCCAATCCATTCAGTTTGGATGGAAACCAGTGTGCAGATTAAGTTGTCTTAACAAGTAGTATCTTTTGTGTTTACAAAACTGGTATCTCTTCTCTTGTAGTCCTCATAATTCTTAATTTTCTTTATCAGACAAATGTGTTGTGTAAGAGAGGCCCGGCCAAAAATGTCCCCGCTTAAGAACATTTTATTATACCAAGAGCAGTACTCAGTTCAGTTTAATTCAAATCCACAACATTAACAAAAGCAAAAAACCCAAATTCACCTGTAAAACTAAGTGAAGGTGAACAGACCAGCTGCTGCTGTAACGGGGATCTTTGCCTTTACTACTCTAGCTGTTAACCTTAAACTGCCCACCAGAGTATCCACATACTGAGCGTGTAAATACACTGAAACCAAGCGTCTGTGGCTCCTTGCTAAAACTGTCTGGGAGCACACTTTTTAAAACCTTGTAAAATGCTATTAGAGTGTGGTTAATGGCTCTGTGTCTCTCACTCTTTTCCTGACATCTCCCCTCCAGTTACTCTTTATTTGCCAGTCTCTCCAACGTGTTGCAACCCTACAGCTGATTGTTTCCCACGTATCTGTACCTGCTGCTGCTCTGCACTGCACTGATGATCTTATCAAGTTCATATGAGCTCAGTTACAGTAATTCACTCACCGCTAATCAGTGGAGCCAGCTGTGGCCGGACCTCCACACTGTTCTCTGAAAAACACATCAGCTCTGTTGCGTATCCAGATAGCGCTATTTTGTTCCAGTTCAGAGAAAGGTATTACCCAAACAGGTCTGAGTGATAAAGGCCTGATTGAAGAACTTGAACTTGAGAGGCAGCATAGGACATTAGATATCTGAGGAGTGAACGGGAATGGATGAAAGGAAGGAAATATAGAGCTAAAACAGAATGATGGAGAAGGTTTCAAGGAAATGAGGAGTGAGGGGGCAATAAAATTAGAGATGATATGTAGCCCTCAGTGGGTTCATGTGGGAGAATATTATAGTGGGAAAAGATGGCGATGGTGAGGTGATGTAACACGCAGGTTGCCACAAATGGGAGGTGACTGATTAGACACAGATGTCTCCTCCAGACCTCCACCCTATAGCTCCTCAGTGCATCTCAGCAGTGTTGAAAGGTGGACCAACTGCACAGAGAAAACGTGTTACATGTGACTTTTGTCTCTTCTCACAAGATGCTGACATTAGATATCTGAATAAATTGCCAGGTTGCTGTCCACCAAGAGTCCACCAAGTACACTCTTTCGGCAATCAAACAAATTATGGGTTCTTTATTTACAGAAATTATGAGAAATTTAGAAAAACTTTATGACCGTAAAGAAATCATTAAGGAAATATGCTCATTCACTTTCTTGCAGAGAGTTAGATGAGAAGATCTCCACTTATAATCTGTCCGTTAAGCATGAAGATACAGCAGGTTGACATTGCCTTCTTATTTAACAGACATATATATGAGCATGGTATCGATCTTCTAACTCAGCAAATGCATAAATTATTAGTTATAAACTTTAATAAAAATACAGTCCTTCAAAGTTCAAACATGGGTGTGATTCTTCAAATAAGCAAATCATTTAGTTTTCTTTTTATAGATGTTTGGGACAATGAAGCAATCCACTGTTTAGACTGAAGAATACAATGAGATTTAATATATAATAGACTAAAAGTTTATAAACAGAGGATATGATTAGTTAATGATAAGCTGTGGCTGATAGGAATGTTTTATTATTTTATTATTAGTGTTGGAGCTATTTGATCATAAAACATAAAGTATTGGACAAATTAGATCTTGACCTGATGGTGCCGCTAGATTAAAAAGTCACCATAGGTCATTAGGGGTTAATCACCCGGGAACTGTGAATGTGTGCATCTAATTTCATGGCAATCCATCAAATAGTTGTTGAGATGTGTCATTCTGGACCGAAGTGGTGGACCAACCTGAAATTACCACCTCTAAAGCCATGTTACTAGCATGGCTACAAATCAAGACCATTTACCTTGAAAGAAGTTTAATAATCTGAAGAAAATGGTGCCTGATAAGGTTATTTAGCTTGGATAAGACAAATAGATTTAAATGATATATTTTGACTTTCTTGCAGTGATGTAAGCAGGAAAGTGAAAAGTGAAATATATATCAGTCTTTAACAATCTGTAGTAATTCTTTTAATCATCATTTCCAAATGAATTGAAAGAATAAGCATCTATGTTTGTCATAAATAAATCAGTGATATTGCTGTGTGTTCCTCAGAGGCAGCTGAGAGTGTGTTGTTGTTCCACTCTGTGTCTCTCTTCAGATGACCAGGGCCCATTAGAGTTCAGGAATGTTAATAAGCCCGAGCGTTTGGAGGGAGGCAGATGACCGACTTTTTTTTAGCATCAGTTTACTGACGGAGTTACACGATGTTATGAAACTCAGCCCACACATGGACGTGGATGTGTAACGCAGGCGGGCACGCAGTTGTGCATGCTGAGCATTCTTGTCCAGTACACACCCGATACGCACACACACTGTACAATGTAAAATAATACGACCGATCTGCAAACATCTGCAACATATCATGCATTAGTATGTAATGAGGTGAAAATTAAGTGATAATTAAGTGTTTATATATATATATATATATATATATATATATATATATATAAAATGATATGACAGCCACATATTCATAAGCCAGTCATAATAAACTATTACAGCTCAATAAGCCAATTTAAACCTGCTGTTTATGTTAAATTTAACTATGAAAGTATAATTGAGGCAAATCTAGATTGCTGTGAATTCACCACTTCCAGTCTGCTAGTGTTCAATTTCTGCAATAACATTTTTAAAACTGTTATGCTGCTGTGTGGTTGTTGGCAGGATTTCTAACCAACCAATCACAACTGTATTTATTGATTCAGGGTTCTGATTGGATCGCCGCTGTCGGGCCAGCCAGCTAAACGGACAGGAGACGTCTACAAGTGTCCTGTGGGGAAGGGGGACAACACGTGTGTCAAACTGGAGCTGCCTAGTAAGAATACTTATTACGTACATTTTGTATCTGTTTGAATACTTATTAACTGCTTTTTGTGCATGCATGGTTGATGAAATATATGCATCACTGTCTTCAGCAAATGTGCATTGAAGTCTGTGTATATAGAGAGCTGAAATGATTAGTCAATCAGTTAACTGATGAACAGGAACTGAATCTCTTTCGTCATGTTCTTAAGCCAAAATGTCAAATGTTTTCTGGTTTCAGTGTCTCATATGTGAGGATTTACTTCTTTTCTCAGTTAGATCTAATTGTAAATTGAATATATTTCGGTTTTAGACTTTGGACAGACAAAACAAGACGTATCAGGATGTCACCTTGGGCAATTTTTTGGCATTTTAAAGACAAATCAATCAGTCAGTCCTAATATGAACTGTATTGTGTGTGGAGGTTTTTATGCAATTGTAAATCTACTGTACATCTGACTGGATCCAGTGGGGAGGAAGTGAGGTCCATCAGAACAGGAAGACAGTAAATAAACAAAGTTTAATGTTTCATCTTTCCAATTATATCTTAATTAAACAGATAAACACAACTTTGCTCCCGGTCAGCAGTCTGCAAAGCCTCTATTAGTGTCTGCCTGTGTGTCGACCCAGGAGGACTGAGTGCGTACATTAGATCTGCATACCAACTCTCTGCTCAGGGATTAAGACTTTTCAACACAGCCGTTCGCACCTCAGAATTATCAAGTAACAGGAGTTACAGTTCTCTTGCTGTGGGTAAATTATTGGCTTTAAGTGTTGTTGCAACCAGGGCTGGAAATGATAGTCCATCACTCTCCAGTGGAAAGTGCTTTATTTGTTTTGTCTTGGATGGGATAGACAGAAAATCTCCCAAACTCAAGTTTAGTCTGGAAAACATCCACTGGAAATTGATTGAGCCTGGCAGCCGGAGTCAGACCACTCAGCAAACAACAGGGAGTGGTTTACATGATGACAACAACAACAGTGCTGCAGCAGCAACTGCACAACTTACCAGATTTATTCAAAAAACAATTTTGTCGACATGTTGATGTTTCATTGAGGGAAAGGGCTTGTCAGTCACACATAAGTCTGATCCCTGCAGAGTCATTAAGGTCTTTGCTCACTGACGCCGCCCTAGTCTCACATTGACATACTAGGTATAGACAAGGAGCGAAATATGCCAAACCATAATTTGTGTGGTTATGTTGTAATTTTTAATCACGTTTCCATCCGACCAATAAAATTGAAAGGTGGTTATGCCAGGGCTATTGTGTGTGATGAAATACTGCCAAGAAAGTCCCAATATCCATGGTTTGTTTGCTAAATAGCACTGCAATATAGTTACATTCAGTAAATGACAAACAATGAACAGCACAATTTCAAATTCAGGCTGCAGTCTTAGAAGTAGAATCTAGTTTGCAAATGGTATTCGACCTGTATCTTTCTTTGATTTTCAAGAGGTCATTCCAGACCAAGAGGGACTGTGTGATAAGTCTGATTTGTTCTGATAGTTATCTGGAGTTCACAGTTCACTGAAGACAAAGCGTTTATTCTCCTCTGCAGAGCCACAAACTTGCTTTTGGCCCCACGTGGACGTATCATGAGGTGCAGGAGCTTGGTCCATGTCACTCATTTTATCAGATAGTAAAGAAATAAGGAAAGGTTAATAAAAAGATCTTGTACTTCTGTGTTCTCTTCTTCAGTATTTTCTAGTTATCATGAAGACAGGAAACAACACATAATGAGAAAGCTTGCTAATTAACAAATGTTAACATAATTTGGCTAATTAGCAATAATAAGATGGTGAGGTAAATATTATGCTAAACAGTGTTCAGCAGGTATACTGGTAGATGTTTCAGATACAGGTTCCAGTTTTTGTTGGTCATTTTAAAGCCTGACTTCATTGCAGGCTGAATTTGTCTGTTTCCCTCTTCTGTTTTTTCTCTCTTGGAGAAGTAGGATGTAATACGAAAGCAGCCATCTGTACTCACAGAGATGAAGAATAGGGCTAAACTGAAGTCAGTAAAGGTCATCACGTGACGCCACTAACTACTAACAGTTCTGTCGAGTGGCTCTTTGAGGGAGAACATATGCCAAAGTCATAACTGCTAATGAGAATCAGAAATGGTTAAATATCAAAATCTCCCCATGGGGATCGGAGAAGAGCCGGGTTCAAAATTGAAATGGCATGTGAATTGGGTTTGTGAAAATATGTGGATCCCTCAGAAAGAAAAGTAAGGCAGATCCAAAGCATTCCCAAGTTGGAGCAATAGTTTGTTCTAATTTTAGCCACATGTTGTGATTGCTTAATGATTCAAATCCTCTGTTTCTTCCTCACTGCAACTGGGATGTTCACCAACAAAACATTTTGTTTTGAGCTCAGTATCCTTTATTAATTGCCATAAGCTATACGCGGAGGGACAGTACAGTAAAGTAATGAAACATCCTATATTTAAGCACGTATTACATCCTGGGGTGGATGGGAGTGAGGAGCTCTCTTCCTATGGGAAAATACAGAAGAGGAATTTGTCCAGCTGTTCTTCCTCTCTGTTCTTGCTCTGTGTTTGTCTCACACTGTTTATTCATCCATATTTTTCTTAGAAAACACAACAATCCCCAAACTACATGAAGTCAAGGAGAACATGACCATGGGAAGCACACTGGTGACCAATCCCAACGGAGGGTTTCTGGTAAGGGGGAAGCTGTTCTTTGCAATATATGAAAGCGCTCTATAGTAAATTCTCCGTTCCAAACCCAAAAGGAGGACTGAACTTTGCATATTTCCTGCAAAAAAACTGGGCATCAAGTATATGTTCACTAGACCTTTGCACTCAGTGGAAACAGTGGGCTTGGCCCTCCATGTTTCCCAGTTCGGCTTCATGTCCTGGGAATGTAACAGGATACTGTGAATCAACTAATGCAGAAATGTATGAGTATGTAGGAGGTGGTGACACCCATTCAGTTTTATGATTATGAACTCCAGTCATATTTTTAAAAAATGACAGAAATACTGGACTAGTGGTCATTAAATGTATATTCATGCAACTTCTAAACTGGTCCAAGAACATATAGCATTGGATCTTGAGAGCAAATCTTATACAGCTGCAAGTGTAACTGAAGCTCTACACACTTAATGTGGATAACATGAATGTTAACTTAACCCTTCAACACTATGCCTCTGTTTATACGCTGTAATTCAACACCCATCAGAGTCAATATGAAACATTTGACAAACAGGGAACAGGAAAGGGGCTGGAAGCGTTACATCATCTAATTTCTTTTTAATGACCCAATTCCCATCAGCCTCAGTGGTAATTTGTGTTTAATTACTAATTAGCTTATGGTAGCATGGTTTTGCTAATTAGATGGTTAAAATGGTAAATATACCTGCTAATTATCAGCATGTTAGCATGCAAGCGTTAGCATTTAGGCATGGAGAGAAATTAAGAAGTGCCTAATTTAGGAGGAAAGCACTGAGGTTGTGGAGCATGCTGGGAAAATCTAAGGAAGTGAGGCTGAAAGATTAAAAGATGTTATTCAATTTTCCACTTATTGTTGGTCATTTTAAAGCCGTACTTCTTTGTAGGCTCAATTTCTCCGTTTACCTCTTCTCTCTTTTCTGTCTTGGAGAAGCGTAGTCTGAAGGGATCTATGGTGGTTTTTATTAGTCTCTGTGTAATCCTCAGTTTGAGTAGTTCTTTCCTCTTGGTTTCTGTCTTCAGTAGCCCTGAACCTCCTCTCACCCATGACCTCATGCTGGTGGAAAGCTTACCAGTTTTACTCTCTCAAGCAGCTAGAGTCTGACTTTGTTTGTATGTGTGTGTTTCCTGTCTCCACAGGCCTGTGGTCCTCAGTATGGCTACATGTGCGGGCAGCAGCAGTACATCTCAGGAGTTTGTGCGAATGTCAGCTCTTCCTTCCAGATCCTCAACTCTGTGGCACCGGCCGTGCAAGGTATGCGGCCTGACAAAATAAGACACAGCAGATCCACACAGGAAGTGACGGCATCTGCACAAATTGCCTGTCAGGGATAAGAGATTATAATCTACTCTTCACAGTAGTACCACCCAAGATCCTGAAATCAAACTCCCCCTCCCTGAGTGAAGGAGGGAGATTAGAGCATTCTTCTTAATGTAAACTTGTCTGCGACCCCCATCCCTCTCCGGCCCGGCCCATCCCATCCCAGCCCTTCTGCTGTGTTGTATGCCCAAGTTAGGAGACAGTTTACTGGGCCTGCACTCTGTTTCCCAGGAAGGAAAGGGACTAGAAAGAACTGGAGTAAACAGTCTACAGTTATTTTCTCTTCATCTGGTTCTTTTAGTATCACTTTTGCTGCCATTTCACAAAAACAAATACACAGGCAGAGTTGCTGCAAAAACCCATAAATTGAGTTAGAGTATTAACATGTCCCAGGTTTTAAACTGAAGTAAAAGTAAGAACTGACAGATTATTAAGAGATTGTGCAGCCTTTAGGGACTTTTTTGCTTTCTTGACTCACAAACTAATTTAATTTTTTAGGTCTCTGCCTGGTGTTTGAAAAGCAGGCGGAATGATGAAATTAGCCTATTTTAGGCCGATTACTGTCTATGCGACCAGTAGTAAGGAAATATAATAACTTCTGCAATGTAAAAGATATGACACCTTGTACTTCTTTATTAACCTAATAAAGTTAATTTATTAACCTAATTAACGAGCCTGAGAGGTGCTTTTGGTGCTAAGCTAAGCTCACCGGCAGCTGGCTGTTGTTTCATATTTGTATAATGTTTTCAAGATTTTTTTACATTCTAACTAATTATTGTGTTATTTTATGCAATTTGCTTTTCAGTGTTGAACGTGTGTGTGCACTCTGTTACATATACTAGGGATAAATAAAGTTCTTTCAATTGAATTTTATAATTTTGTGTTACAGAAATATGTCGCTGCTTTCCTTTTCTGTTAATAATCTTTCGACCCTCAGATTTAACTTGCGACCCCTTGTAGGGGTCCCGATCCCTAGGTTGAGAACCCACTGCTCTACATTATTACAGTGTGATTAGGAGCTACTGTAGTGTGTCTGTGGTGGGCACAAAGAGAACTGGATGTGTTACATAATCCAGTTTCTTTTTTTGGAGTGAAATCAACTATTTTAGTGAGACCAGCTGCCCATCTTTTAAAAGTTTAAGGGTGTGTAAAACTAAAACCATACTTATTTACTAATTCCTGGCTTTGTTACAGAGTGTGCAAAGGAGCTGGACATTGTAATAGTTCTGGATGGATCTAACAGTATCTACCCCTGGTCGAGCATCATTGAATTTCTGCAACGTTTCATCACGAACATTGAGATCGGACCTAAACTCTCACAGGTCAGTAACATGAATTAAAAAAAGGATTCTAATGTTAATTTGGGTTGGAAATTACTATTTTTATCTCAAACATATGGGTTAAATGCATGGACAAATGGATGGGTTATATAAGATTAGACTGATGTAGAAAAAGGATGAATGAAGGAATATTTTTGCCTGCCAACTCAATTTTTCGCATTATATTATATTTAATGACTTAACTGCCCTTCATGGAATTGTCTTATGTCTGCCAACACTAAGAATAACTGTAAGATGTCCTTCATAAAGCAGACTTTATGAACTGAAGGCTTTTTAGTCTTTAAAGTAATTTTAGCTTTTGCCTTAGTAAGTTATACCTTGAGTGTATTTCTGTCCTCTTGTCTTGGATCGCTCTTCGAATGGGTGGTTAGTTTTTATTATGGTTACATTGATCTGGCCTGGAGCTTTGTGGAGTTTTCCAGAGGGAAACACTGGAAAGTCTTCTCACTGTGGAGCCTAGTGGTTGTAAGTCACATCTTCCATGGCTGCTGAAGTCCTCTGCCTTCTGTATAAAGAACATTGTGTCATATCAACCCCACCAGACCCAACCACATCCTCAGCAGACTGTCTGCGAGGGGAAGCAGACAAGGGAAGAACATGGAAGGAGAGAAAAGTAAAAAAAACCTTTAATGTTTATAAGAAAAACGTTTGTGTGTGTGTGTGTGTGTGTGTGTGTGTGTGTTTTCCAGGTGGGAATAGTGTCCTATGGTGAGACTGTGACTCACCGTGTAAACCTGAGCCAGTTTGACAACACTCCTGCTCTGCTGAAATTCGTTAATGGCCTTCCTCAGCAGACTGGCTTCAAGACCATGACTTTCCTGGGCATTGATACTGCCAGGTACTCAACATTAATCCTTTACCCTCATTTGGGTGTGCTTTCTTATTTGTCAAACACACCGCTCACAGGGCTGTCATTGGTCAAATTTCTCCTAAACTATCCAGCAGAAACTCCCAGATTGGTCCACCACATATCTGGTCAGACATGGTGGATGTTTTCCAAAAATACATTTTGTTGCCAAAGTTGAGCTTAAAGGGAGCTCCATCAATTTTGCTCATTAAAGTCTGTTTACAGGCGTTGGAGAGTACAAATGCTGGGAAAAATGTTACCCCAACTTATGCTTGAGTCCGCGTCAGTTAGGGCTGAAGACTACGGGTTTGAAAATAAGAATCTGGGGGTGTACAGTCAGAAAGAAGTGAGTTTACCAGACCTGTGTAGACTGCTCCTCATCTCTGCTTGAGGCTGCAATAGCTGCTACTGGCATAACACACCCAAATCTTGATATCTCTGTCTGATAATGTTGTAGAAGTACAATATTAAATCAGTGGAGGAATCTTTTAAAGGTCCAGTGTGTAATATTTAGGAGGACTAATAGGCAGAAATTTAATATTCATAGTTTTGTTTTTATTAGTGTATAATCACCTGAAAATAAAAATCGTTGTGTTTTCATTACCTTAGAATGAGCTGTTTTTATCTAACGATAAGGTTCCCTTCCGTGGTGGCTATGTTTCTACAAAAGCCCAGAACGGAAAAACCAAACACAAAACAAGATTGGGCTGTTCCCGTTTTTCATGGCATAACTACACCGCTAGATTCCACTAAATCTTAACACACTGGACCTTTGAGAGTAGTAGACTGGTATAATTACACAACAGGGTCCGAACACCGTGACACAATTTGGACTTGGCGATCAGGCTCAGACACATTCAGACCTGTTTATCCAGCTTACCTTGTTGTTTATTGGGAATCTACTTATAATCAACATAATGTTACGACTCAGTGGTACATGCTATCACTATGTTATCACTATGTTATTATTGCTTTAGCCTTTGACCTGGAATCATAAAGTAGCTGAGATTGTGATGTTGATGTACTGTAGTAATCGGCCACACAGTTAACCTAAAGCAATTTTAGAATACAGAGAGTCTTAAGAGCCTTTATTTTTATAGTACGGCTTTATTAGAGCAAAGTGGTCAGAAACACAGGGACTTTGGGGGAAAAGCAGCATGACTTTAGATTGATCATAGAAACCAAACTCCTGCCAATCTTATGAGAGTGAAATAACCAACAAAAGCTATAGTTAAGGCCTATTTTCAGCAGGTGCTCCAGAGGTTTTGTTCTTTTAACTGAGTTTGTAAAATTTCTACCAATCAGGAAGGAGGCCTTCATGCCGGAGCGTGGCGCACGACCTGGAGTGAAGAAAGTCATGGTGATTGTGACTGATGGAGAGTCACATGACTTCCATAACCTAGACAAAGTCATGAAAGACTGTGACGATGATGACATCGAGAGGTTTGGCATTGCTGTGGGTACAATCTACCTTTGTGTTGTTTTCATTATGTTAACATGTGTGTACTGTGTTTCATGATCTTAGGAGGAAGTTAAAGTTTGAATTGGATCATTTACTCAAATAGAAATACAATTAAAATGAAATCAAGGGAATGTGTACTGAACTGAATTGTTTAAGCATCATCAGAATTAATCATTTAGTAACTCATATTTTTTTTAGCTCTGATTTTGTTAAGATTATTTATTCTTGTTTCCAGGTTTTGGGAGACTACAATCGTCAGAACAAAACTTCGGAAGAAGTGCAGAAGTTTATCAAGGAGATTGCATCCATCTCCAGTCAACCGTTACAAGACCACTTCTTCAACGTGTCAGATGAGGTTGCGTTGTTGACCATTGTGGACGCTTTGGGAAGCAGGATCTTTGCTTTGGAAGGTATCCGACACACATAAACACATATATGCATGCTCGCAGTATTCTACATGTTGACAAACCTTAGTCCTCATTAACCCAACTACTTTAAAGAAAGAGGTTTGGGAAATACTCTTATTAGCTTTCTTGCAGAAAGTTAGATGAGAAGATTGGTTCAGAAGCTAGTTTAGCACACAGAGTGCTTTGTTCTGTAGTGGATGTATTTAAAAAAACATCCCTTAACTAACAGTGGAATTAATCTGATATTATGAATCACTCTAAAAACATTTCAGCGACCTTTTTCCTGTCAAGGTCCGCCAAATTGGCACACATCAGGGTATTTATTAAGGCATAGTCTCAGGGATCCTCATCTCATCAGATTTAGTTATTCCATAACTGTCTAAAGTGCAGATTGGCAGATTAACATGGACAAAGTGAAACCGATGAACAAAATAGCTGTTATACAGTATGTTCTCTCAATTTAAATTAAAATATTCCTTATTTTTACGGGGACCACCTGGAACCCCCTCAAGGACCCCTGGAGGTCACTGGACTTCTGGTTGAGAACCGCTGTTTTAAAGGGCTTAAGTAACTGGAGTGTTTCTATTCAGAGCGCTTTTAAACAAACCCTCTTCAGATCACACTTAAAATCATTCTTCACTTTTAAAGAAATACAGTTATACTGTCCCACTTTCCTATCTATCTTGGGCTGTCCTGTCAGAAAAAATTGTAAAAAAAAAAGATATTAACAACTTTTCATTGTGTACTTTTTGTTTTATTTATATGAAAAATGGTTAAAATGAACTTTTCCTTCCTCAGCTACAACTGGAAATTTCACCACCTCCTTCGGAATGGAGATGTCCCAGGCTGGATTTAGTGCACATACTTCTAAAGTAAGTCTAAATCAAATTATTTATCTCAGAGGAATACACAAATACCATATTTGTAATGGAAACATCCGTTACTAGATGTAAAATCACTGAACCAGGCCGAATGATGAAATGAGTGTATCATATCTTTAGATCACAGCGTTTACATGTCCGACGGCGTTTATTTTATGTGCTTGCGTGCAAGTATGTGTGGGCATGGTTGTGTTCTCAACTAATGAACACGTCCGGACACAATGCCACAGTGTTATCTCTGGTGCATCTTCAACCCTTTGGTGATTCACCTCGGTCAGTAGAAGTTTCCAGACACAGACGCTCTTTGTCTTCTTTACTCGCACTGCTGCAGACTTCAGACTGACCGTGTTTGGTCTGATTGCACGAGAGTGTGCGAGAGACAGACAGAAAGTAAGAGATGGAAAAAGCAAACACGAGGCTCGTACAGCACGAGAGACAATGAGGGAGGTTGAATCACTACGTTTGCTCACTACGGTAAAAACAACATGCTTATTTTTGCCTCTTCACACGCCTCTTGAATTCATTCATTAGGTATTCCCTATGTCTATTTAAAAACACAACAGGCTCCCCTCTTACGCTCTCTCTTCCTGCCTCACGTTTATCACCTCCTCGATCACCGTGCGCACCGTCTCTGTGGATGTAGTGGCTCATTCAACTTAACAAAACCAGTCACAACCACACTGAGTTGTTCCACTGTGTGCTAAACACGTGAGGCCTCGCTTAATGGTCAGCAGAGGGAAAGAGCCTCTTGACGCAGTTCATTGTGAGTGTGGTAGAATTTCTCCTACATGAGTAATGATACATGTTATGTCCTGTGTGACCCCTCCCCTTCCTATTAGATAACTCTGTTTCCTGCAGACAAATAAAGATTTATTGACCCGTGTCTATATATTTTATGGGTCTACACAGCTGCAGTGAAATATTATGTTACATTTTTAATTAATCTGTTGATTTTTTTTCTTCAATTTTGAAATAATTTGTCATTTTTGCTTATTTTTTTCCAAAACCTAAAGTTATTTAATTTACCAAGATATGAAAACAAAGAAACATACAAAATGTTTGTCATTTTTACGTAAGATTAATTGATTATTAAAATTGCGAAAGTTTCTGTCAAGTGATTCAATTATTCAGCACTATTTACACTATTGGGTTATTTAGATTTAAGATAGGACATTTACTCAAGTACAATTTTCAGAAATTTTCCATTTAATGCAACTTTATACCTCAACTCCACTACATTTATTTGACATAGATTTGACAAACAAATCTTTGTTTAACAAAAAAAATGAATTTTTATAGATCCTATTTTTCTATTTTTTTAGTCTCTTTGCCTCCACATATAGAATCTATAGCTTCACCATTCTCACTCCCAGATATCTGATCTAATCATGTTATTTGAATCTGTATTGGCAGTGTATTAGTGTGAATGTATATTTTATATATGTTCCTGATATGAGCTCTGTTGTCTCCCGTAGGAAGGCGTGTTACTGGGAGCAGTGGGAGCATATGACTGGAACGGGACAGTGGTAATGCATACGGCTGGAGAAACAATCGTTCCAGGGAACACCCAGTTCTTCGACCCAAAGACCGAGGCTGGATATGAAGGACTTGCTGGGTACCTTGGTGAGTTGACTCGTAATGTCTTAAAGGCCCTGAAAATAAATTTTAGGGTATTTTTTTCTAGCTTCCAGCTTCCACATTGTGCGGCTCCCTGCACATGTGCATTAGTGTTTCCTCTGTTTACCCCCGAGCGTGAGTTCCCACTACGCCCATTGACATAAAGGCGTATTCACAAATATTAAACCTTCATGGACTAAATATTCATAATCGAAAGAGTTTAAACTTTAAACAACAGTCAGTATATTTACACTATCCATTGATCCAGGTCCCCTTCTTTAGTGTTACTTGCGACACTGGTTACTTTTCTTTTTCAACAGAAAATCCTTTCGATTTGTATTCACTGCAGTACCGTGAAGGGCCACTGGAACAAACCAGCAGTGAGGCAGAGTGTCTGCGAATGATAATAATTTGTCTGTACTGTTTCCTCTGTCCTGCCTCTGCCAGCTCCTGGCTAATCCAAAAAATGGGCAAAGATGTGCAGCGTGGGTGAGCTGAACAGCTGAATTAAGCCTGATTGCTAAAACCAGCCACTGGCGACGGCACCCACCTGTCACTCAAAGCAGCCACTTCCTGAATTATGCGTAACTTTAAGCCTTGATATAATATAAAAAAAATGAGTTATATAAAAATTCCAGTACAGTCATGAACTGGGACTGGTTTTTCTTAACCAGGCTGTAAACGTATATTTCCGCTGTGAATTTAACATGGAGCCCGAATGGAGACCGACTCACTTTTGGTGCCAGCCTCAAGTGGCCATGAAGCAGATTAGTCAGGCTTTGAGTGTTAATTACCTCTTAATTAACTGATAATGCCTTAAATAAATACCTTAAGATTTTTTTTTTTTTAACTTTGATGGTTGCTTATTTAGTTAATAACAGTTTATGTTGTAGGGAAACACAAACAGGGCCCAGAAACATACACCTGCTAGTAGTAGTGAAGCAGTTTTTACACTTGCATGAACAACTCTGTCTGAGCTAAGTGCTTTTGTGTTAAACACACAGAGAGAGATGAAGTAGATCGTAGATCGAAAGATTAAGTGAAATTTTACAGCTGCAGAATAAATATAGAGTTTCTGTTGGAGAGAGGAGCGAGATATATGATTTGTCTAACTTTGACAGCAGATGCCTCTCTCTCTCTCTCTGTCACATAAATAATACACACAGTCTCTTCTCCCATCCCGCTGCCTTTTATGGCTCGTAGAGCAACCACAGCATCTTCATATCGAGTTATTTAATCAACATGTCATTAGAAGGAGCACTGGTGGGTCCAGGCTTATGAACTGTAAACTCAGCTGTTGGCACATTCTCATACCTAAAGGTCTGACGGCATACCCTTTGTGTGTGTGTGTGTGTGTGAGTGTGTGTGTGTGTGTGTGTGTGTGTGTGTGTGTGTGTGTGTGTGTGTGTGTCCCTGCCAGTTTCCAGCAGTGTTTTATAGTTTCCTCCACACAGTGAGATGTAAACAGCTGTCTGAAGAAGCGTTTAAAAATATCCCACAAAGAAAGCCATAGAGTTTTTGTCATGACGTTGTGAAGTGCTCACATTGCATGACACTCCCCTGATGATGCCTGCTTATGTATGCTTTGGATTTAATACAGTATTGTGTGTGCTGATGTCTCTTCAGGCTATGATGTCCAGTCAGCATCCACCCCAGATGGAGAGCTGTACATCACAGGTGCACCGCGGTACAACCACACAGGCCGGGTTGTTATCTATCGTCTGAATGAAGTGAACAAAATCGTCATCTCACAGATACTGAAAGGAGAACAGGTGAGTTCCTCAGAGTGTTTTCTCAGTGTATTTTTATAGAGAAAGGTGTTAATTGGTCTGAAAAGCTGAAAGAAGATACTTTAGGATTCTGTTCATATTCTAAGATAACTCTGTCTGATATTGCACTTGTTGATAGACTTCAAGCAAAGACTATTGATCCTCACCAGAAAATTCACATTACAGCAGCACAGAGAAGAGAACATTTGCGGCCCTGAGGTGAAAAATGTTCTGTTGTTGTGTTTTCTCATCACCAAAGCATTGATCACAGAGCCCGACAAACTTTCACGCAATTCATTAAACAGCCAGCCAAACACTAACATTTCTTTCTCACCAGGTTCTGTGTAAAACTTCCACTAAATCTACCACTTCCTATTATTTTCTACCATATTAAATCCAGGGCTCTGACCAGATGGCTGGAGCTCATAGCTAATTCTGCTCTCTGAGCCAACAGAGATGTATCCCCCTTGAGATAATTTTCCGCCCATTTACTTTTTTTTGATTTATGCATTTTAAGACACTAAAAGGACTTTTAATGTTGATCTACACATAAGCTCTCAAAAGCTGGTTTGTTTTTTACCCCATCTGCATCTAATGCTTCAGCGAGTTCAGCGATTAAAGAGTCAACACTGACAGATTTCTGACTCCTCTCTGCAGATTGGTTCCTACTTTGGCAGTGTCCTGCAGACTGTTGATGTGGACGGGGATTCCTACACGGATCTCCTCTTGGTCGGAGCTCCGATGTACATGGGGACAGAGAGAGACGAGCAGGGACAAGTCTACGTCTACAAACTCAACCAGGTACAGAGGATTGAAAATTAGCTATTTGGTGTGTTTGTGTGCATCTTTTATTGATAGAGCTTGCGTGAGATTCTGCAGAAATTCACACTGAGAAGATTGTGATGGTGCACCCAGTGATTTTCTTGTCTCCTCGTGTCCTTGTTTTTTCTCTCTGCTCCATGACCAGGATGGCCGGTTTGACCACGAGTTTACTTTAAAGCCTGTCAATCAGTCCTGTTGTACTGCCCACTCAGCCAGCTGCACTAACAAAAATGAACCCTGTGGTGCCCGGTTTGGTACAGCCATTGCAGCTGTATTAGATCTCAACCTTGACGGGTTTAACGATGTGGCGATCGGTGCACCTTTTGAGAACGACCACAGAGGGGCCGTCTACATCTATCATGGAGATAAGACAACACTGAAAGAGAAATACGTACAGGTGAGTTCCAGTGTCACCCACTGAACCGTTAGTAAGAAAACATGTTTGTTTGGATTCAATTTAAAATTCTGGTATAGTTCAACCCAGTGTATTTCCAATAAATGTGGACGTTGTGGCTCTATGGGTTGGGTTAACTTTGCATTCGCCATAAAAAGGACTTTTACATAAATCATGCCAGAGTCTGACCAATAGTAAACACAGAAAATAGCCATCTGGATCTACATCCGGGTAACTTTGCTGCTCTCTCTCTCTCTGCTAACTTAAAGGAAAATGTGTAACCAGTTGCTAACAACTTTTTCTTACGGTATTGAGAGCTGACGGTTTAGTCTAGCTGGCCTTGGTCTTTTCTTGGGGAAGAGGTGTTTGGGGGAGGTGAAACACACGCTCCAGAATTACAATGTTAATTTGTTGTGACAACTAGGAGACTCTCACCCATGGACACATGTAGCTTTTCCAAGTCTGACATCATCAGGTCACACTCTTGGTAGCAAGTTTTCCTCCTGAGTCTACTGTGGAGAGCAGTGAGTGCAGTCTGTGAACTTGGTCAGCCTTCAAAGTGAAATGACTTGTGATCATCTTCTTAATAATAAACGGAATAACTGCAGTGAAAGTCAATAAAGGGTATCCGGGTGATTAGGTCAACTGACAAGTTGGCCCCAGTGTAGATCCCTATGGAGGTAGCCCTAATGGCTATTACAGGTGGCTACTTTCTGTGTCTTGGTCAGATGTCAGTGAGACAAGCATCCATGTAAAGATCATGTTTATTTGGAAAGCTGTATAGGTCCTACAGTAGATTTGACAAGTGCAAAGTTAGCATGACCCAAGGAGCCACAGTAGCCACATTTATGGAAAATATGTCATGTTGAAATAAACTAGAATTTTCCTTTAATGCAGGAAATCCTTTAATAGTCTAATTGGTTCTGTGTCTCTTTAGCGTATCCCTGCAGGTGGGGACGGTGAAAAGGTGAAATTCTTTGGTCAGTCCATACATGGAGTCATGGATCTAAATGGAGATGGAATCACTGATGTTACCATAGGAGGTCTGGGAGGGGCTTCCCTATTCTGGTGAGACATGGCCCATCCTCACATATAAACATTCACTCCTAAAACTACACATTCCACTTGAATTATTACCAGCAGCAGTGCCTGCATCCTGGAGACATATTCCTTCATGTCCGTTTGGCATTGTCTCACTCAAGTTTAGACAGCTGTGCATGTCCCACTGGGCTTGTAGGCTAGAGACCAACAACATCCTAATGATCTCTCTGTTAAAACTGGCAACATAATTCGCTGTTGGACACTAGCCTACAGACTTCAACCCGCAAACATCAGCCCACACCATGATTTAACTTCCCAGGCAGACCTTCTCCCACAGTTTCTGCTGGCAGAGGCTCAGCTAAGCTGTGTGAAAACTCCATCTCCCAAGTGGCTTTGAGTTTAAATAGGATTTGGCAACAGGCGGCTGCTCTTCCTGGACTGTTTGCTGTGTTTTAGAAAGCTCAACTGTTGGATAGTGAGTGTTGAGGCCAAGTTTTAAGCTCAAGATGCATCCGTTTCTTGTTCCTTCCTTTGAGATAATAGATGCATGCGCACAGATCAACACACATAAACAGTTTTTCAAGAAGCTGGAATGTTTGTTCCATTTCACCAGGTCCAGAGACGTTGCAGAGCTCCGTGCCAACATGACTTTTGACCCTGTTAAAATCAACCTGCAGCAGACTCAGTATCAGTGTGAACATGGTGGACCCAAATCTGTGTGCGTGACAACGGAGGTGTGTTTCAGCTACGTTATCAAATCTGACCAGCCGGACTCAAAGTCTGATGCAGGTGAGCCATTCAGTATCCCGTGTTGATTCATTCATTCAATCCTCTGCATCCTCACTGTCAAATTTGTTGTCTTTTATTGCTCCATGTTTTCTTTCTCACATATTGTGCCCCATAGTGATCCGCTATGATCTCACTCTGGATGCTCTGCGTGCAAAAGCCAGGGCTTCATTTATTGACTTGGACGATAAAAGTGATCGTGGGATTACCAGGAACTTGACCATCAAAGACAGAGAGAGAAAATGTGTGCAAGAGAAATTCATGATGTCGGCAAGTACTCTGATCTTTATGATGTACACATGGGGTTATTTATGGTCTCTTACCTGTGAAGAAATCTACCCCAAAACTATATGTTTAGCCTTGTGTCCACATGACATTCAGATAAACTGGATTCCTTCAATTTCTGTGACATTCATTCATGAAAGTTATATTCTAGGCTTGTTGGAACATGTAAATGGTGTTTGGTGCCAGAAAGAAGACAGGACAAAGCTGTGAGAAGTCTTATGCAGAGCAGGAAGACCTTGGTTTTAACATGAAACAGACCCGTCCTGATCAAAGCATGCCGAGTACAGCCCTGTGCTGCTCTGAGTGATAAATTATCTGCAGGCACTCGGAGAGTTGGAGGGAGAGTAAGAGAGAATGAGAGTGAATTAGGTGTTTTGAGAATGTGACAAAGTGACATTCTAGGTCAAGTAAGATTTCAACAAGTGGCCCAACAAGCACACGGCAGACTGTTCATCACTGTTCAGCCTTTGTACGTTACAACTTCCTACTGTAAACCAAAGCGGTCTCCAGCAATGTGACATTTAAAGCCATGTGTATGAAGTTTCTCATTCCAGCCATTCACTGCAGCAATGGATTTTTCTGATTAGCTGCCCCTAGGCGAGAGACAGAGGAACTAATCAGTGAAAACAGCTGTTGTTGCTGTGTGTGCCGAGAATGAATACCTGCTCTGTTCTAGTGTGCCAGTTTAGCAGAAACATCCTACACAGTCCAGGGCAGAGGTCTACAAGGGTCAGAGAGTTTGTACCAGACACACATCAATTTTACCTGGGTTAAAAAATGGACCGGACCTAAATCTGAACAGATCTGAACAACAACTCTACGAACCAAAAGTGTTCAATACTCAGTGTGTGCTGAAGTAATGCCTCCAGTTTGTTTTAAGTCACACAGCATCAGGCTCCAAACCAGCATGGAAAAACCACAGATTAAAAATAAATTAGTTCCTAACTGCTACATTTAAAACTTCCATTGCCTGGTTCACTTCAGATTCTGTCTTGGAACAATAGCATTGGTTTAGTGTATTCACTGCAGAGTACAAACATGTGTAAGGAGAAAAAGTAACCGGGGCTGGCTAAATGGAGGAAAAAGATCAATAGGCAACATAGCTGCCTGCTGACCACAATGCACTTCCCTTTAAGTGGTAGACATTATGTACGGTATGATCATTCTTTAACATGCTTTAAGCAACAGACACAATCTTTACTGACTCCAGTCAGTGATGTGCCCGACTAAAGATGCAGCGATGATGACGTGTTCCTCAAATTACACTCTTTCTCTGTTTTAATCAACATTTGGCACAAGTTCAAGAAATACCTATATTTATGACTTACCATGAATACAATACATGCCATACCACAATGTGAAGCAGCTCTTTCAAATGGTTTCTCCATGTTTCAATAATGTAAAGGCTGTGCACGCCCATGCAGACTCTCCTAGTTAATGTGGTTGATTAAACCTTTGGATGGATGGATTTCAGCCATGCTGTCAAACAACACAGTAATACAAACACTTTTTTATAGTGCTAGAGGCCATGCTCATTTTCAGGTTCATACTCCATACTTATTTGGGGTTCGTTTCTGTGATTAAAGTTCAAAAAACATATCATTTTTGTCAGTGGAGCAGTGTGTTTTCTGTGGGACACAGTAACTCCCTTTGGCATGGACTTTGTTACTTTACAGACCTTTTACATGCATAGAAAATCAATATAACACACTGAAGCACAGAGAAAACCCCAAAAAGCAAACCAATGAGAGATGTCATCACAGCCTGAAATTCCCAATATCTAATTACAGCTGAAAAGGCTGATGTGAACATTTGTTTTTACTTTGTTGCTCTTGCTCGTAATTACAAATCTGAACAATATGACCTGAAAAAAATAAGGCAATCAAGCATGGCCTGTACACACCCACATGGCCTCTAGAAGAGGTCTAATCAACCAAATAAGTGTAACACGTCTGTGTGGGTGGATCATGGGTGTGTAGGATCATTATATCAGTCTTGCATTTTCTCACCCTCTTCAACCTTCTCCAACTTTTATTCCCCTCCCTCCTCCTCCCCCACCTCCTCCTCACCCGCCTCTATCGTGCTCCACTTTTTCCTCAACAGACCCAGTTGGACTTCCGAGACCCTCTCATGGTGTCTTTGGAGTTTCGAAAAGCTGATGAGGACCAAGGCCCCGTCCTGGATGAAAGCCTTCCCAGATCCATCAATAAGACAGTAAGGTTATTTTATATCAATAGTCTTTGTCAGTATTAACTGCCAAATAACAGTGAGCAGGAGTTTCAGCAGACAGGAAGGATTTGAACCTCGTCTTAAACATCCTCCATCTGTCTGTCTTTATAATCCAAGAGTAAGAAGTGGGTTGTTGTTATCTGGCTCCAAACGTGCTGCTGTTACAGTAAATTAGCTTCTGCAACAGCTGACTGCCATCCTTCAGTGTTTCATCATGACTGCATTAGTATTTCAACACCAACAGTCAGGACAGTCTTCCCACACTCCCACATGCATAGTTGTTCTAACAAGAGGGTTCCCAGATTATTGTTGCAATGAGTGATGTGTCCAGATAAAGAGGGGGAATATTACATTCAGCTTCAACATGTGACAAGAATGCAATTAAAGCCTGTGTGAAATACACAGTTGTAATCCTCCCTCATAATGTCATAGCAGCAATGCATGCTTCACTAACACACCGAAGCAAGGAAGGGCTGTTAGGAACTCTCCTGTTATTGTTATTGAAAGGAAGACAAGGGACACACACACAGGGTAAGGAGGAAGTCATCAAACGGAAGCTGCAGTGTTTCTTTTGACATTGTGCTGCATATGATATTCGAGTCTCTTGTCCTTTCTTGGGAGAACAGACAATGTTGATCTTAATAGTCCGGTGGGAGAGCACTGAGAATGGGAACTCGTGACCCAAAAACACTCTGGGGGGAAAGGCAAAAGGAAATTAAGGTCATCCAAATGCACCCTCGTAGTCAGTGGTACAAACAAATGCACACCAACAGTTGAATGTTTTTACTCTCATTTATCTGCTCCTTTCTGTTGAGGGGCTTCTGAAGATCTTATTGTTGCTCAAGGATTTTATCTTCCAGGAAAATATCTTCTTGATGTTTTAATGCATGTGAAGATATTCTGCTTTGAGTAATAATTTGTATCTGATATTGCTTTTACACCCAAAAACGTCAATTAACTGGTTAAAAATTCTTTAAATTACATCTAGGGATTCTTTTAGTAAGCAAATATGCATCACTCATTGATAAATGATAAATGGGGTAGACACAATAATAGAAACATGTGTCAGTACATTGCAATACAGTTCAACAGCACCACAAACTGTAGCCATCAGTATTACAGTGAGACCAAGCAAGTCATCAGTCAGATATATTTTACATTTTAAACACTTAACTGCTGCACACAACGTGTCCCTATGTCACTGTCCTTTGTCACTTTATGTGGAGTAAGTTGCAAGCTGCATATTGGACGATTGGCCTCCAAGCTAGCTGTCACAAATTCATGCTCACACATGTGCATCTTAAACTCTGATTTAATGTTAATGCTCACAGAGAAACAATATGTTTTTGACTGGAGGGGGGCTTTAAGATTTAAGATATGGCTTTACATCTCGAAAATGTGCTTCTCTATCTCGTAGATTCCCTTAGTGGACTGTGGAAGCGATGAGAAGTGCATTGCTGACCTCTCTCTCAAAGCAGAGCCTAGTGTAAAAAGGTAAGTGAAATTAGCATTAAAGCATATTTGTTCTGTCCTTAAACATTATCAGCATGCCCATACTTACATGGAAAGACTTACTGGCTGCTGCAATAGTTCCTCCTGTCAGGCCTCAAAGATCCCTTCATAATGAGATTGTAAGAGATGAGATGAAAATGTAGAGTCCTCTTTCCGTGCAAAAATGGATTTCTAAGTAATATGAGGCTCCAGAAGTCTAAGTTAGCCAAATAAAGCGGGATAATGTTTCTTTGCTACTTTGTAGTGGCTGAACAGTCCACAAAGAGGGATTTTTGTACTAAACGACTGTGACTTTGGAAGATATCTTGTTTTTTAGACTAATACACACTCATCTTAGCCTCATCTGAACTTGCACAGAAAGGGGACTATGGATTTCGTCCCTCATCACTTACATAAGAATTACATTAGGAAGGGATCTCTTCTTGGCCTGTGTGGACAATAGGAACAATTACAGCGACCAATAACTCTTTTTGTGCATATAGAAATGTGAGTATTGTTTTAAGACACTTTGTTATAGTTGTATATTGAAGTCACTCACAGCTCAGTACATCGATCTTGTAAGTAGCAAAACCCTTCCAGTGCATGACTGCACCCTTGTGGGGAGATTTGTGCATCACAACCAAGCATTGATGACAGTCTTCATTTACTTCCCCAGTATGCTGATCAAAGCAAACAAAGAAAAGATTGACGTGAACATCAACATTAGAAACAGCAAAGACAACGCATACAACACTAAAGTCATCGTCAGCTTCACACCGAACATCAACTATGTTAAAGTAGAGGTGAGATTTCTAGAACTTCTCTGTCTGCATCATTTAATGTGTGTGGTTTGAGGTGTGTAATGTGTTTTATTTTGTATTTTCAGCCGGAGAAGGACTGCACTCTGAATCACACAAAAGTGGAGTGTGCTGTTGGATACCCCTTCTTGGGCAGCAATGTAGAGGTACGTTTCCGCATACATGTGGTTCCAGGCTACATGTTACCTGTACAATATTTTAGGTATATTTCATCTTTATTACTGATAATTAAAGGTATGATTTAATATCCACAGGAAATGTTCAAAGTGAAATTTGAGGTCAATCCGAAACATATTCAGGAGGTAATTCAGATCAACGTGACAGCTACAAGGTGAGAAAATCAGCACCAAATTTTATATTTTATTTCCAGTTTGAAGCTGTTTGCCTAAAATGATTGGGGCAAATGTCTAAATGTTTTCATTTGCTTTTGAATTGTACAAATGTGTTTTTCAAATTTCCCACAGTGACAGCGATGAGCTCCCTTCTACCATGCATGACAACAGGGTGTATATCTCCATCCCTGTGAAGTATGAGGCTGGACTCATATTCTCAGTGTGAGTAGCTGGTCTCCGATCATGTACACTGCTCCTCTGCCACATTGATCTTGATAGTGCTTTAATGGTGGATGTTTTGACTTGTCATTGCGGGAAAAGCACAGGTGACATTAATGACAGCCTTGTTCTATTCATGTAAATGAGATGTAGGCATTGTTAGCATATTTCAGCGTATTGTTATTGGTTTTACAGCCTGTGACTCTACTGTTTAAGTACACTCTCAGTGCTCTAATCAGTGTTGTTCTCAGCTTACACTACCTGCTTAGTACTAGGACTGCATGATATGGTAAAACATCACATTGCAATTATTTTGACAGAATTTATGACAGAAAATTGCATTAAACTATTTAAATCATGATGGTTTTGTACCAAACAAATGTTTTTTTAAATCTTAAAAAAAGATTTTTAGGCCAGGGAATCCCACTCTCACTACAGTACTTTGTTGTACCGCTATAAAAAACTGCAGCTTTTGTGATTTGCATATTGCACTTGGCCGTATTGAAATTTCAATAATATTTCAATTAATTGTGCAGCCCTGCTCAGTACCAAACGGCAGTTAGCGACTACCCGGAGAACATCGTGGAGCATTTAGCAGCTAAAGATCCAGATATTTTCTCAGGAGTTGGTAGAAAGCAAATATTATTGAATATTGAACTTACATTCATCAGCTGGACACAGACACGACTCCAAATTAACAGTAATGTTGCTCCGTACATGCTGCAAGTGTAAACAGGTGGCTGTTTGCTACACATGCTTTACATGTCAGTTTTGTGTTTACAACTTCTGTCTCCCCAAGTGGCCAGAAAATGAATCAATGCAGGTTTAATACAGTTATTAGGAATGGATTATATACCCTCAGAAGTGTACTCCACCAATTTAGCATTGCACTTTTGTAACGTTGTTCCGGTATCACAGTGGAGGAAGAAAAAAAGGAAAGGATCAAAATCGAGGCAGCAGAGAGATTATCTTTTGTATTTGACACATTCTTCTTTTTTATATATTTGATATATGAACATCTGTCTCTGACTGAACTTTTTTTTTAAATGCATCTTCTAGGTGGCCCGTGGATCAACACATTGTAGTAAAAGAGGGTGAAGTATTCTCCAGTGTATTCAATGACACCAAGATGATTGGCGAGGAGGTCAACATCAGCTATACGGTAACATCTGCCGACAGAGATCATACCTGGTGATCTGTTAATACAAACAGAGTATACAGCTACATGCAGATGTTTGCTAAATGAAGGCTACACCTTCCTTTTCTCTATTTCACTCTCTCCATCTCACATCTCTTCAGGTGGAGAAGTCAGGTGATATGGTGACTCCACCCCTTGACCTCACAGTGACGTATCCACGTCTGTCTCCTCGGCAGAACAACTTACTGTACCTGACACACGTCACCACCAGCCCACAGGTATGCACACACACACACACACACACACACACACACACACACACACACACACACACACACACACACACACACACACACACACACACACAGTTGTGTAACTGTATCTAAACAGACAGACCCACCTTCATACCTGACTCTTCTTTCTCTCCAGGTGAAATGTGATGCAGCCAGTTGGATCAACCCTCAAAACATTAACCCAGAAGTTATTCATCCAAATCCAAATAAAGAAACACTCAGTATCTTCCTATTGGTGAGTGGTCTGAGGTCTGGGTTCTGGATCTGAGGGAGTTTTAAATATATCTCATCAAAATTACTATAGAAACTGATCTTCGACTAACCAAGTCCTTGCAAGTTAGTTTTCAGGTTTAACCAGTGTTACAATCAATCAGCTAGACTGAAATAACTGTGTGTCTTTGTGAAGGTCCCTCTTAATTGTTGAGCTGTGAACAAGAGTCAGTTTACAGTACACATCAAGATTACATCATTCAAATCTGAGTTCATATCTTTAAGCATCTGCACAGCATCAAGTCAACATATGTACTTTTTAAATGCATTAAATACTTAAATTAAAGCTTATAACTAGCTGTAACCTTACAATAAGCAGTGTGCTTCCATCTTACTGTGTGTGTTTGATTTGCTCTACAGAGTTGTGAAAACCTCGGCTGTGCAAAATTTACCTGCTCCATCCCCGAAGCTAGAATTAGTCAGGTCAACGTCACATTCAGAGTCTGGAAACCTACGTTCATCAAGGTGGGTTTAAGGGGACACGTGGGGGCTTATTTATGGCTTGTCCTGGGAAAAATATTGATTAACAAAGTGAAAATGTTGGAGGCAGAGTGACTAATGGCTCTCTGACTGATCTGACAGACAGGAAAGCAAAAGTTTAAAGGAGATTTATCTTACAGGGCGAGTTTTCCAGTTTGTACATGTCGGTGAATGGCACGCTGGGAACCAAACAAACAGACCTGTTTGAACTGAGCACCAGTGACAGGAACAGAATTGTAAGTCAGAAAGTTTCTGTATTGTCTTGTTATGTCATTAGATGCTTGCATGTATGTGTGCATTTACATTATATACTGTATGTCTGTGCCAATCAGGTGAAGATCCAGGTTTCGAAGGAGACCTTAGGAGGAATCCCTATTTGGATAATCATCATCAGCATCCTGATAGGACTGCTGATCTTAGCACTTGTCATTTTCATTCTCTGGAAGGTAATATTACAGTTCAGTTCATTATTTAAAAGGGCTTTAAAAGAACGGTTCAACATTTTGGGAATTAAGGTCACTTGCTTTCTCGCCGATGGTTGGATGAGAAGATCGATACCACTTTCATATCTTCTGTTAAATATGAAGCTACAACCAGAGACAGTTAGCTAGCCTGACTCCATCAGCACCTGTAATGCTCATTCATTTCTTTATTATATCTTGTTTGCTTAATCCATAAAAAAAAGTGTAAAAATACAATTTGTGGTTTTATGAGGGTTATGTGCTGAATTCATGGTAATGCCAAGACTCCTTCACCCCAGTCACTGCTCCTGGCCAAATAGTCTGGCACATAACACTGATATAATTTTTCTGAATGTGTTTTATAATATGGACAGTTGGACATTTTGGGCTCATCTGCCAATGGAAGGTAAACTGAGAATATGTACCACCCAAAGATATTTAGCCATAAAACTGCATCATGGTTTTGAGCTTCATATATTATCTTAGGGCTTCTGCATGGCATCAGATGCCACCTCTCGCACAAAAAACGCCGACCTCAGTGACTTTTCTTTTTGTCTTCATGGTTTTTTTTGGTGGCTTAACATCCAGGAATCTTTGTTTTTGTAGTTAAACAAATGGTATATAACACAAATGAGTTTTAGTGGACAGAGCCTAGAGGCTAGCAGTGTCCAGTCTTGATGCTAAGCTAACCTAACTAGCTGTAGTTTCATATTTCACAGACAGACATGAAAGTAGTATTGATCTTCTCATCCACAGTAACTCTTAACAAGAATATCTCCTCGAATGTCGAACTAGTCCTTTACTCTAGACGCTGATTCACATCTGTACAGAGTAACTGTTTCACTAGGTAGTTTTATAACTGAGCTTTCTTCTCCTCCAGCTGGGCTTCTTCAAGAGAAAATCCAGGGACTACTCAAAGGAGGACATGATGGACTGAGGGGTCCACATATCCAGCAGCAAGCAGCCCTGTGACCAACTGCTTCCAGAGCCATGAGGTCTCACAAAGAGTTTTAAACAAATAGTCTGAGGAGACGCCATAAGACCCACAGACACCTCAGTGCTACGACATGGCGACGACCTGGAAAACCCCATTACCAATTCACTGTTTCCGGTGCAAGCCTGGCTCAAATAATGTTTGCAAATACTTCTCAACCCTTGTCCTCTGATCATCACTAGGTTGCAACACTGATGGTCTCACACACAGAGAGTGCTTAAACAGACATTTCCTTTTAATTGCATGAAGTTGTTGGCGCTAATTGTAAACCGTAAGTATTTGCAAATACTATTTGTTCTAGATCAGCTTCTTCCTTGCAGATATACAGTATACAGGTCAGTCAAGCATTCAAGAAGAGGAGCCGGGGAGGAGGAAGGACCCATCACTTACCAGGCATCTGTCGGCAAAGTAGCATATATCTGTATTACATACAGCAGTTTTACAAAACCTTCAGAGCTACAACAGCTGCACTCCAGCTTTAGAGGAACAAAGTACTCAGGTTTTTTTCGGTATGAACATCCATCGTCGCCTATGCCACCTCACATTTTTTCTATGTCATTACAGCATCAATGTCCAAAGGTCTATTTGCGTGTGCGGCATACAATATGTGAACTTTACATGTCTGTCTGATAGCTTGGACTCTTGTTTTAAAGCTCATGGGCTTTGATTAGTTTTATGAAACACTGTACCTTTTTCGCATTTTAGCGCATTTAGTTTTTGTTTGGTATTTTTGCTGAATTTTTTTAACAATCTAACATGGCACATCCTTAATTTCAAAATGATGGCTAAAGACACTGACCTGAACACAAGATTTTTTTTTCAGCAAAGGTGCTGTCTGTATGCTTTTATTTTTTTTAAATACTTTTAATCTTAGTTAACCGATTGAAAAACAAAACAGGCTTGTCCCAACTCTGGTGTTAAATGTTTGTCATTAGCGTCACCTTGGTTACAGAGGGATACAGAAAGCTGTGCCTTCAAAATCCAAAACTTTGATTGTACTGTAAATATCAGTAAATGCTCAAAAATGTAAAGCTTATTAATGTACATAATTGTGTTTGCTATAATTCATGTAATTTAAGAGATTTTTTTTTATGATAAGAGAAGAGGATCTTGCTCAGGTGCTACAAGTATCATGAATGATGACATTAACATTTGACATAAGAAAATGATCTGGCCTATCTCTCAATTTCAAAGCTGATGCAAATATGTAAATATTGTTATATTTTGATGAGAAAATGAAAGTATAACTATTCTGTACTGAAAATATACATGAAGATGAGGGTTTGTATCCACTATTTTGGGGTTTATTTGATTGAACGTGATGTTTCAAGCCTGGTGAGCGACTGTGTTTTGAATGCAGAGGCTTTAACATGATTGAGACGAGATATGACCGTAGCATATTTTGATTTGAACCTTTTAATTTGCAAAACTGAAAGTAAAAATTCTTCCAATGTAGAAATACATATGTCACCATTCACCAGCAGTTGCCATATAGTAAATGGGATTCATTGGTCGGTGGTTTGTAGTGTAGAAAAACTACAACATGTACACAAAGCGTTACTGCAGGCTCAGTGTCTCCCCTGATGCGGTACACAGTACCTTACAAAGTTATTCTTTCAGGTTTTCTGTCTTGTTTTTGTTTCCAGAAGTTGCACAGCTACACAACATGTTAAAAGAGATTATATTGTATATTGGGGAGATGAGTTTATGCCTCTTTCTCAACTTTTTCCCTCACTGCCATACAATAAAGCTGAGGGAAGACGGCAAGAAGAAGAAGAAGCAGCTTTTGAATATTTAAATACTGCTCAGCTCTCGCTCTCCACTGTTGACATGAAGCACATGTAATAAATTGTATGTACAGAATGTGTAACTGATAGTCATTTTAAGATTGTATGGCTACGTCAGGCTTATGCACGAGGGAGGAGTCATGAGTCTCTCTTTGTTCGATTGAGGTGGTCTGGGATTAATTTCTCAGACGTCAGCCTCCATCAGCTCCCTCAGAGAGAGAGTAAGGCACAAAGTGAGAGTTATGAGCTCCACCCCAGCCTCTTACACTGCTGTGAAGTCTTCATTGTAATGCACTGGTTTGTCAGACTGTAAACGTCCTCATCAGCACAGAAATTAATTGAATCTTGTGTACAAAAATAAATACTTTTTACGGAAATCGATCATCAATTCTTTTGGATTTGTTTAGACAATATCTAATGTAAAATATACGGAAACGTTTACTGAAGTATTATACTTATGTACACTTTCAAAGATTTTAAATTATGTGTCCATTTTATTCTCCTAGACAATTTCCTCCACTCAGTACTCAGATCGTTTACTGAAGTAGCAATACCACAAGTGAATAGATTCTAAATTTTACTTAAAAGTAAAAGTACAAAATGGTCAGCATTAAAATGTAAAAAGTAAAAGTACTCATTATACAGAAAAGCTCATTTCACAATAACATTTTATGTGTGTTTATCAATTTAATTGAATGGTAAATACACTGCTGGGTGACTTTTAATCAATATGGCTGATATTATTTTAACCTATAATCATTGTTTATATGGTGATTATATTTATATTTTATTTGAATCGTCTAAATAACTCGTCACTAAAGTTATCAAATAATGTATTGGGGTAAAACGTACAATATTTGCCACTGAACTGTAGTGGAAAAGTATAAACTAGCAGAAAATGGAAACAACATCGCTTCTCCCATATAAATATCTTATACCCTACAAAGTGAAAGAAACACATTACAAAATTGTGCAAAATATTTCCCCCACCAACAAATTTGTGTCAAAATTTGTGGATATTGATAATACATTTTTATAAAAATGAAGATGAGATGATGTTACTCAAACCGACTGTTCAACTAAACTAGAAATCTAGGATGTGATACTATACTATAAAAATAAAACCCAGAAAATTCATAGAATTATCAATTGAGTTCTCGAGGTCCCGTCTATCATGTGAACCTTTCAGGGTTGAATTCAGAAACTAAGTGAGTTGATCCAATCTATAAATAATAAGGAAAACGTGTTCATTCAGTTAGTATTCTTTTAATAAAACATCACAGAATGCTAAAAGAATATTTAACAGGAATATAAATGTGATCTTATTGCCTAATTTTCTGTTAAATTACTCATCTTCCTACAGGCCTGTTTATTTATTTTCTATTCCTATTTATTTTATTTTTTTTACTTTACATATAATATACCAGAATCCTGTCCTACTGCTTTTTTTTTTTTTTTTTTTTGTATGTGTAGTCATGCTTTCTCATTATGATGCCTTAATGTTATTTAAAAAAAAAAAAAAAGAAAAAGGAGGAGGAAGGCATCCTGCGAGGCAAAAATAAGGGCAGTCAACCCCCCAGACAGACAGACAGACAGACAGACAGACCACCGACTTACGGCCCGAGTGATTTCACGTCGGAGTGCGCCGCCTAGCGTTCACCCGCAGCAGTCCGCGATCGGTGACACTCTGGGAGGGGAAGCAGAACAAACTGTAAGCTGCTGGCGGATCCATCTTGCTCGAAAAAGAGGCGAGGAGTGAAGGCTTCTCTCCCCCCTTCCCCACCACCCCTCCTCCACAGTTTTAGCATTTGAGAGACTGTATCGTACCCCGTTAACCGCGCTGGGGAGCCCGAAGAGGGGCTGTGTCGCTGTTTGTAGGATGTCCCGACATGAGGGTGAGTTGATAAACAGGTCCACAGCGCCGTGCTTTGGTGGCTACGTTACCTGAGCGGCTAGCTCCTCGGCTAGCTCTTTGCTAACTGCTTTTTCAAGTCAAGAGGAGGAGGGGAGAGAGAGAGAGGGAGAGAGGGAGAAGGGGGGGGGGGGGGGTGCGTTTTTTTTTTTCGCGGCTTGTTCTAACACATATATATATTCACTATCAGCAGCTTTGGTGTATATGTACATCTCCCTGCCTCCTAATTTGAGGTAACTTCTCCTCAAACCTGTTCGCAATGAGACGGCAACATTGCGGAGCTTAGCCGTTAGCCGTTAGCCGTTGCTAGGTACTGCGTTACCTTGCGTTAGCCAGGGCTAGCGAGCAAGCTACTGTATGCTAACATGAAGGAGTCGTTGGTGTAGCTTGCTGCGACTTAATGCTGCCGCTCACATTATCGGTAGCTGCCCACTACGGTGTCTCCCTAATATAGCTGTTATCATCTTTTGCTTACATTTTGGGTGTTAATTTAAGAGCCCGTAGCTCTTAACGCTAGCTGTCCCGTCTGGCCACACAACCCAATGTTGTTAGTGAATGCACTGTCATCAAGAAGAAGACAGAAAGTCTGAGGCCTCTGACCATAAACCAGTCACTAATTTAAGTGGGCTTAGCTGGCTTGCTACTAGCTCCCTAGGGTTAAGTTACGGTATGTTTTTAACTTTGCAAACCGGACGGAGGTGTAAAATTGGCTCACTTCAGTCCCCAGCACATAGCGTTAGTTGTAGCAGGCCACACAGGAGGTTATCCTGTTTAATCACACCAGAAGTTGCTAAGGTGTCACAATACAGTTAGGTAAACCCCAACAGGACCAACGTTGCTTTACCTTGTTTGAAGTAAGACAACAAAAAAAAAGGGTACATCCCAACAACATAACTTGTTAAATTGTCCCTTAGTGGGAAGGCTAGTCTTTACAATTGAAAACACTCAATGATTTTCCATGCACTCAAAATTCCTTGTGTAAGAGGGCTGTATGCTCACATGAGGAAGGCACGCTTTATACTACTCAGTACTAATACCTCTGTTTTTGTCAGCCTCTGTAAAAACCTGATCTGCTGCGACCCACCTTCAATCAACATCTACTGCTGATAACTGCATATTGCCAGTTGATTTGCTTGTTCAGGCCTGGTTTTGGTTAATAAATCTTTTTATATTTCGATGGTTTTCCTTGCATGATGTCAGATCTGTCTCGAAGAAAGGAAATTCCCCTTAATACTTGCTTACCTATTATCCAAGGTTTACCAAATAAGGCAGTTTTCCCTTCAAAGGAAATGTCAGTGAGTCAGGAGTTGGAATATTGTGTGTAATGATAACTATGAAGTCTCACAGAAAATAACTGGTTGTGTCTGTAGAGTAGTAAGCCAGTGCTTGAACAGTTCTTCACTCTAATCATGTAACTGTGGACAAACGGAGAGATGCAATAATATTTGATATGATTATGTGTAATAATATTCATAATCTATTTGAAATGGCTAACATTATGTCTGGTGCTTTTGCTTTTCTCCACTCATCTTTTTCTCTCTTGACCAGTTTGGTTCATGTATATCTAGATCAATACTGAAAGCATCAAGCCACCTGACAATGTGTGTACAGTGCTATTAATTAGCTTTCAGATGCTTCATGTGGTTCTGGCGTTTGTATGTGTTGCGTCTTTGAGGCCTTGCTTGTGAAGTTCACTGGAATGTCAGAGTTCCTCATTGCTGGCACTTGTGGGTTGGTGCCACTCCAAAGCACATGCTCCTGTAAGTGAGACTGGCCGACAGATAGAGATTACTTTCTCACGGCCCTGCAGACGTAGATATAAGGAATTTGTAACATTATTGTCAGGCTCCACTTGTTTGACTTTACATTTTCTCTCTTTTTTTTTTTTCCCAGGTGTGAGCTGTGATGCATGTTTAAAAGGGAACTTTAGAGGAAGACGGTTCAAGTGTTTAATTTGCTACGATTACGACCTGTGTGCATCGTGCTACGAGAGCGGAGCTACAACAACAAGACACACCACAGAGCACCCCATGCAGTGTATATTAACCAGGGTAGACTATGGTAAGGACCTGTCTGAAAGCCCAGACTGAAACTCGTTTGGCTTAGTGATCAGACGGAAAATTTATCACGCCTGTGTCATGTCATGATTGTTAAATTTTATGACTTAACTGTAGCCTACTGAGTGATTACAAATCATTCATCGTGCTTTCATTCACGAATGATGCAATGTATTGAGTGTAATGTTCTACAGAGGTACATATTTGTGTTAATTAAAATATTGATTGACAATAGCAGTCGCTCTGTTTACCGTCTCCTTGCAGATCTGTATTACGGAGGTGACACTTTTTCAGTAGACCAACCCCAGTCATTCACATGTCCTTACTGTGGCAAGATGGGCTACACAGAGACGTCCCTACAGGAGCATGTCACCTCAGAACATGCAGAGACTTCCACAGAGGTGGTGAGTATACTGCACACATGATCACGGCATCAATTTACATATTTTAAACTGTATTTTTATGTATTAGTCATCAATAATGACCACAATAAAAAAAAAAAAAAGTTGTCCATGTTGCTGTAAGCAGCCCCAGCATCATAGCTTGCTTCCACTTACATACAGTATATTGAAATCATTAGATGGATTCATTTTTTTACTCTCCTCTGTCAGCGTCACTAGAGTTCAGTCTGCTATTGCTTTTGAGAGCTGCACTTCAGTCAGCTAAAATTACTTCCCAGAATGTACGTGCAGAAGACATTTATGGATTACTTGTTGTCAGAGCATGATTTTTATGAGTGTTGTCCTCTGCTGAATAAACAGAGCAAAGCAAGGCAGAGGGTCAGGTTTCTTCTGACAGTGCTGACACCTGCATGGCTGGTTAGCAGGTTAACAGACAATGGCAGCTCCACTAGCGGGGGGGGGGGGACGGACCCTTGTAGCCCACAGGTAGAGCCAGCTTAAAGTATTTGTGCTCCAGTTGATCTTCTGTGTGCTGTTTTGTTGGATCTTGTTGCTGATTCCACACCGGAGAGAGTGTTACTGTGTAAAAGTGAGGGGCTTTGATGGATAAGGCTGGCGTTATTCTATACTTTTGTTTTTATCAATGAAATTATTCCATCTCTCAGTACTTTACACCTTCTTAAACATTTTTACTACTAAGGACATATGTCTTTAAAAACTGCTCAAATATATATATTTTTTTAACTTTTTAGACCTGCTAAATGATGTCATGAAACAGCTGGGCACTGTAGTTTTTATCAAATGTTACTCAAACAGGAATGAATGCTGCATTTGTTGAGGACTATCTGAGCACTAATGAGTCTTTACAGCAGGATGGTGTAAGTGGGATTGACTCAAAATAAAGTACAGTGGCAGTCTTTATTGTAATGAAGTAACATGTCACCCAGTGCAACAATGTGTCTCATTTATGTGTTTTTGATGGTTTTTAGACAACACTTGAGCTCTGTGGCACTACGGAATAAGATACGCCAGGGATTGATTATACAGACAATACTCGTTTGTAGGAACAGTTGATCGTTGGTTTTGGTCTCATGCCATACTTCTCTTTTAGATCATTTTTCATTGATGAACCGAAAGAGAAAAAAAAACTGTGCCCACAGAACCATAACAGCAGTTAGAGAGGAAGTGTGTCTATAACCTGTTGCTGCGTTTGTATATAGCCATTAATGTACAGGATGTCATTTACTGGGGTGTGCATTGAGAATTTGATGCGCAGTATACGCTGGTGTGTGTGTGCAGTTATTGCCTTTAATGAAGTAATTTGAGGTGAAATGTTCTGTTGTTTCACTGCACAGTAATGCTGCCTTTTAAACTTTTTTTCCTCAGTGTGTTTAATTTTGTGCTGCAATTAATGATTATTTGTATTATCACCTACTCAGCTGATCATTTGTGATGTATTCAGTGGTTGATTTATTTGACCAACAGTCTAAAAACCCAAAGGTATTCAGTTAACTATCATACAAGACAAAGAAAAGCAGGGGAATGTCTGGGAAATTATCAACAATCATTGAAGCACTGGTTCAGTTTCATTGATTTAAGTTTTGCTGGGTTTATATCTATATGATGTCCATTTCAGAGATTATCATCACTCTTAACCAAAGTTAAACAATACTACTGTAGTACCTACACAATAGAGACATGGGCCTGTACCTCTTTAAGGAATTCTTAACTCCAAATTGTTCAGTCAACTAACATATCCTCATTATCCCATATGCGGTTCTTGTAATAATTAGTAAATCTGCTCATATTGGTACATTAAGCATTTACTCATGACCGCTCATTGACTCTTAAGGGGGAACTCTACCGAGCTTACACAGTCTGTTTATAGGTCTTTGAGAGTACTACTGCAGATGTGAAAGCCTTTTGTGGCTCCAGAGGGAGCTGCGTGAGGTTGATGAATTGTCTCAAGTGATGTCACTCAAGTCGGTGTTGGTTGGGGCTGAAGACTACAAGTCTGAAAATTAAATAAATCTAGGGGTGAACTCTGGGGTAGTTAGGAAGATGTACGTTTACCAGACCGCCCACTCCTCATATCTGCTTGAGGCTGGCAACTCGAGGCTACATTAGCCGCTATTAGCATAACACACCTGAATCTCTAACTGAACTGTTGGTCGAGTTGAATTGTGGGTAATTAGAGCACCAGTTTTTGACAAGGAAGAAGAATTTGTGGAATACAAAAGATGATTTTTGGTTGGAATAAAAAACATGATTGCTGCATTGATTTTGATCTTTTATGTCCATTCTGACATTGATTCTGTTAAAGGACTCTTTGGAGTAGAGAATTCCTCTTTAACCCGAAACCTCTCACTCTCTGATTTCAGATCTGTCCAATATGTGCTGCCTTGCCAGGAGGGGACCCCAACCACGTCACAGATGACTTCACAGCTCACCTCACACTTGAACACAGAGCACCAAGAGATTTAATATCCTTTCTGTGTCCCCACACACTAGTCTCTACATTAAGCTGTGTTTACGTATATGTTTAAATGTCCTGAGCGATACCATACGTTGTGTCACATTGCAGCATTTACCCTTAACAGTCCCTCTTTACGATGAGTCCAGCAGTGTTCGACATGTACGCCGGATGTTCCACCCTGGACGAGGACTGGGCGGTCCCAGAGCACGACGGACAAATATGCACTTTACTAGCGGTTCCACAGGGGGACTATCATCCTCCTCATCACAAAGCTCCACTTACACCCCCAGTAACCGAGAAGCAATGGACCCAATTGCAGGTGAGAATCGGTGGTATACTGGTGTACTCACATCGGTGCTGCCACCAGAACCAGATGGGAAGAGTTGAATCCTTCACAAAACTAATTATATACAATCAAAACTCTGCATTGTAGGACTGATAACCCTCCATTTCCATCTGTCTACAGGTGCACATGAAAGTTTTTTAGCAAATTTGCCTTCAGAATTGCTAATATGTTTTCTTTGCGTAGATGACTACTAACCATAAATCTCAAGGGTAATGATAATTACTGTATAACAGTAACTGTATTTTTCACAGCATTATGTTTTTATGATGTCTGTCAGTTTGAGTAGTTTCATGAATGTAAACAAAATAAGTCAAACAGTACAATACAAAGTGTGTACTGGCATCTGAAGGAAACAATTCATCTTGGGTATATTTTATAGTGGATTATGGAAATGTGCTCCAAATCCAATAATGCTACAAATTGTAAAACATAAGTGAAAACAAAATTATTTCTTAATGTTTCTGCCTTTGCTTTTGTATGTGTTTTGTAATATTTGACCGCTGTTACAGCCCAAGTGTATTGAGCTAAAAAGCAGAGGTCAAACAGCTGATACTAGCTTAAGCTGCCTTTTGTTTAGTTAGTTTAGTTTATCTGTGTATCTTTATAAAACAGTAGTTGTCATGCTTTTCAAATTAACTGTCCATACAAAGCAGACAAATATTTATACCAATTTTTCTTTCTCTAATATTTTTATAGTGTTTAATCGTCAGTTACTATTTAAAGTTATCTACATTTTCTCTAATCTTTTTTCATCTTGTCTTAAGAAAAGCAAAAAAGAGAAACAATAATCTGAAAAGATATAAACCAAACCCCTAATGGCTGATTATAGTCCTAGCTGTTTATTTATTTTTTTAACAATCAAGTTGTTTACTTTTCCAAGTTAAATTAATATACACAATCATGTCTTTTTCTCTGTCCTTCATATCTTCTTCCAGTTATCTACAGTGTTGTCTTTTGAAATCATGATTTATTTAGAAACAGCCAACAGTGAAGTCTGGTCTGTTTTTGTTGTTTCTCCTGCAGAGTTGTTGTCTCAGCTGTCAGGTGTGCGGCGTGCAGCAGGGGGGCAAATAAACTCATCAGGGCCTTCAGCCTCCCAACTCCAGCAGCTCCAGATGCAACTGCAGTTGGAGCGGCAGCAGGCTCAGGCCGCGCGGCAGCAAGTGGAGACGGGTCGCCACGCGACACGACGCAGCAACAACCCAGGCAACACTGGCAACACCATCCCTCCACCCAGCACAGTAACTGCCAACACTGCCACTGTGGGTGATAGCAATCCCTCATCCTCGTCCCACAACTCCCAGTTCCTATTAGCACGGTGAGTGTAGCCCAGTCGGTTGTTGTTGTTTGGAGTATGATAATAATCACTTCTAGTAATGTTATTGGTTATAAATTATTAGCTTATTTATTAAATGTGATCGGCACAGATCGTGTGTCCTAAAATCTTAGAGACAGGAAAATCTTGTTACAGTTCTGTTTGTAAGTTACTCTGTTGATCTTAAAGGATAATGTGGGCGATATTCAATATCTTTATCGTCAATAAAACAACAGTGTGTTAGTTCCGCTCTTAGTACTTTCCAACTTCCTCTCTTATCCCCAAATCCCTCGGTTCCTACTTAAACACAGAATGAATGGATATATACCTAAATGCAGCATTCATTGGGGATTATTTTTAGCTGTGGATTTAGTGCAATAGTGAGTATTTATGACAACAGGATGATGTTTATGGGATTGACTCAAAATAAACTACAGTGTTCATCATAATAAAGCAACATGTCAGCCAGTAAAATAGCGTGGCTCACTAATGTGTTGTAACAACAGAGGAATAGACTATCAAGCTTTGCAAACACAAACAAAAGTTGTCAGTAGGATTAATTTATTATTGGTTTTGGAATCGTTTACAACAAGGAAAATAAAGAAAATCATCAGCCTTATCCTTTTTAAGATGACTTTGTTTTCAGACATTAAAGCTGATCTTAATTTTCAAAATAAAATGTAATTAAGTTTTTTTCTGAGGTATCATAATACCTATTGACATAATTCTTGTTATAATACAGTTAGTTGTTCCTCTGTTCTCTTCATAAGTTTCAGTTTTTTGAGGACTCCTGGTGCCACAATGCTTAAGTTGTCTTTGGTCGTATAATTAATTACCTATGTAAGCAAACGGGTACATCAGGTTAATCAACAGAATAATGAGTAGTTCCTCCTGACTCTATATCGAAACTTAAAGTGAATTGACCTGGTTAAATTTCCCTTTTGTGTTTAGAATAGTAAACAGTGACTCGTTATCTGAATGTATTTAAATGTAATCACTGTTGTCCCCAGGTTGAATGAACCTAAGATGTCTGAAGCAGAGCGTCAGTTTCTAGAAGGAGAGCGCGCAGACCGCAGCCTGTTTGTCCAGGAGCTGCTTCTGTCTACGCTGATGCACGAAGAGAGCTCTTCTTCTGACGAGGAAGAGCGTCGAGACTTCGCCGACTTTGGAGCCATGGGCTGCGTGGATATCATGCCTTTAGATGTGGCGCTGGAGAACCTCCAGCTTAGAGAGAGCAGCTCTACGAGGAAGGAGCCTCCGCCGCCTCCTCTTTGATGTCCGAGCATCAAGCAGACTGTGTCCTCTCTGCTGCAACTGTCAGTGATGGGCAGCAAACCGCAGCAGTCCTCTCTGGCCTCACCCTCCTCTCTCCCTCCTCTATTTTCTGAGTTTGTTTTTTTTTTCCTTTTCTTTTTTTGTTTTTGTTTTGGTGATTGTAATTTCAGGCCTGTCACCATTTTTGTTACATTGTAAACAAAAATAAATGAGAGCAAGTGGGATAAATGTGCGAGTGCGCAATAGCAACTGAGTGAGCGAGCGAAAGAAGAGAAATATATAAATATATATAAGATATATATGAAGTTGATAATCAATCCACATAACTTTTCTTTTCTTTATCAGGTAAATGTTACAGGCAGCTGTGGCAGACCTTTGCTTCCTGTGACATGCAAATGGATCTCCGTATAAATACTCCACATTCAAAAGTCAAGAGGGCATAGGCTCCTCTGATCAAGCTGCTGTGTGTGTTTATGACTATTAATAAATAAAAAAGTGCTTGGATGGGTTACCATAACTACTGCATGCAGTTATTTGCGGCGTGCATGACTTTTAATGACAATGTCATTAAAACCTTTTTTTTCCTTTTGTTTTTTAAATATCCCAAAGCTTTCAACTGTTTTTTAAATTTCAAACACAGTTAACTATTGAAAATTTAGTAGTTTACAAAACTGACATGCAGAAATTCAAATCTAACAATCTAATATTTTGTTAGGTTTTCTTTGAATGAGCATATATGATGAAGAGAAAACGATTGGATTCAGCAGTAGCTTCTGAAGAAATGCTGCACTGTGTGTGTGTGTGTTTGTGTGCGTGTGTCTCTCCAGAGCGCCTTTTCTTTCCGACGACTGTCTGAATACGTCAGTCGCTGTGCTAACGGCAGCGGCGCTGCAACTACAAGCATCCGATGAATACTAGGAACAGAAGAAAAGTTTTTTCCTAGATGTTAATGTTTAGTGATAAGCTGTTTAGGCACAGTATACTTTATAATTTATAGATAAGTACAGATGCCCAACTACAGTATGTCCATTGCTCTTTCACACTAGTTTCTGGCATTCACTCTGCTTGTGTACAGGCCCAGTGTCAGACCACATGCTTTAGATGGCTTGTATGAATTTCTTTGCTAGGTAACCGGAGCTTGAGGCTTTCCACACTGCAGTTTTGTTTTGTTTTTTATTGGTTTTTTTTTTTAGGAGAAGGCATTCTTATTTTTTTCTGCTAAGATTAGCACTTTCTATTTATTCATGTTGTTTTCTGATTCTTTTGAGCCTTGATATGAATCATGCCACCTTCATGCCTATACTTTTACCCTCTATGTAAAATACAATGAGATGTATATTGAATTTGTGCGTTAACTTTCATAATGGTTCTAAGACATGGGCAGACATTTTTTTAAATGTAAATTTAGAATACAATAAATATAAACTGCGCACAGCTTTTGATGAAACCAAGAGACCGTCACACTTTTGCACCGTGTGTTGTTGTGATTCCAGATGTTTGTGGTCAGATGGCACAAGTTCACAAACTTAAAATCTTTGACTGCTTAAAGAGAGAAGCAACGTTAGCAACTATTCAGCTAAAACAGGTTACTTTAACCCCCCCATTTATCATTAATAAGTACATAAACACTGAACAGGTTGTAACACTATAATCAGTGGTGGCTGAAGAGGTGGGTAAACTCTTGTAATGTTATAAACAGTGACATTTAATGCTACTCTTTAGTGTTTGCACATTGTCATATAACTTCTATTGCTTGATTTCAGGGAGAAATTACCTTTATGTAATTAACATTAGCAACGAAAAGGAGCAGATTTTACTGGCTCACAGAGGGGTGAGTCTACGTAATTATGCATTTTGAGTTAAGTCTTATTCTTATTATTCTTATTAACTAGGTAATGCCTTCACCATCATAGAAAAGAAAATCCAGCTTGCAGAACACTGATTGATGCACATCAGAGGGGATTTAGAAGTGGATATACCCTGCACCACACCTCTATAATATTGTTTTAAGCAAATATAAATGTCTATAAATGTGTTTGTCAACTACTATAACTCCTTATGAGGGAACCCAGAAGTGGTGGCAGGTGTATAAATGAATAATGAATGATAATGGCATAAAACACAGGTATAAACATATAAAATAGGCGAAGTTACATCCTTTTATAACTATATTACACTTTGTTATAAACCATTTATGAAGTGTTTATATGCTTATAAATCCTACAAGGGGAGGTTAGAGTAAAATGTTATCTGTAAACTCTGTCTTGAGTATTCTGAAAAATAAGATCAGTGCATGTAATAACATACAACATATAAAAATGTAGTATAAAAGCAGTCACTAGTGCACATCCTGCAGTCTGCGTGATCAAAACAGAAAATCAATAACATGTTTGTACCCAACTGAACAGTATTCCGTCCCCATTGTTTTATTTAGTATAGTGATCTTAATGAAAGGGGAAAGTTCTTGTATTTATTCCTCCTGCAGCAGACACACTGACGCTTCCCTCAGGGCAGTAAGTGACTCCCCCCCCCCCCCAGCATGAAAGACACGAGATAAATTTGTTAAGGAAGATGCCCTTGATGGACTGACGCAGCAACTGTCCAACCAGAGTGTGGAGCTCCTCACCTCTAACTACAATACACCGAGGTAGGTTACACACCACGTAGCTTCACACTTCTACAGTCTATAGTCTTATGTGTTTGTGTGTCAGCTGTAACGGTATAATACAATATACCTTCCTAAGAACAGTTAAATAGCTGTTGCTACTGGTTTGTCTGTGTGTGTGTGTGTGTGTGTGTGTTAGGGCCTTAAGGGCAGCTGTCCTTGTCACTCCTCAGTAGTTATTGTTAGAAACAAATGGTGCCAGTGGGATACCTTTCATGACACATGTTGGGTTCTTTTTAAAGTAGCCCACCACTGAAAGCAATGGTGAGGCACAGATTAAATGTCAATCACACCTTAACACACAAACCTCCCAGATTGTCCACAAGCTACAGAGGACAAGCAATCAGGTCAGTAGCTATGAGAAAGCTGGCTGATTGGGATGGACTTACACAACACGTTTTCAACCTTTTGGATGCTCAGACAAATCCTACAAAATGTAACTGCATAAAAAGCAAAAAAATAACAAAATGTTTCAAAACATTAAAATTTGACAGACTCTGACTCTAATGATGGAAAGTAAGTAAGTACTTACTACTTACTTTACTCAGGTAGTGTTACTTTAGCTGCTTCTACTTGTCTTCTCCACTGCAGTTCAGGGGGAAATATTGTACTTTTTACTTATTACACATTTATCTGACAGCTTTACTTGCCAGTTAATTTACAAATTCAGATTTTTGCACAAGAGCATGTGGAGGGTTTATAAAATATAATGTTTTGTTATAGATCCAATTACCCAACAGCTGATACTTGTTCATTTGAAACTATTACTTGATTAATCAATTAGTTAATTGACTGAAATTTAATTGGCAACTATTTGGATGATTGTTTAAATGAATGCTTGAATACTTTTACTTTTAATAATTTAAGCAAAATCTCCTGATACTATTTACATACTTTAACTCAAGAAACATGTTCAATGCAGGACTTGTAACAGAGTATTTATACGTGTGGTATTAATACTTAAAGGACCAGTGTGAAGGATTTAGTGGCATCTAGCGGTGAGGTTGCAGATTGCAACTAACTGAACACTGCTCGCGTCTGTATTTGACGACCTGGGAATGAGAACGGGGTTGTGAAGTGTTTAGGGAGAAACTACGATGGCTGCAAGTCTCGCGAAAAACAGGCCCTATCTGCAGCCAGTGTTTGGTTTGTCCTTTCTGGGCTACTATAGAAAACATAGTGGATTTTTAAAAGTCCAGTGTGTAACATTTAGGAGGATCTGGACCTTTTAAGTAATGTATATCCAGACATAAAGAATCATGAGGGCACAGAGCATATTGTAAGACATACCACCTTTATTAAATGCACAGTATCACAAGGAACATTTCCATTAATTGTGGATAAGCTACTCACATGATGCACAAAGCATTGAATTGATTGATAGAACTGGCTGATTAAAGAAGGATTAAATCTGCCAGGAGAGCACACACACACACACACATACACACTAACAGGCACACACACTTGCATACTTGTTGTCCACCATCTCGGAGACATTAGTCACACACACGAACACATACGCTCTCTCTTTGTATTCACACAGTAAGTAAAATTTGTTATCTGCACAGGAATGAAAACTGTCATCTTTTTTTCTTTTACCATATATTTACAAAAAAATCCTTAACCCCCCCTCCCCCTCAAGATAGATTACATTCAAAAAAGGTCCCGACCCTTCTAGATTACATTCAAAATAATATACTATTCATGATGCAAAGTCACAGTTATTCATCTGAAAGAGGATCAAAATAGGCTACAGTCAGTCAGAGGTTGAGTGGTGGGGTTTTTGGCCCCTTTTCGCCATCGGCCACACGTCTGCTGGGACCTAGGAGAGATCCTGATGTTTTAATCAGATCCAGAGTCTATGGTCCTCCTGCAGACAGACAGCATCTCAAACAGCCTCTGTGTAAAGCTCCCCATCACAGTGGAGAGGAAAGAGGAGATCATTTCTCTTTTTTTTCTCCTTTTTTTCTTCAGAGAGAGAAAAAAAAAACACATTGTTCAAATAAAGTCCTCTGCAGATCAAAAGTTGCCAAAAAAAGGATTGTATTCTCACTGGTATTATGAACGAGCACAAAGAAATTATACAATGTAGCACAAATAAAATCGTATTTACATATAGTATGTATTGCCAGTGGCCCATAACACATTGTCTTCAATAGATGTCACACAGTTTTGGCATGATACCTGCTTAAAACAGATTATACTATTAAACATAGCCTACTATTGATATAGACAAATATCAGAACTGTACAGAATGGACAGCAAGTTATGTACAGCAGACACTATGACTATTATACAGAACTGACAAACGCTGTAATAAAAACATAGAGGGACACGGCCATCGTCATCAGGGGACGGTGTGTCAGGGTTGGGACTTGCTTCAGTCATGGCCAGCATAAAGCGAGGGTGACATGTTTTTGTTTTGTTATTAAGTGCAGTTGAGGTCGAGGCGGTGAGAGCTGAACACAGCCGCTCAGGTTGTGCATTTGGGGGTTAGGTAACGCTACAAAGTGCACTTAACATAACTTATTGTCTCAGCAAAGAGCCTTCTGCTTTATGCCTCCATATGGAAATACGTGACGTTTATTATGAAGCTGCTGTTTTTGCAAAGATGAATACAGAAGTCTATACCAGACATTCGGACCGCCACGCTTTTACATTTTAGCCTTTTTTTTTTTATCTCTGGAAAACAAAACTATTGAAGATAATTTTGGCAAACGAACAACAGAATTTTGAAGCATTCAGGGTCCTCAGCCCGTACAAATGTGCTTTACCTAAGTCTGAAGTGAGGAGCTGTTTCAGTCGCCACCTGGCTGACTGGGGCCGCTCAGAGAGATGGAAGCACCCCTGGGACACTTTAAGGCCAATCAGACTCTTAATTAACCCTTTTAACTGCGGCCTCTTAGTCTGCTGTGTAGAATTAAAGATCAGATCTTTAAAGTACTCCCTTGTAATGTAAATAAATGACGAATAAACAAGTAGCAACTTTAGTACATACAAAATCAAGGTGCTGAAAACAAAGAAATCCTCAATATATTTAACCCACATCAGTGCACAGTAAACTGCATCAAAATGCCCTGCCAATCCCTCCTAGAAATAATTAGGCAAAATAATGAAGATCCAAAAAGTCATCTTCTTTTGTCAAACCGTTAACACAATCTCATCACAACATTAGAAAACCTGCCTCCGGAGATGCATACAAAACCACATCACTTACAGATATGGGCCACCGAACAACAATGATTTGCTAAATGGCATTGCTGGTGAATGAAAATAAAATAAAATAAAACAAAACAAACTGTGCTCATCTTTTTTTTTTTGGCACAGCTCAACACCACCGAGTCCTCGTTCTCTGTGCTTTAGATACATCAAATGGAAAAGGCTGTGAGATGAGTAGAGCACTCCAACGACGTTTAAAACACCACTTTGTAAATATAGATGAGCTTGTGTAACAGATATTTACATAAAATATGGCGAATGATGATGACATTTTTTCTTAAAAAAAACAGTGTAAAATGTTGTGTGCCCTTGCGTTTTACAACCTCAACACTGATTTTACATTGGGGAGTCCCTCAGTGGACTAGAGTAGGTTATATGTAACAGACACAGGCATCTATAAGAATCCATACGGGTTTCACACTGTTTTTTTTTTTTTCAAAACACACTTGTATAATAATTAGCGTTGAGCGAGTACTCGGCTGAAATCATCATCAGGTACAGATAATGTACTTTTTATCAATGAGAGTTAAGGTTAGGGGCAATATTTGTAATCGTGAATACAGCAACTTTTATCATACTCTTATTATCAAACTCATTGGTCTAATGCTCAATGTTTTTTAATGAATATCAACCCATATCAATTTTAGGCTTCAAATTAACCCCTATGTAAGTGTAAGCCCCACCCACGCTGCGTTAAGCCCCGCCCATTCACAATACAGCTACAAATACAGATCATTTAGTGAGCAGATACAGATAGCAGTGTACTCGCTCATCACCAATAATACCATACACGTACGTTTAAAATTCAAACAAGCAAATGTTTCAGTACACGACTCAAAAACCACAGATTTAAATCAACAGCTCGGTATGAAACAATTGTCGTCAACATTTATAAATTCTACAAATATTAAAATAGTCTGTGATATATAAAAGAAAAAGCTTCAGCTGTAACTTGATGAGTAATTTTATCTTCCTGCAGAATATGTTGCTCTGTGTGACAAAGAAGACAAAGCTCTATCTACAAAGTTGTGTCCATACACTGTCCATTATGGAGACACATTATTTTCCCTTTGTTCATTTCCAGCAAATATGGAATACAGGAGGGTGATTATTAAATGCGATGAAGACAGAATAACCCAGTAATCAATGTTTCTGATTATTGGGTTTCATTTATTTTTATGCCTTTAACATATAGGAGTGTTGATGGTTTGGATAAAGTTACATAATCCTGTATGCATTTTGGTTTCCATTAGTGAAACATGCCTCAGTAACATCTGCAAAATGGATAAGAAAAAGAAAAGCAAAAGAAAATCACTCAAAATTTAAGGCTTTTCTCGATGTAATGAGGACACAGACGATAGCATTTACAGCAACATTTACAGCCGGGTACTGTACACAGACGCAGGCACTCACACAGTCGCACAACCTCCATTTCCTCCCCTCCTCTCTGTCTCATCATGTGCAGACAAACACACACACACACACACACACACACACACACACACACACACACAATCACATGTCCACACACTCACATGCACGCCAAGTACATACAAGAACACCGGCGCATCAGCCCAGTATGTCCAGGTACACGGGCGAGGCCTTGGCGAGGCTCTGCAGCATGCTGTGGATCTCCTTGATGTTCAGCCTCATGTAGGGCTCCCTCTGCCAGCAGCCCAGCATCAGGTCGTACACCTCTTTAGGACAGGTGCGTGGCCGCTGCAGCACGCGGCCTTGGGTGATGCACTCAATGACCTTCAGAATAAAGAGACAATACACAGTCTGAAGTTTGGCTGTGGGGTACAAATGGAAGCAAAGATCGGCTCAAAGATATCAACTGAAAAGTTCAATATGATAATCAGGAAGTTTTTATTCAGAGGCAATTGATCATTGGTTGCTTTTATATAAATTTAGCATGCGTCATTTGGATACATTTTGGACAATTGAGATAAATTTGTTAAGGAAGATGCCCTTGATGGACTGACCCAGCAACTGTCCAACCAGAGTGTGGAGCTCCTCACCTCTAACAGTACAATACACCGAGGTAGGTTACACACCACGTAGCTTCACACTTCTACAGTCTATAGTCTTATGTTTTTGTGTGTCAGCTGTAACGATATACAATTGAATTCATGCTTTAGACTGAATTCATGTTTTAAAAAAGGATAGACAAAATAAGCTTAGGCTTCAGTCTACACCTTTTTTTCGGTCAAAGAAAACAAAAGAGAATAAAAGAGAATAAATAATTTGTAAGAGAAACATATAGGGATGAGGAAAGAATGATGATATATTAATTGTTTTGTTTATATATCTTGTCACTTTTTTCTCTTATCTTTGTTTTGTTTGTCTTGTTTTGTTTGCATGGTCATCTGTTCAAGAAATTATTCATGGAATTATTGTGAATAAAACGGAAAAATAAAACTTACCTAAACCTAAACAACTGACAATTTTGTCAGAATGTGGTCGCGCTATCGCAGCTTTTAGCATCTGTCTAGCACCAAAAACACTGGATACTACATTTCCCACAATGCAACCAATACCTTTTATGCCATTCACGTCAACATTCGAGTCATTTATTTTTATTTTCATTAAAGATAAAACTTAATAATATGGAAATGCCTGAAAACAAAACAAACACTGATGCCTCACATCAATCTAATCAATCTTTAGTTTAATGTTTTCATTGGTGATTTATTGGACTTCATTTCCATCATCAATTGTGTTTTGGTGTTAGTTGTAAAGCTGTGTCACACACCGCTGATTTTTAAAGAATTCCTCAAATTTCAAACTTTAGACCTTTGCTATAGACCGTCAGGAGAAATGTCTCTGTGTTTAAGTGTGGGTTGTGAACCTGAGGAAGAATATGTGTAATTTAAAGTGTCTCTGAGCTCTGTGAGTGCCAGCGTTGACTAACTGCAGACCTCGTGTGACTCTGACCTCATTGTTGGAGAGCTGGTACCAGGGCTGCTTGCCGTAGGTGAAGATCTCCCACAGCACCACGCCGAGGCTCCACACGTCACTCTCTGTGGTGAACCGTCGGTACATGATGCTCTCTGGGGGCATCCAGCGGATTGGCAGCATCGTATGACCGCCCACCTGCAGAGAGAGAGAGAGAGAGAGAGAGAGAGAGAGAGAGAGAGAGAGAGAGAGAGAGAGAGAGAGAGAGAGAGAGAACAGTGTCCATCAGAAAGCAACACCAGAGCACTGCTAAAGAGTTTAGAGCTGCTGGTTAGACTGACTGTACTTTATTTGCCTATTTGTACTCATGGTTCAGACTGAAACATCTCAAACACTTCTGGATGTATTGCCATGAAAGGGTTAAACAGACATTCAGGTGCCCAGAGGATGAAATCTGATGACTTTGGTGATTCCCTGACTTTCCTATTCTGCCACCATGAAATTAGCAGCAAATTCTAATAATTTTGGTGATTTTCTGACTTCTCATTTAGTGCCATCATCAGGGAAAATTTGAATTTGTCCAACACTTTGGTTTATGATCAAATAAATATATATAATAAAATATATTCCCGTCAGCTTAAGCTGTATTTTGTGTTGAGTACTAATTAGCAAATGGTAGCATGCTAATACACTAAACTAAGATGGCGGACTTGATAAACATTATACTTGCTAAAAACCAGCATAACATTGTCCTTGTAAGCAGGTTAGCATGCTGATATTAGCATTTAGCTCAAAGCTATGCTGTTCCAAAGTACAGACTCACAGAACAGCAAGCAGAGCTTCAGACACTTCGTCTAGTTACTGTAAAACATATAACATGTTGTTAATACCTTTGTGAAATCATGTTTAAGCCTAAAACCAAATTATGTCCAGCCAATACACACCACAAGTGAAATGACTAATTATTCATTACTTATTTCTCAGTTGGCAGTTTATCTGGTAAACCCAGCTAAAGCTGATGCTGTCTAGTGTTTCCCAAACTTGTAACACTGCGTACCACCTCAGAAAATATTCCCCACCATAATGACTGACAGTGAACAGTAACGTACGCCAACACTATTCAGCTATGGACTGTTAACGCAGGAGGCAGTTTTATTCCTAATAAGATGATATATTGTTGTTGACTGAATCCTGAACGGAACTGATTTGAGAACCAGAGCTAATCGGGTGGAAAAGAGTTATCCCTGATCCACACTATTCTTCCCATTACTTCTTGTTTGGAGCCACGTTTGCAGTGTTTTTGAACCATTCAATTTACCTCCCGCTTATTATCTTGTAACTTATCATGTATGTATGTGCACGACTACACAGCAGGCTGATATTGAAAAAAATATGACAGGAAATGCAAAACTTATATTAAATTAGGTTTCAGCAATATTTTAATTAAACTAATTTACTTAATTTTTTAAAAACTATTTCAGAGAGCTCTCCTACCATCAGTGGTACACATATCATAGTTTGGTCTAATACAACAGCCCCGCAATAAATCCTGCAGACATGAAAGTTGGGATGTTTTAGAGAGGTGTTGATTAAACTGTAAGGAGGATGGTGTTTGTGGGGCTGGTTGCACAGCAGACATTTTGAATTGTCAAAGCCAGAAAAACACAGGTGGACTAGAATAACAACAGATTAGTTCCATGAAGTGTCCCAGTAACAGTAACAGTTAACCAGCAGCCACAATATCGTAAATAATAAGTGGAATGCAGCTCCTGTTAATACACTGTATATGACTAGTCCATTGTATTATATTATACGGAGAGGTGTTTTTGTTATTCAGCCTACCCTCATTGATTTCAATTGGGTGGATAAAATATTATAAACACATCTCTGAATAATTTAATACAGTTCAACAACGTCACAAAACCGCATCCTCCAGAATGATGGTACAGTTGAATCAACACCTCTCATCAAACTGAACATTATAACCTTCATAAATGGTAGGCTTTATGACAGTGCTGTTTTATTACACTGCATTAGTTAAAGCTAGGTGTACTTAATCAACGAGCAACTGAGTCTATCTTTCATAGTGAGCAATTAAGTTTAGTCACTCTGGCATTCCTGTAACTCTCCAGTTATTCCTTCATAACCTTTTATCCAATCAGAGTCTTCCTGTCTTCCTGTCTTCTTCTATCAGTTATTTCCTGTCTACTAAATGCATTTCCCTCTCTTCCTGTTGGCCCTTTTATCCAATCACCTTTACTGTACTTCTATGCTTTCCCGTTCATTGCCTCACCTACATTAACTCACATCCACCATCATTCAATTATTTAATGTGCGATATTTGAGCCAGTGTCAGGGGTTTACACCAAATACGGTAGCCTAAGAGGCTCCTACAAACGGACTACTTTGTGCCCTAGCAGCTTCATTGTAGACTAATCTGTTTTTTTAAAAAGCACAGTACTTCATGAAGAATATGTTTATGTGAATAAATAATGTTTTATAACAAGTTTTAAGCAACCTGGTTGATCTAATTTATTGTAGCATCATTATATCAGATAGACAGCCTCATATTATTAGATTGTTTTCATGCTTTTGCTTTCTGTTGGATAAAAATGACTGATATCAGTAGTTAGATGACAGGGCCTCTTTAGGATGATCTTATCTCATGCAGGCAAGTGCATCTCAAAGATTATGTTTTTCGTGTGTTTAGATTTGTGACTCCACTTCAGGCAGCAGAGGGCACTGTGGGATTCAAGCTGAGAAATGAGACACAAAGGATGAGGCAATGAAATAATTCCATATGCTCCTCAACATGATATTTCTATTCTGTTGTTTTACTGGCCTGTATTGTAGCACCTAACTGTCAGTGGGTTATATGATGTACTATAACTCCTCTATGGTTCAATGCTGTTCATGCAGAGCGAAGAGAAGTAGTAACTCCTTGCCCAGGGAAAGAGAAAAACTGCCGATGCATTTTTGCACTGTTGGCCCTTATTACCATGGAAACATTAATTTTATGCAGATTATAGAATTTGCATTTAAATGGTATTAAAAATAGATAAAATACCTCTGGTTAAAATTGTCATTTCTGCAGCTACACAGTTATTTCAGGCCAAAACTGGAATCAAATTCTAATTACATATTTGAGACTGTGTGGCTACATTTCCATATTTCTGTGTGTATATCAGAGGGTTGTGAGTGTGAGTGTGTGTGCATCTGTGTGAGTAAGAGACTGGGGGGGTAAGACGAGGTGAGAACGGGGAAAATAATCAAACAATACTTACTCTGTAGTAATCTGTGCTGTAAACGTCTCTGGACATGCCAAAATCTCCGATCTTGACCAGCAGGTTTTCTCCGACCAGGCAGTTCCTGGTTGCCAAGTCTCTGTGGACAAAGTGCTGGGAGGCCAGGTAGACCATGCCAGCAGCAATCTGTTGGGCAATGTGCAGCATCTGGGACTGGGTGAGCTCCACCAGGATGCTGTGTTGACCGTCTGCCATTAGCACTGCATCAGGACCGTGGGACCTGCACCCAGAAACGCTTCAATCACTCGTACCACAGAACAGTTGCAGCTTAATTTACAACAACCAAAATGTACCATTTCACTATGGGCAACTGAACTTTCTATTATTATACTGTGATAAAGTACATCTTATGTAAGAATTTGATGCTTTTCTTCGTCATATGATAGTAAACTGAATAGCTTTGGGTTTTTAGACTAGTCGGTTGACTAAAACAAGACATGCCAGGACGTCGCCCTGGGCCACAGGGATTTTTCACAACTGACATTTAAAATGTTGTATTAAAAATTTAACTATTAATTAATAAATTATTATTTTAATTATTTATTAATCTGCTGATTATTTTGTCATTGAACTGTTTAGTCTATGAAATGTCAGTCACAGTTTCCCAGAGTGGATGGGGAAATGAGATGTTCAGTTTATTATCATATCATATAAGGAAACCACCAAATATTCACATTTGAGAAGCTGGAACCACTGAATATTTGGCTTTTTTTTTTTTTTTTTTTTTTTTTTTTACTTTGCAATAAAACTTTAACAATTATCAAAATCGTTGCAGATTAAATTTCTGTCAGTTGGCTGATTGATTTATCTACTAATCATTTCAGCTGTACATTAGCCTTAAATGATTTATAGATTACATAACAAGATTGGAATGACCAAAGGGAAATCCTTTTCCATTCAGCATTGCCATAAAGCAACACTGCTAAAATGGACTGTGTTAAATGGGTAGTTCCCTCAGTAGAAACAGTATTACATTTTTCTTTAGTGGACACATTTCTATGATCTCACAGAATATATCACACTATCGCTGCCTTCAATGCACAGTGGACACTGTATTTGTACATTTTAGGATATAAACGTATATGCTTTCTTACTGAGAGTTAGATGAGAAGACTGATACCACTCTCTATATTTGTCCACTAAATATAAAGCTGGTGCCAGGATACAGTTAGCTTAGCGTAGCATGAGGAACACTGGCAGCAATGGGGCTAGACTGGCTCTGTCCAATGATAACAAAGTCCACCTACCAACACCTCTGAAGCTAACATGTTAAATCTTGTTTATTTAATCTGCGTGTGTGGTTTCATGGTGGATAATGGGATTATTTCTTGGGCCAAGAGCAGTGACTTCCTGGAGTCTCAACTGGTTGCCTGGCAACTCCATGGTGACAACAGGACTCCAGGAAGTCCCGGCTACCAGCCAAGAAATAGTCTGGCACATAAAGGTTTTTGTTGCACAACTTTAACAAACAGACATAAAGTGTAAAGTTCATAAATTTGTTTTAGGTGCTAGTAGACCTTTTTGTTTTTCTTAATCCACGTTTCCAGTCTTTATGCTAAGCTAAGCTAATTAATTTCTGGCTACAAGAAAGCCAATAAGCATGTATCCCAAAATTTAAAACCATTCCATTGACACGTTATTATTTTCAGAAGCCAGAAATGATCCTACCTGAGGAACTTGTTTAGGTCCCCGTGTTTCATATACTCAAACACCATGATGAGCGGGTCACTCTCCACACACACCCCGTAGAAGGTGACGATGTGTTCGTGTTGCAGGTTGGTGAGAAGCTCGGCCTCTCTGTAGAAGTCCGCTCGACCGCTCTCGTTGGCCTCTTTCAGAGTCTGGCCAAAAAGGCAAAGACACAAAGACCAGAGAACCACGGTAAGGAGCATATCTACAAGAATGTGCATCTAGTCAATAGACTGAATGACAAGTGCATTGATTATCTGAGCGAACTGCTTCCTGATCTGTACCTTGACTGCCACATGGAGCTTCTCCTGGTCTGGTGTCAGGTTGTAGCACTCAGCGAGAAACACCTTCCCAAAGGCTCCCTCTCCCAGCTCCCGCTTCAGAACAATGTTGTGTCTCTTGATGTGCTGGACGACTTTAATGCAGAATAAGACAAATCACTCTCAAGGTCATTTTGATGTTTTGGCGGGAGTTTTGGTGCATGTAGATTGTTAATTGTTTATTTTAGTCTGTTATAGTTATCCAGGTCAAATCAGATTAGGGCTGCAAAATTAGTTTAAAAAAAATCCAGTAACAATCTCCTACAGCCCAAGGTCACATCTTCAGCTTGCAGGATTTGTCTGATGAACAGTCCAAAACTGATAGACATTCGGACAAAAGCAGCAAATCTAGAGGCTAAAATTAACAAATGTTTGACTTTTTTCTCAATAAATTACTTAAACAATTATCAGAATTGTTGATTGTTATTATTCAGCCAACTGACAAAGAGATTCAGCACTTATTAACATTTCTAAAAAGTAAAGTATAGTATAGGAAACCACATGCACTTGTGTCTGAGAAAGAAAAACATTTAACTCATTCTTCTGAGTTAAGCCTCCCTGTAAACAAGGTTGTGTGTCTGAACATCATCTGTAGGCTAACTGTCCAGCTGCCCTGCAGAGCAGGAGCCGCTATCACAATGCGGCAGGATGCTGACAATAAATATGGCGTCGGGCTGTGACCCCTGCATGGATTTATCAGAAAAGGTCCAGGTTACCAGTCGTTTGTCGAGTGAGGCGGTAACTCACACGTGTCAGATTTCAGCATGCTGCCGGAGTTGCGGAAGTACTGTGGGTTCTCAATGACAGGAATCTTTGTCATCCCAATCATCACTGCGTCTGGACCCATCTCCGAGGACGACGGGGTGTTGTTGCCATTGGAGACGTGATGAAGAGGGCTGGCAGAGTCATCGTCATTACTGATGACTGAGGAGGAGCCTAGGGAGCCACAGAAGAGGTGAGAGACGAGTGGAGAGGAAAGGACAAAAGGCCATAGAGGAGGAGAAGGAGGAGGGTTGGAAGGAGAAAAGAGATGGAAGGACTTGTAAATACAAAGGATATCAGTAGATCATAGGCAAGATTTATCCTGAATTGACATGAGGACATGTCTTCAGACCAGAGTAGGACTTTCAAATGCCTACATTCATTTTTATACTCATACAGTGGAAACCGCAATGAGCTTTGAATTTATGCGTGTATGTGTGTTAAGTGTTTATTAATGCTCTTGCCTCCTCTTACTCCTCTTATGCTTATTCACCTTCTTGCCAAGAGTCAGATGAGAAGATCAATGTCACTCTGATGTGTCTACTGCCAGCAACTGGAAAGCTTAACAGGCCAGTTTTGCTAGCTTTTCCCCCTGTTTACAGCCTTTGTGTTACTCAACTTAACTTTATTTATACAGCACTTTACACACAACACAGTTGATCCAAAGTTTAACAGGACACAGAGAGGAAAACAAAGCTCAAGATAAACTAACCAGCTTTGTAGCCTCATTTAACACATTTAACACAGGAGAGTGGTAACAATATTCTCATCTAACTCTTGGTAAAAAAAAAAAAAAAAGTCAAAATGTCTAACTATTACGTTAAGAAGATTAGTTTACCTTTAAGACCAAACTTTGAGTTTCTTCCATATTTCAGAATGATGACCATCAGAACACAGCCGGTCAAGGCGACTCCTGCGATTCCCACAACTACATACACCTGGGAAGACAAAAAAAACAAACAATATTATTTGAAGCATAACTGACAACAAAAACATCCTTTAGGTCAGTGGTTCCCAAACTGGGGTCAGTATCCCTGTTAATTAAATCTGAGGAGTCATGAGAATATTTACATGATGGGGAAAGTGTATATTTCAACATAAAATATGTTTATTTTTGCAGACTTTCCTCCAATCGTTTTTTTTTCTAGATTATTTTTGGTGTTTTGGACCTTTGACCATGTCCTTAGTTAAACTGGTTGACAGCTGTTAGATAGATGCATAGTGCCTGAAGTGGACCAAAAAAAGTGCCAGTACCCCAACTCAGCACAACCACAACCCTTCAGTGTTAAGCTATGTGTTTACACAGCGATATAGTTACACTAGTGTTACTTTTTTACCACCGTATTCTGCCCCTACTTTGCCTCTGATTGGCTCTGACCATGACATTTTTTTCTAACGCTAACCCTCTCACTTCTCAAACTTAATCAAACAAACAATAGCCAATGGTGGCGATAAGCAGTAAATAGTAAGGGTACTCATGTGGACAAAAATCTGAAGTATCAGGACTAGTGAAAGGGTGTTACAGGTGAAAAATAGTTTTAAGGGGGACACAAACCAAAACGTTGGGAACTACTCTTTTAAATGGTCAGGACCAATGAGGATCACTTACTGCAACACTGTCATCCAGAGGAGGGGGTGGCGTGTCTGAAAAAACAAATCAAAATTCTTGTCTGAACATTTGAAAATAATAACAATTGTTAAGTGCAATCAATTGATTTTGTAATGAGTGTCAAGTTAAATATAGTGTGTAAGAGTTCAAACACCTACCGGGAGTGTCTGGGCAGAAGCAAGATGCAGGAACAGGCCAGGAGGAGAAATAGAGTTCATTTTAACTATGTATGCATAGTCATTTTCATCAAGTTAGAAATAATAACCATTGTTGGTTTTATAAAGCTGAATCATTACTTTGTTGGGACAAAGGGGTCCTTTAAAATTGAATTTGTTCATTTTGTGTGATTTAACTGGACTTTTATTGTGACGGGTCACCGATAAGCTCTCGGACCTCAGTGCGGCCAGGCCCCCGACGAACGCACAACAACGGATTAAAGCACGGCAAAAGAGCCCGCCTTTTCGATTCCTGGTTAGCACACTGCTAACGGGAGTGAACAGCTAAAGTTAGCCTGACACCTGGCATCTCTTCTTCCTCCTTCCTTTCATGGACTTGGATTGGTAACGTACTGGGCCTAGACAGACTCACATAACTTAACAGGCTTAACAGTTAAGCAAGAACTGTTTGATTACTGTTAATGTTGTGGTGTGTTTTCCATTCAAGTAATGTTGTTGTGATGATGATCTGATTAATGCAGGTTACTGTAGTAACTGTGGTCTTTGAGACAGTGCTATGGTGATGTTAGTTATGCTTCACACAGACACCGTCTTTGCATGCTACTAACTCCTTTTTAAGGGCACCGTTAATCTAATATCACACACATACACACCTCAATTTCGGCCTAAACCTCATCGCACACGAGGAGAAGGGAAATCACTCTCCTCCATGCTCTTTGTCTCGAACCAACAAGTGTTTCATGTGTAGCTGAAACATGTGGTCCTTTTCCTTAGCTTAGTTTCTTTCTAGTTAGATTGTATACTGCATGTTTTCTCTCTTTTGCTTTTATTATTTCTTTTATAAATGCTTGCGTTTATACATGCTGGTCTATTTAATTTCGCACAAGAGTGGGTGATACCAGCCTCTTCTATGCTCAATTCCAAATACTTCAACTTGCTTGCTATTAATACTGATTTTGGTTATAGTTATTAATCCGATTTCTAAATGAATAATTTAGTGTATTTTATGAGACTGAATCAATCAATTATTGGCTATCGTTTCCCTTCTTTAAGGGTGGTCCCCCGAGGGTCTTTAATGTAAATTAAAGTCATTTTCTATTATCTTTTGATAATTAATCAAATTTTAATAGCCAAAATTAATTGATTGCACCAATACAGTTTGGTGCCTCTTTAAACCACTGTTGTACCAACAAATGGTCCCACTGTGATTTTCAAAGCACCTACAACTTACAGTAGTATCTGGAATCTTCTGTTAAAAACAGAAAGAAATCTATGTTAGCAGTCATGAACACAAACTAGCCTCAGAAATGAGTTGTAACTGAATAAAAAAACAGCGTATTGACACCTGTTCCGTGTTCGATGGGTGGTGGCTCAATGAACTGGGCTGAGACCATCTTCTCGTCCTCGCCGTACTTATTCTTCGCCACCAGCCTGTACACGCCGTTGTGGATGTGCGTTGGGTTGACCAGCTGCAGGCAGCCGTGGTACTCGCTCTCTGTGAACACGTGGATCATGGTGCGGATGTAGTCATGCTCGCGGAGAGGCTCGTTCTCATGGTACCACTGCAGCTCAGGCTTGGGGTTCCCCGTCACGCTGAAGGGGATGCACCAGTGGTGGTCCTGCTCTGGCTCCAGCAGCTGCTGGATGGTGGGGGCAACTGACACGGAGGCAACAGTAGAGGAAGAGTAATAACGGGATGATAGGAAAATCAACACCAGGAGTAAAAGCCAGTAGGAAAAGCAACAATTATGGGCTTAGAAAGGAGATGCAGTTGGGGGTGGAGAAGAGAGACTGATCACACAACATTTGAACACTGACATCAGGAAAACATGGAAAAGGAGAATGAGAAACAATGTGGCATTAAACAAGCAGAGGAGAGGAGTATGGTAAGGAGTTATGGAAAGGAAACATGGAGAGTCAATAAGATTTGCCAAGAGACAGTAATGATAACAAACTGAGGAGCCATGTGCTTCTACTGGAATAATGTCTAGAAGAAAGCACTTAAGAGATCATGAGAGGAAATAAGGTGTGTGCTATAGTTGGTTAACATTTATAGTCAATGGTAACAGAAAAGTAAGAGTCCTTACAGAGAATATTAAGCTGAAGTGTGGCCTCAGTCTGACCGACTATGTTCTCCGCGCTGCATATGATCAACCTGCCATTATCATCAGGAGACAGGTCTGACAAGGTGAGGCTGCTCTCCGTATCAGAAGTTTCAACCTGTAAACACAGCAATATCAACCCAATAAACAACAAACAGTGATGCACTGTGTGTTCTGACACCTTTCTATCAGAACCAGCATTAACTGTTTCAGCAGTTTGAGTTACAGTAGCTCGTCTGTTGGATCGGACCACACGGGCCAGCCTTCGCTCCCCACGTGCACCAATGAGCCCATGGCCCTGTCTCTGGTTCACTACTTTTCCTTCCTTGGATACTTTTTGATAAGTACTGACCACTGCAGACCAGGAACACCCCACAAGAACTGCAGTTTTGGAGATGCTCTGACCCAGTCGTCTAGCCATCACAATGTGGCCCTTGTCAAAGTCGCTCAAATCCTCACGCTGCCCATTTTTCCTGCTTCTAACACATCAACTTTAAGGACAAAATGTTCACTTGACTAATATATCCCACCCACTGAAAGGAGCCATGATAATCAAATAATCAGTGTTATTCATTTCCCCTGTCAGTGGTCATAACGTTATGGCTAATCAGTGTATGTCCTATGTATGTAAAATTGGTATGATGGTGATCTTGATTCAGTGGATTACAAATTAGAGGCACTTGCACTCTTGAGTATTTCCATATTTATGCTACTTTATACTTCTACTCCTCAGAGGCAAACAGTGCACTTTTTACTCCATTACATTTGTCTGAGAGCTTTAGTTACTACTGTTTACTTTCCAGGTTACAATTTTTCATACTGTTCCTGTCCAGAGAAAACCATTTATGCAGTATGTGGTGATTTTGAATTTGCAAGTGTTTCATTACGGGTTGAGAAAATTCTCCTACTTCTTAATATAAATTAAATATTTAAAAACCCTGGGAAAGCTTGAAAATGCGTTGTCACAAATGTCAGGACAGTGTTCATACAAACGATATGATGATCTTATAGAATATGATGCACTGCTGTAGATTAAACTGTATACTGTATATAAAGTGGTTAAGATTAGCTCAACCTTAAACATCTACAGCAGTAAAATGCAACATACACATTAATGCAGCAGTAATATTAATCCATAAACATCATGTATAGTGAAACACTGAGAGGGATCATTTTATTGCACAATGATTATTTTAAGTACATTTTGCCGGTAATAATTTTAACTTAAGTAAGGTTTTGAATGCAGGACTTTTACTTGTAGTTGAATATTATTGTGTGGTATTGCTACTTTTACTTGAGTAAAATATCTGAATACTTCTTCCATAAGTGCCTTTAGTGCATGTACAATAAGGTAGCTATTGGTTACAACATATTGCACACCTGCCACCAACCGGAGTCAGCTTTAAAACGTTTATAACACAGATTGAGATTAAGGGATAAGTCATATTCTCTATTTTTCTTATTATCAAAAGATCAACAGTGTGTTTGTTTGTTTGTCTGTCCCCTGCACTGGCCCCTAGTCCATAGTTCAAGCTAAGTGCAAACATACAGTTTCATTAAAAAAAATAAAAACGGATGAATGTAATGAAGGAATACAGTGATGGAAAGTCCATTTGCTCTAGAACTGTAATTTTGAGTTACTTGTTCTTTACTTTAGTATTTCCATTGTCTTGATACTTCTTCTCCACCACAATTCAGAGGGAAATATTGCACATTTTACTCCACGACATTTATTTAATACATTTCACTAGCTACTTTGCAGATTCAGATGAATAATATAAAATAAAGTCGACAAATAAATTATGATGTATTATATAAAGGTTAAGATGAAACTTCATTGACCCCCAGGGGGGGAAATTCACAAGCTGCCTAAGAGTATATAAAGTTAATTTAATTAGCTCCACTTTACCCGCTGCATCAATAAAGTTATGGACACATTAATGCATCAATAATTATTATCCAGTAATATAATACTATTCTGAAATGGGCCTTTTAACATAATGGAGTAAGTATATTTTGAGGCTTTAGTACTTTTACTTACTGTAATTGTACATGCATGCCTTTTACTTGTGTGTGAGTATTTCTAAATCTCAGTCCTTACCTCACCACAGAGGCAACCCAGTGAAACCGGGCTCACACAGTGTCAACAATCGGGCTCTATGAGAAGAGGAATAACTAAGCACAGACTTCTTAGTAGGATCAATTCAGTATTAAGTTATGGTCTTTTCATAGGATTTATTAGTTAGTATACAATATAGAATATCATCAAACGTATACTTTACTCGAGTCCAAGTCTGAAGTCCGATTCTCTATCTCTGACCTTCATCCCATTTTAGTTCACGGAAGGAAGCTTTGAAACTTGAGCTCATCTCATAAGTAGTATTTTCTACCATAGGCAACCCTTTTTCTAGGGTGTCTCATGTTTCCCACTCCACTCAAAGTGTAAAATAATAAACCAGGCGCCTGGTACCTGTGGACCTGGACCTAAAGGTTTAAGCAGGAAGCTGTGTGGTAGACCGGCTCACCTCGGTGTGGGTAGAGAGTAAATCAAGGTTCCACAGGATCTCAGGAGAAGGGGAGCCTGAGGCGGTGCACACAGCTTTCACATCACTCCCCTGCATCTTAGTCACGTTTTTTGGGTTGACCTCTACTTTGGGAACCACTGCGAGAAATGAACAAACAGTAAACATAGGACCAGAACTTGACATAGATTGTTTTTAACAGATTTCTTTCTGTCTTTGTTTCGACCTCTCTTTTCTGTCTCCAGGAAGCAACCGTCTCTCTAAACGTCCAATATCAGCGTTGCTTATTATATCATGGTTTCACATTACCACAGTCTGGTGGAGTGAGTGAGATGAAAGCCTGTGACACTCCTCTCTCGTCTGTGCATTTCAGGTCTTGACTGTCGGGTTCTTCTAGGAGCCTCTGTTTAATCCATAAGTTTTCACAAACACAGTCCAGGGGGTTACCGGACAGTATTAGCCTGGAAAATGAAAACACAGCAACATTAGAAACTCATCATCTCTGGTTGCACAACACTGACAGTTTTATGTACATGAGACACTTACGGGAATGATGTGTTAAAGTTCTGAAATGTTCTCCATGACAGCGTCGATAGGTTATTGTCTCTGAGATTTCTAAAGGGGAGGAAAAATAATAACAATCAAAAACCAAAGAAGGCTACTCACATTTATATCAATGAAGTAACTTTTAAAATGTTTCTTACACATATTGAAGTCTTGTATTGTTGTAAAATGCATCTGGTGATATAGACGTCAACCTTGTCTTTATCACTGTTCTGTTGGAAGTCACAATGCAGAGTTATCAGTTAGCAAAAAACATATTGTGCTTCCATGTGAAACACTGAAGACATACTGCACGATACTTACAGGTTTCTGAGGTTTATGTAGTGTCTCAGACTGTTTTCACTGATGTCAAACAGTCTGTTTTGATTAGCAATGTATCTGTGAAAGAAAATATAAAGGAAAAACCTGTTATCTCCTGTTTAACATAAAGTTTGAAGCCAAAGTAGTCAGCTAAATAACTTTATATGAAGCTAGTTTATTAGTGTGCGGTTTATTCTACAATGTCACAGAATCTGTTGTGTTTGTGTATTTTTATAAAACTATGACAGTGTTGTTGTTTTTTTCATTTTGTAGACACAGTCAGCTAAATTTTATATGCCCACGCAGCTGTCATATTCCTTTCGTGAGGGAATTTGATCTGCAGCACATTTGATTGTCAATATAGTGTGAAGCAGAACAACAGCATGTATTCACACACTGGAGTGACAGACATATTATGTTTTGTATTGTTGCCGGTGTTGTAAATATTAGTTGGATTTATTACTGGACATACAAAATAATGTAGTTTTTTTATAAATATGAAAATATTGTCACTTTTCATGGTCTAATGATGCCACAGCTGCCACTAAAGGTGTATTATAAAACATCTAATATCTGCCATCTTGGCAAGAGAATAATCAGTACTCCTTGATTCATTAAAAATCAAATCAAATCAAAACTTGAAATAGTTTTTAATTATTTTTATGGGCACCAGCTAAACTTTACAATAGGGCATGATAGCGCAAAGCAGAAATGTGATGAAATATTTTAAGGTGAAATACAATATTAATAAGAGGTATATCATGGAAGAGTTTTACTTATAAATGAAAAAAAGAATATTTCAAAAGATCATTACAATGCATTGCTGAAGTAAACAAACATTTCACAGCATCAGCAAACATGAACAAATTAGATTTAGTAGTTGTTACCCTCACTGTGGGCAGATTAGTTTAAATGTTGGTGGTTTACATGTGGATTGTTCCTTTATACTGCAATATATTACAAGTTAAAGCATCTTCAACAATCTAAAGGGTCAGTGCTGCTTCAGGAGGTTTGTCTTTATTACCAAGTATTACAGATGACTGGATTTTTAGAAGGTGAAGCTGGGAAACCCACCAGTCTCCACTGAAGTTGTATTTTATTTTATATTCTTCAAAGGTGATGGAAAAAAAACTGCACATATTATCCACTTAAAAAAAAGTCCCTTTCAGACAAACTGAGGGACTTTTACAAGCTGTAGATTTCTTTGCAAGAACGAAGAAAGGAATAATCCTATTTTGTAGACGCCTGGTAAACTACACCCATGATGTTGATGTGACACCTAGTTCCAGTCTGTCTGCCTCAGAAAACTCACCCAGTCTCCCCTCCATTCTCCAGTGGGTGCCATGCAGTTGTATACTTGTGCAAGGTTGTAGCTGATACACTCCGACACAAGCCTACACGCTGACGCAGATAAGGGTACATAACTATCTGCTGATGTGATCTCATGTGTAATTTGGCATGACTGTGGTCAATTCGAAATATTAAGGGATATTTCACAACGCCGCCCAAAAAAGCCGAATAAACACCATCGAGGCTGCGTTGGGCCTAAACATCATGATTTACTCCATCACTACCTCTGGAGCTGTTTTGTAAAGGAAACACTGACTAATCCAAATAAGCTTGACGCGCACTCTCACCACCGTTACGCACACACACGCACAAATCACACACACACACACACACACACACACACCACCTTCGTTAGTGGCACGCGCAACCGCCATCTCCGCCACACACACGCGCGAGCACACACACATATACTAGGCTACATGATCTGACAAACCCATATGAGAATAAAATCACACATTTTATTGTTTGACATTAGGCGCATAAGACAGATCTCTGTAGATCTTTAATCCACGAGAGGAAATAATACCAGGCCTGATGTTATTAATATTCCTGTTGATGTTATTATTACCTTCATTATTATTTTTATAATCCTAGCCCTTGGGTATTATTGCGACCTACGATCGAAGGTAGTTCTTTACGCATTGCATCCTAATAAGTTCATACGCTTGTCTGCACGATCATTTTCATACACTTACATCTCGGTGATGTTTTCCATGTCATCTAACGTGAGGACAGGGAAATCCTCGATCCCTGCTACAGAATCAATACAATTAATCCTTGAGATGCTGCAAGTGCAGGATGCGGGGCAAGCATCGCTAAATCTCCACAGCCCCATCAAAACCAAAAACAATCCAAGACGAGCCATGCCATATTCCCCCGCGCTGGAGTCCATCGCAGGTCCACTGATATCCCACGAATCCCCCAAAACAGAATCTGGTCAAATTGAATTATTGTTAAGATTTCCTCCCTCGCCGCCTTTATCTGGCCAAGTTAATCTTTTCGACTCCGCAGAAAAAAAAAAAAGAAAAAAAAGAGAGACTACGCCGTCGGTGAGGAATGCGCAGAGCCCACGGTTTTAATATCAAGATGCCATGGACTGGCCTTCCCGTCTCCGCAGAGCTGGTATCACACTACTGCATATCGATGTCGTGAAGCAAGGTGTCAAGTGGTCCGTCCTGGTGCTGCTGCTGCTGCTGCTGCTGTCTCACTCCTCTATCTCGGGCACAGACTGTTCGCCTCTGCCTTGTAAAACAAATATGAGGTGTTCCAGATGTTTAGAGATCAATAGGCAAGGGGCCCCCACGAGCAATTTCTCATATGTGTGGTGATGGGGAGGAAAATAAGAGAGACTGCACAGTGGAGTAAGGATGCGTGGTGATGCTGCGCGTGTAGGGAGGAAGGCTACCTGCATGCGTCTATCGATTATCGCCGAGGACGAGCGCATCTCCCCCCTCCAGCCATCACCGGGATTGGGTTTACAGGGGAGATGGTTGCGATGATATACCCCGGATATGTATTTTTTTGAGAAGTTGTATTCATAGGAATTTTTGATTTGTTTTATTTTGACCATGCAACAACAACAACAAAACCTAAAAACCCCCATCATGTTGCAGTCTCATTAGGCCAGCTGTGGGTCAAATGCCAGATGTTTGGGGTGGACACAACAACAATATGGATGTAAACTCTTGTGTTTGTAGTTACTCTGAAGCCATGCATTGGATGAAAGCAGCGCTCCCCCCCCAAACCCTCTCCACACACACACACGCACACACACACACCAACACTTGTACGGTTGGCCATTAGGCCTATAGTGTGACGTACGGTTGACGCACAAGACGGGGTACATCCATGAAAAATAATTACCTATACTATGTCTGCAAGCTTCAAATGGGTCTCACTCTAATCACTGATCAGTGCACGATACAGGAGCAAAAACTGGGGGAAATGTGCGATTTTTATTTTTTTTATTTGTCAGAAATTATTTTATTTTTTGTTAAGGTTTTAATTGTAGCACCTTTTGGATTTTAGGTTTAAGAAACCCTGACTTATTAAATAATTAAAAAAAATATGTAGGAGCTGACCTTCAAGTGCTGCCCTGATGTTAGTGTCCACTCACCAATATACATATATATAATAATAGCACAGTCATAATTTAGACTTAATTGCAACAGATGCCCCCAAACTGAACAAACTGAATGTCAAATAAATCCTTTACTTTTTCATTCCTTTTCAGAGTTACTGTGTGGTGCTAAACATCAAGGTGATAATATGCTTCAAAATGATCAAATAAATCTTGTTTACCAGCAGATTCCTAAATTTCACTTCATAATGAGGAGGCATACTCAGCTAGGACACATGATCTATGACACAGCCTGGATGGTTAGTGTCGCTATGGTGACTTGCTTTTTACAAATAGCGCTGACAATGTCAAGTGTCGCTATGGTTGCAGATGAAAATATGTACGCAGGCTTTTTTTTTTTTATGAGAAACATCAAGAACTGAATTATATCTGTCTCCATGGTAACCTCAGAGTATAGGAGAGGGAAGAGAGCTCTTTATTTTGCAATAGATCCTTGCCTATATCTGAAGGAGCATGACAACACTACGAGAAAAGGGGATGTTTAAAATAGATCAAGTATGGACATAATTCGGACTCCTAATTTGCAATAAATGGGCAGTGAGGTGGTGACTCGAGCTGCTGATGTCAGATTAGTCGTTTCATTTTTTGCACAGCAGAAAAGTTAATCTAGTTGCACTGAGAAGAGCAGATGCATGTGTGTGTTCGTGCATACAGATGTTAGTATGTGTTTATTGTTGGAAAGCTTCAACTTCAAATAATCCAATGCATTTGTGCTATTTCTCTCTTTGTGAATTCGAAGCATACATTCAGATTTTATATTTCATCTCTTTAAATGTTCTGTTGCTTGAAACCTAGATGATGTTCTTTTGAGGCGCTTCGTCCTGGGGAACACTTTGTCTTGCACCTGTAGAAAGACATAAGCTGTAGAGGAGTTACATGTCAGACCAAGAGATCCTCCTCCTCTTGTACATTCAGTTTGGTGCCACTCCTCCATCATCCAACTCTTCAACTCCTCCATCTCTGCTCCTACCTCTTCCTGAACCAGCTGGTGGCAGACTTGTCTTGAACCTTGCGTGCAGTGATGCAGCCGTGACTCAGCCCACCGATCTACATCCTGTACTATCCACTGTCTCTCGGTCTATGGATTGCCACCACTGTGCACGCCGTTACACTCTCACCTGAGTGAATACGAACAATAGTTCTGTTTTAGTGTCATTTTTATTATGATATCACACACTCACTTAGGATTCATGATTCATGTTTTGGTTGTGAAATCAACACAATATTCAAGGTTGAACTTGGTATTATCAACGTCTAGCAGCAATATTGTGAGGATGACATAAACTTGGTGGTTAGGATTTAAGATTTATGGATTTGCTATACGGTTTCAACTTCACACATGACTGTTAAAAGGTTTTTATCATCCAAAGTTTCATGTTTAGTTACTTATAACAGGGCTGTCTTGACCTGGCGGCTCACTGTCTCCCATTTGCACCAAAAGGATGAGTTAAAAAATCAATTTCAACTTACTTTTGTTGAAGTGCATGTTCTTTTTTTTTGTGTTAAGAATCCACTCCTCAATTACATTCTTCAGTCCCTTCTCTGTGAATAAAATAAATACCTTTATCACACCTGATTTCTCCAGATACAATGATCTTAACTGCACTGTATAATTATCTTATGCATGGCAGGCAAGACAGGTGAATATATTCCATATTGTCTGGTTCCCAATCTGGGGGTCGGGACACCCCTAGGGGTCACCAAAGCTTCATGGGGTGGTCGCGAGGCCTTCTTGATTTTTAATGGGTGTAAGAAAACTTCGAAAATATACACAGGAGTACTCTATGTCAGCATTTGGTTTACTTCTGTGAAGAAATGTAAAATAAATTGTTACATTGTATAATAGAAGAATGGCCAGCCAAGCATCATGGATAAGAAAACACTGAATTTGTCAAAAAAAGAAGCCTTTTAAGTCTGTATGACTGTTAAATGTGTGTGTGTGTGTGTGTGTGTGTGTGTGTGTGTGTGTGTGTGTGTAATACAGACAGATAATTGTATTAAACATTTACCAAACAGGAAATAATCTGCATCCAAATCACTCCTTTTACACAGACTCCTTGGCGTTACGGAGTTCACTATTTCAGTTTATTAAACAGTTTTAAATATAATATGGAATATTCATAATATATATATGTCACTGTGTGATGTGGGGTTGTCAGTTTACTAAATGATAAATAAAAAAAAGGTGGGAACCACTGCAATAAATATGTCTTTAAACTAACCTGACAGTCAAATCCAGGACAATAAAACCCTCACCCAGCAGGTCAGACAGTGGCTGTTGATGGGAGTGTCTGGCGGGGGCGTGGTGGCGGGGGGCGGGGTCGCAGCCGCCTGCGAGCCTCAACTCTGGACACCAAAACCTCTCTTAACTACCCAGGGAGAGTTTGATAAATTGTCCTGCGAAGGCCACACGGGTACGGGTAGTTTTTTTTTTTTTTTTTTATATAAAGCGTGTCTTAGCTCCGCCCGCTCGCACTGACTTTTGACAAGCGTATGCAGCAACCAACCGGGTGAGTGTCGACGAATCGAGCTCATCCCCACAGTGGCGTCTTCTCTCCATGCTGAAAACGTGCGAGCGCTCCTGGGCGAGAGGAAACCCGTGGACGACCGCAGTGAACGTGGTTTTGCTGCAGGTTTGTTTGCCTGTACCGTTTAAATGTGGTGTCTAAATCCGGTGTGTTTGAACGCGGTGTCAGTTGAGCCGTTTGTCAGCTAACGGTTCGTATAATTCAGATTTTCAGCGCTGACATATTGTATTAAAAAAAAAAAACAGGGAGAGGAGGGAGGCGGTGAGGAGGAGGAGGAGGAGGGGGGAGCTGGATTTGTTTAGCTGCTGTGCTCATGTTATTCTCGGTGTTGGAAATGTGCAGTCGCAACGTGTACACTGTGGACTGGGAGACACGCCTCGCAAAAAACACACACACACACACACACACACACACACACACGCACACACAGAGAGAGAGAGAGAGAGAGAGAGAGAGAGGCTAACTAGCTTAGCTCAGAGGTGTTAGCTTAGCGGAGTCTTGTCAACTTAGCTACACCGCGAAGAAAGGTGGTTAGCTAACTTCTGTTTCAGGTGACAACCCTTCTTTTTTTAAGTGTAGGGAATTGCGCAGTTTCTTGCAGCTGTTTTAGATATAGTTGTATATATATATTTTTTTAAATGTGTGTGTGGGGGGGGTGTAAGATATATCAAGTTACAGTGCGTGATGAGTGATCCACAAATGGCTAATTTGTTCCCGGATGGCACTAATCTATCTATCTATATATATATATATATATATATATATATACACATATACAAAAAAAAAATGCACCTAAGAATATGTGTATTTTCTGCAGAACCTGTCATGCATTGGGGGTGGGAGAGGGAGAGGGGGGAGGATGAGGGGAGGCTGTGGATGCTCCTGAGAGAAAACCCACTGTAGTTAAAATGGGTGCTGCTTATTCCTAAATGTATGTAGGCGTTGACCAGCATCTCCCTGTAACGTAGCAAGGCCTCAGCACAAGAGAGAAGAGGTGCTCTCTGAAAGGTCCCATCTGCCTTTTTACAGTGTTCAACTAGCAACAGTGGGCAGTGCATGTAGGTGGACTGTAAATCTCATGCAGGGTAGTTATACGAAGGACCCATGAGACTGTATTTATAGTGTTCAACTCTGTATTGGCAAGGATACAATAGATAGATCACGATACAGGGGTTACGAGGTAAAAAAATCTGAGTAAATAAAGTTCACTTTGGGGTTATTCACCTGGCACAGCCTGCACTGTGCTAAGTCTGAAGTCCTTACTCCAGCAGCCAAAGTTTCTCTCTCTCTCTTCCCCCTCTTTCCCTTCCATCCAGCTGCTTGGCCTGCATACAGTTGATTTTTTTTTTAATGCAACCAGAGCAGTGGTTATCTGCATTTGTATATTTATCACAATCTCTGTAACATCCAACCTCACACCGCTCAGTTTACAACATGGCTATCTACCGGTTGGGGGTTTAAACACAATAATATCAATACAGTGTTTTTGAGAATTGATACAATATCACAAAACAAACTTTTGCGATGTTTTCTTACGCCCGTATTCATCCCAGATTCTCACTGAGCCATCCAGACGACATTCATGCTGCTGCATGCATACGTATTTGACTTGTGATTTCATAGGATTTGTCTTCATTAGCCTGACTTGTCAGCTATTACAATTAGAGCTGAAGTGTTAAATCAAGTAGTAGAAAATGATCTGCAACTAGTAATAATCGATTAGTTGTTTCACAGACAGGTGTCATGCAAAATTGTCAAAATAAATATCTGCTTTTCCTCATTTTATGTGGTAGTTAAGTGAATATCTTTGGGTTCCAGACAAAACAAGTCATTTGAAGATGTCACGTCAGGCTGTGGAAACATGTGATCGGCATATTGGATGTATTGTAGCTAAAAAAAATAAGCAGATTAACTGATATTAGAAACATTGTTGTTAGTAGCTGCCTAATTTAGGATATCTGATTAGATGTTTGTATGTGTCGTGTGTTGCCAGGCTGATTGTATTATTGCCACCCGCCCCTTTTTTTCCCCCCCTGGCAGATCCAGGGAGAGGAGCCTGTTTGCATTCCAGTGCAGGTGCAAGACAATGGAGGTGAAAATCGAAGAGCAGGACGAAGACAACACTTTCAGCAACACTGACACTAATGGTAAGATCATACACATATCTTCATTCTGATAAAGCCCATTCATGACCGTAATTTAAACCACATGAATGAACTCGAGCATTAAGTAGAAAATGAACTGAGCCTGTGATGTGTTACATCCAGCTTGAAAATCTAGCGTGTAGATTTGCTGGGTAATTAGTTCACTCAAGGGAGGAAAAAGGGAGGAAAAAAAAAACCTGAACATTTCTGGCTGGCACTACATAGCATGTGGACATGTCAGATGGTTGAGGGATTCTCCTGTCCAAGATACTACTGTTCTGTGGGCCCTGAGCAGATCTGCCCATGTTTTAATCCAGGAAGGGTACATGGTGGTGCTGGACAAATTCCAGGATACAGTTGGCTGCTGAATGAAACCAATTCTTGGGGTGGAACATACTGTAGACCTAGCACTCGCCATGTATTTATATTTTTGTCACTTGTATTAATCCTTCTGTGGCTGTGACTAATAATGATAATTTGGTTCCCCTTGACGTTTTTTTCTTCTTCTAAATATTAGATCAGTAGTTTTACACCATGTGTAGCATTTTTATGTGTTAATAGAAGATTGTAGCAATATTTTATTTTATAGAAAAGTGTAATAATCCGGGTTAAACATGGAAAAGTTTAAGGAATTAAAGAATGCAAAGGAGCGGGCTTATACTGCCATATGGGAGTGCCAAAGTTGGAAATTGTCACATTCTACTGAGTGACGTTAAAGTTATTAACCAGGACTTCCATTATAACCAATGAATACCTTGTACAGAATGGCTGTCCGGCTCAGAGTTGACTCGGATTGTCTTCCCTCTCAGGTAAACGGCCAGCGGAGGACATGGACGAGGAGCAGGCCTTCAAACGTTCTCGCAACGCAGACGAGATGGTGGAGCTGCGTGTGCTGCTTCAGAGCAAAGTAAAGACTCCTTCACACACCGTTAGTTATTGGACCACACTGCTGTTTGTTTGTTTCTTTTTTTCTAAGGAAAACCTTGTTTTTCTCCACAGAATGCCGGTGCTGTTATTGGAAAGGGTGGCAAGAACATAAAAGCCCTACGCACAGATGTGAGTAAACGGATAAAACGCTGCTAACATTTCTCCAGCTGAGGAGAAAACGTGCCGAGTTTAAATTGAAAGGACCCTAACCTAAATTGCAATTAATTCAAATCCCCTTATTCATTGGATTCCCACAGAAACAGCTCTCACCAGCAAGCTTTATACATTGACATACATCAAGAATTGACATGCACTGTTAGTCCAAGATCACTATGAAACCAAGTTGGCTCATGTGGACAGACCAGGAAGGCCTTGTTAGACAGATCTGTTGGATTTTGTCCTCTTGTGAGTTTCAACCTGATTCCAGTTCCCCTCAAAGTGCTGAAGCTTTGTTTGACCTTGAAGTGACAACAGGTGCCTGAAAGCCTGAGTGGATATAGTCTTTTTTTTGTTTTTCTTCTTTTTTTTTTCCTTCCAGGGATGTAAATCTCTATAGTTCTCCAGCCTGTTTTTTTATACTTATCTTTGTCCAGGTCACACTTCCTGTTCTTCTTCACTCACCACAGTTTCAAGTCTCTCATTTCACTTTTGGGTCAAAGTATAGCGTGTATTCAATTAAAATGTATTCCTTCTCCCCCTCTTCCCTTCTCCTTTTACTTTTTTGCTTTTATTTTTGGCCACCTTCCTCCGTTGCCCATGTACTGGATCGACATGCCCCTCCTGCGTTGCCCACCTTGACGTTGGCCCAACCTCCGCCCGCCCCTGAACGCCCGCCCGCCCACCTGACACTCCCGGTTGGCCCCGCCCATAAACCGTGCCCCTCCTTAAACGGGCACCTAACTTGACATCTTGTGATTGAATGCCCCCGCCCAATGCCAACCTCCTCCTCCACCACAACCACCACCACAACCACCACCACCACCACCTCGGCCCATGCAGTACAATGCCAGTGTATCAGTCCCAGACAGCAGTGGCCCAGAGCGGTATGTCCCACCAGTTATTGCCTCACTGCCTGATTAGAACAGTGAAACACATGTCTTTGATAACCTGCCTTCTGTTTCATTTTAACATTTTTATATACATGACAGTATACCCCCCCCTCCCCCAAACACCTCCCCCCTTCCTCCTCCACTTGTAAAAGACGTGTATTGTTCCCTTTGATTTTTCTGTCCATTTTAAGCATCTCCATTGAGTTGGACTTTTTCTCATTACAGTTTATTGTCCATACAGAGAATCACTGACAACCCACTACCAAGTAGTTGGTATTAAATGGTTAGCGACACAGCTGTTGGATGTTGTTTTCCCTTGCTGTGATGTTTAATTTTTACCATGAAACTTGTGGAAAGCAGACATCTTTTTCTCGCTCTGTCCTCTGTGGCCCACCTGGCCCCCCTTACCTCCCTCCCCCTCCCCCCCCCCTCCCTCCCCCACTGTTTTCAGCATCACTGTCCATGATTTCTGAGAAGGCACTGTCTCTTGTCTGGAGGCTCCGTCCCCCGCTCTTGTCACTCATTAATGTCTTTATTTTATTGTGCTGCATCCCTTCTGTTAAATTTCTCTCAGGCCACATCAGATCAGAGCTGCCTTGCCAAACCTTTCATACCCACCCACCCCACCCCCACCCCCCTCTCCCCCAACTCCTCCACCCCTGCTCCTGTCCTGTGCCACAAAGTAGTTGGTAACCACTCACATTTCCTTCCCCACCTCAACCCCTCTGCTGTCTTACTCTTTTCTACTGCCCACCTCTCCCCTCTTCCCCAACCCCTGATCACAATGAGAAGGTGTGCTGGTGGCGCAATTGTCATGGCAAGCTTTTGTTTCAGTTGATGTTCCTTTTCCCCAACTGGCTGGTGGTGGGATGGTAATAGAAGATCTCTCTCTCTTTCTCCCCCCCCCCCCCCAACCCCCACCCCCACCCCAAAACTCTGTGTGGCCAGTCTCACGTTAATTTGAGCCGTTCTGAAGCTGCCCATCCTCCCAAGTCTTCTCTTACTTATAATGATATTAGATTGAGTGCATGTCAGCTGCTTATTTAATCATTGTAGTGTTGGGGAAAAGTTATAATTGTGCGTAGTGTGCAGCAGTCTTAATTTTTCCTTTTTTATAGTTTGAAACGTTTTGTAAGTTTGTCAGTAACTGTTTGCTGGACTGCTTTTTGTCAGATTTTGCTTTGTGTTCTACTTCTTGTCCCCCTTGTAATGCCTTGCTTCCTTCTGGCCGAAATGGTTCCTGACAGGATCCTGAGTGTGAATGCCAGCATCGACACTATTGGAGAGATTCTTCTGAAAATCATACCAACTCTAGAGGAGGTAGGCCGCCATGTTAATTAACTTGTTAATTATGTGTACATGAACAGAGGGCAGCCCGGGATGATTGATGACATTGGCTTTTGAAATTTGTTGCCTGTTGGAATTAATAGAATAGAAAAAAACTTCCATTTGGTAATTAAAATGCAGAATTCGAAGTTCTGCACAAGCCTTAAAGGCACCATGTGAAGCACCCAAATGGACACGCAGGCAGTGCAATTAACATCCTCCCCATACACTGTATAGAGAAGTGGACGTAGCCATGGTGACGTCAGTGATAGGTTTGTGGACTACTGTTTTGAAGCCTTGAGTTCATTATTGGGTTTGCCAGAAGTGGGCATATTTGGACGAGAGGGTGGAGCCAGGGAGGAATGTGGGGTAGATTTGACTGACAACCTGAGGACACTGATTAGAAAACGGTTTACTGAGGTAATCAAGCAAGAAGTAGGTTAATTTCCTCATAGATTTCTATACAATCCTTCTTCTTTTTGCAATCAGTGCAGTCGCCCCTTGATGGCAAATGAGCATTGGCTTTACTTTTCAGACCCGGAAGCTACGTGCACTTTGTTATACAGTCTGTAATCGTCCTTTTGGTTTTGTGCTGTTCCACTCATTGACAGTTGGTGGCAGTAATGTGCCAACAGATGTAGAAATGTGCCAACCAAGGTCAGTGAAGAAGACCGTTACCTTGTAAGCATGGATGTAAACAATTCAAGATTCAGGTTTTATGAAGAAGGTATGTCATTCAAAACAGTTGTTAGACCTCAAAGATATACATAGTGCGTTTTGGTGAGGAACTCTGAATGTAAACATAAGTTTTGTTTGTTTACAATAAAACTCCACAGAGCATCTTTAAACTGAGACCTAAACCTGGATAATAACTGTCTTTAAGACATGATCTGACCGTTTTACACCAGATTTTTTACACCTGAATCTGAACACTCAAAGATATATTTCTGCCTCATTTAATTTACTACAGATCTGTAGTGCCCCGGGCTAATGCAGCATGCACTGCGGATTGATTTGCTTACACAACATGCATGAACAAAATAACCAAACCCCAACCTCAGCATTATGTAACAAAACTGCCCTAACCGGCCTCGCAACCCTTTACTTTAAGACTCATTTGTTCAGGTTACAATAGCCTTCTTCATAACCAGGCCAGTCCACTCCCATGTAGGAGACGTAGAGCACATTGCTTCAGATGTGTCCAGTCATTAAAGTGAAAGATCACATGTCTATTTCTCCAGGTTTTTGTGTGCCTTATAACACATTATGCATCTTACTTTGTTGACCATGGATATATTTTTCCAAATTACACGTCTGCCAAATAATTTACACTCAAAATACAAGTGTAGCGAGGTGGAGAGAGTCTGTAACCGTTACTATACAAAAAGAACAATTACACAGAGTGTGAACTAAAAAGCGAGAACGGAAAGAAACAGCATTTGAGTCGCTGGATTATTTACATTACTTACATTTACATTATTAGCTTGATATCAATATTTAAAATGTTAAATATTACTGTTCATCATCAATACAGGTATAACACTTCTAGTATTGATAAACCCCAATATTTAAAAAATTTATAATTTTCTCTTGATATATAGCTCAGTGTGTTCTGCTTTAAACATGTTTGTTTTCATTTTCCTTATAGATTCGTGTTACTTTTGCATACATTAGGATGGCCATCAGTTTTATTTCACATTGGCTATATTGAGTATCTAATTGCAGAAATGCTTTGTTAATCAGCAATGGGATGAATTTCAGGCCGATCTGACATGAATGATCTTGCTTTGTGTTTCTTTAGTACCAGCATTACAGTGGGATTGATTTTGACAGTGAGCTTCGCCTGCTGATCCATCAGAGCTTGGCAGGAGGCATCATCGGGGTTAAAGGTGCCAAGATAAAGGAGCTGAGAGAGGTAGGACAGAGTCCAGATTAGCAGGAGCCTCGCCATGATGCTCTGCAACAGTAGGCCTAAAGATGAATTATTTGAATCATAATTGTTACTTGTATTCTGTGAGTTGCAGTAGCAATAATTACATTACATAAATGAATGTAAGAAGTACTTATTTGCTGGTGTCATCAGCGAGTTCAGTAGCAAAGCAATAAGTGAATTTGATTTTCTGGTTATGAGCCTAACATTTTCATGTTTCTGTGCACTAGAACACCCAGACCACCATCAAGTTGTTCCAGGAGTGCTGTCCACACTCCACTGACAGGGTCGTCTTGGTGGGAGGAAAGCCAGAACGTGTCATTGAATGTATAAAAGTTATCCTGGAGCTGGTGTCAGAGGTCAGTTTACATCTCTGAGATCAGTTGAAAGCCTCAACATACTTTGTACAGTGGTGTGTTTCACCTCATGCAGATGTAAGGAATAGTTATGAGATTAGAGGCTGAAGTTCATAGTTTTAACGATATATTTAAAGTCATTATCATTTGTGAACAGTGCAGTCTTTTACAATCTTTTCTCTATAATTTCCTTTGCCTTCATTTTGCAGGCACCAATCAAAGGTCGTGCTCAGCCTTATGACCCCAATTTCTACGATGAGACATATGACTACGGTGGGTTCACCATGTTATTCGAGGAGAGAGGCAGACGACCAATAGGTGGCTTTCCCATTCGTGTGCGTGGGGGCTTTGAGCGCATGCCCCCAGTTCGTGGCAACAGACCCATGCCTCCCTCCAGAAGGGACTACGACGACATGAGCCCCCGTCGGGGTCCCCCACCGCCACTGAGCAGAGGTGGACGAGGGGGCAGCCGTGCACGTAACCTGCCTCTTCCCCCGCCACCGCCACCAAGAGGAGGGTGAGGAGGGGGTCACTTACTATGGGTGCTTTCAAACCTAACCTGTTGAAACTAACTCTGGTGCATTTCCCCGAGTGGTTCGGTTTGTTTTATCTGGTGAAAGTTGTTAATCAGGTGTGGACTAAAATTACCAAACTGAGACCGTCTAAAGAGGAGGCTCTTAAACCACAGGCATGTTTAGTTTATGTCAAATTCATGTGTGTATTTTGGCAGCTTCAAATGAAAAATTAGTGAAACGTGTGATGTAGTGACCACACAGTAACTATCTTCTCTTAAAATTATGATACCAAATGCCTTCTTTTCCTGTTTCTGTCAGTTTGTCATTCATGATATACAAGATGCTGGTGTTTTTTTTTTTTTTTTTTTTTTCAGATAAAATCAGCATTATCAAAAGACACATGCATGATTTGCTTTCTGTCACCAGAATTTGATTTCCCTACATGAATCTATGTAGCGATGCTTAGTTGCCTGTCTGTCTGTATGACTTGAGGCAAGAATGTATAATGTTTCCTTGTCCTGGAGCAAATAAATTAAACTGCAGTGTTTAGATACAGTTAGACTTTTACATTTTATTTTTCCAACACACTTTCCCTGTCTGTCATTGTTTGCAGGGGAGACAGGTTCTCACATGGCAGCTATCACGGCAGCATGGACGACAGACCAAGGTGAATACAGTTGGATTGTTAACAGTTTAATTTCTCTCAAAAGTAGAGCAACAGATATCGGTGATAGTTGCTCAGAAGCAGAATGTCAACCCACCAGCCCTGATTCAGAGTCTGATCACAGGTCATCTGTAGAGTCTGCATGTTCTTTCACATTCACAGTTTTCTAAATACCAATCTAACAATGCTGACCTGCTTGATACTGTAGTGTTAAGTGTCCTCTTGAGTAGACAAACTATATTAATGCATACCTTTTTTTCTGTAGCGACAGAAGAGGCAGAGGAGACCGTTACGACAGCATGGTGAGTGCCGTCTGTGCTTACAGGTGCCGCTGTAACGCGAGGCTGTGTGTTTGTAGCCTCTTAGTTGTGTGCAGTAGGTGTTTGTGAATAATTTTTTCATATGAGGAGATTGGAATTCCTTTTTCTGAGTGTAGTACAAGCACAGAGGCATGGACAATGTGCTGCTTTTTCACTGTGTGTGCACACTGATCTCGGCCTGTTGTTGCCTGGCAACAGTTGTCTCCTTGGTTACCACAGAGCAGCTGAGTACGTAGTCCAGAGATCCACCAGGCTAGCAAATGAACTTGAGCTGAAACCAAAGCAATAACTGAACAGATTCCCTTCAGGTCTTAGCTGAAAGCAAATTGTTCCAATAAGAAGTAGAAGAAAACATTTGATCAAATAAATATCAATAGATGTCAATTCATTCTTGAGCTTTAAGGATAAACATGGTTTGCTTGAGCATAAATAAGAGACGTGTCTTTCTCAGCAGGGTGAGCCCCAAGAGATGAACAATTACTTAAACATGATGATGAGAAAATAGATAATTAAAAAAAGCTTCTTTTTTTTTTTTTACTGATCTGAAAGCTTTATAAATACATGTGGTTTACTGCATGTAGTAATGGAGAAGGCTGCAAAGGTTCAACATGCTCAAATAACAGATATGTATGTTTTTATTTTTAGTATGACCTTGCTCTAATTAAGACAGATCTATTAACAAATAGATAAAAGCAAATTATTACTGTGTATTTAAATGTCCTAAATATGGGCAAGTCTATAAAAAAACTAATATCCCAGTTAGTTTTTTCTTTAAAAAGGGGTCAAGCACTAAATAAGTTTTCATATTCTGACCCATTTTCAAGTTTCTTTTCCCAATGAGTTGCTACCTGTGACTGCTTTAATGTAAAATGGTTCAGTGACATATCTATATATCTGAGCATCCAATATTATTTAAAAAAAAAAGTTTTTCATGGCATCCTCTTAGAATTAAAACAATTGTTTAGAGCCTCTGTTCTTCAGTCCAGACTAACCAAAATTATTTGAGCTGGTTTGACTTTACAGCCAGCACAGTCTTCATTCCCATGGCAATGGTTCAACATTGTGCTGGTGGTCCATGTTGACATGATGGTATCGCCCAGTTGCTGCAGATATGTTGGCTACACAGTTCCGTTCATTTCATTTCAAAATGTCTGCACCCTGCTGTAAACGTAATTTCACTACTGTTTAAATGTTAAGCGTCCTAAAATATCTATCTAGAACCTTTATGGCTATGGGAAATATGACACGGTATGTTGTAATGGATAGATATGAGTTGAATGTGTACTTTCCACCCAATGTATAATTTTTTGTTTTGATTAGTTTGTCAAAGATTCCATCTAAATATAGGTTGACTGTGGCTATAAACAAAGAATTATAATTTGTTTTGGGACCATGGTCAGCAACAATACTTTGCATGGGAGTGTTGTTAGCATTTAAATAGTTTGTCAAAGATGGGTTGACTGTGGCTATAAAGGGACATGGTCAGCAACAATACTCAGGGAGGTTGTAGCATTTAAATTTTGCTTAATTGGAATTAAAGGCAAAAAAGATATTCCCCACACCATTAGATCACCAGCACCAGCTTGACCCACTGATACAAGTCAGGAAGGATTCATGGATTCATGTCAGACCCGGCAATGTTTTCATCTTCTGCTGTCCAATAATGTACTAAACTCATGATAACACATAAGACTTGCACACCAGCTATTAATAGAAAATAATGTGCCTCCAAGCGTCACAAGTATCAAATTCGCACAAGAATTTCCTGTCCTTTGCCGTCAATGGCACACACCAACATGTCTACATCTGCAGTGCTGAACTGCTGCAGCTGTTGCCAATCCTGCTCTTGCCAATAGATGATGCATGTTGGACTCAAACTGCAGGTCTCACTGCTAACGCTTTCAGGTGCTTTTTATCAATGACTGTGTGTGTGTCTACAAGTCAGCTTTTCAGCTTAGTGAGCATATAAAAGGTCCATGGAAGTTATTATCACCATTACATCACTGTATTGCTGAGCAGGCATATCTTTTCATTGCCGTGGTCAGCTTTTTAAAAAAAAAAAAAAGTAATTCCAGACAGATATTGACAAAACACTAATCATCTCAGGATGGCCCCATCGTTACTTCAGATTGTTTCAGTGGCCCGCAGGCCTCCGATTTCAAACCAATAATGTACTTTTTCAGATAAAGTGCAATGGGATATTTGAAGCATGAATGTCACTGAAAAATGTGCAGGCACTGCTTAATGCTGTGGAATCAGCACAGACTCAGATCCTTGTGGAACATTTCCAGCACCTTGCTGAATGTGTGCCTCGGATAATTCAGACTGTTGTGGATACAAAAAGTGTGTGTGTGTGTGTGTGTGTGTGTGTGTGTGTGTGTGTGTGTGTGTGTGTGTGTGTGTGTGTGTGTGTGTGTGTGTGTGTGTGTGTGTGTGTGTGTGTGTGTGTGTGTGTGTGTGTGTGTGTAAAACTTTAAAAGGTTCTGATAGCATTGCATTATTGTGCCATTAAAACTGTTTTATGTTTATGTTTTTATTTTCTCCAATCAATCCTGAAATGCAGAGCGGAGGCGGATATGGTGAGTGTTGATGTTTATGTAAATCCAGCACAGATTTAGTTATTTCATCAAAGGAAAATCATGTCTTACTTTAATCTGGGAGTCACTTTTATAGTTTCGGCCATCAATTGTTTCAGACGTTATGTTGGGGCACCACTGTGTCCACTTTATTAGGTACACATGTTCAATCTAATGCATCTATCTTTACAAAACTCATAATATTTTGTTGACATTATTGGAAATTCAAATATGTTTTGTTAGAAGGTAAAGGTGGTGTTGCTGGATTACATTCTACTGAGAGGTGTTTCTAATGTTTTGTCCTCCCTGTTTACAATCATGAGGGGCCCAGAATATTTGAAACCCTCAGAAAAAATTATGACCAAAACATATATAATTTAAAAAAAAAAAAAACACCTATGACTGTCAAGAAAACTGCACCTTACAGGCATCATAAAAGTAGACTTGATGGCAAAACAGTTGTATTGAAGTGCATTAGACTGTGGAAATGTACCTAATAAAGTGTGTATAATCCAAACCGCTTTTAGAAAAGTAAACACACCAATAAATGTTTTTTGTTGTTTGAGTGACTGGTTTAATTTTGGTTTACTCAACTTTGGGCTTTTTTCAAAACTGGGATGTGTTTAAAACATAATAAAAAAAGGTGATCAAGAATGAACTCATCGGTCAGTTGTTTAAAACCTGTCTGGTTCGCTGATCACTCATGGTGCTTCCCCCTTTAAACTCTGTTGTAAAACTGTGGCAACAGGTTTCGACATGATCCCACACCCAAGGAATTACATCAATGAATAAGAGAAAAACTTCATTTTCCTTTAACATGATTGTTAGAGCACATAGACAGCTAGTCTTCGATGTTTGTTGTGTTATTTGTATCACACTATCTCTTGTCTTTTTCCATGTGGTCTGTTTTTTTATTTTCACTTTATTGTTTCCTGTCCAATATTTTCAAAGACAACAATTCTTCCTGGGAGCACTTTCAGTCCGGTGAGTGGGGATGGATTATTATTGTCCCAGTGTCTTGCTTCCTAACCTAAAGGGATTATTTCTTCTAGTTGCATGCTTTAGGTTAAAGCCAAATTCACCTTAAATGTTCCTTCCCACCTCCTGCTGTAGGTGGTAGAGGCTCATACAGTGACATTGGAGGCCCAGTCATCACAACACAAGTCACCATCCCAAAAGATGTGAGTAAGACATCTGTTCACTCTCAACAAAACATAACTCTTGCAGTAAAGAAAAGAAAACAGAAAACACATTTCACTCCTAAATCCATTTCCAATTGGCCTGTGTGCTTGTTTTTGCAGCTTGCTGGCTCCATCATCGGTAAGGGCGGCCAGAGGATCAAGCAGATCCGCCATGAGTCTGGGGCATCCATCAAGATTGATGAACCACTAGAGGGCTCTGAGGACCGCATCATCACCATCACAGGAACACAGGACCAGATCCAGAACGCCCAGTACCTGCTGCAGAACAGGCATGTGCTCCTGTGATACTTCAAAAGAGAAAAAAAACTCATCTCATTGAAGCAGTGCGGTCTGTTCGGATGGCCTGTATGCTCATCCACTACCTTTACTACTTAACTGCATTGTTCCCATGGGTAAATGTGTTATGCAGCCATGTAAAACACACAGTCTTAATAGTGAAATACATAAAACATAAGTTTGTCAACCACAGTTGATGTTCATTGTACTTTACACCATATACTGCATTCACTATTACTGCTATTTTCTTGTTTCTTCAGTCCATTAGTTGACAAAGATCAGTAAAAAAAAGCTAAGCTTTGCTAATCAGTTACTCATTCACTCAGTATTCAGTCTTTTAAGTAAAATTTGGAAAACATTTTATGGTTTCAGCTTCCTGAAATGTGAGTAGGGATGAACCAATACCAGTATCTGGTCCGATACTGCTCATGTACTTGTAATCAAGCTACTCCAATAACTGCACCTGACACCACTTTACGGCAGCTTGACGTTATGTACTGTTGGCGTGCAGAAGCAAATCAGCAGTTTGGAGCATGTTTTTAATGTCATTGTTACAAAACATCGCAACGTTGTAATTTATTACAGTAAACTGAGGAACAGCTGATCGGTAAAAATAAGCATGTTTTCAATTGTCATTGTTGGAATCTGAATTAAAGTGTGAAGATCTCGTATCTGTTTTTCATGTAATTTTAAGTAATTTAGTGACATTTTATGGACAAAACAATCAATCGAGAAATTAACTGGTAGATTAATTGATGATTTAAAAAAAAAGCATTACTCGCAGCCATAATTTTATTAAACTTAACTTTTTATTTGACATTTGAAATCAGTGTCAAAATCATTCAAGTCCAGTTCAGGTTTGCTGTGGTGGTGTGAGTTTATTAAACTTTGCCGACATCCTGGTGAACTTGCATACACAGAGCCTCATTTCATTTGAATTTCTCTGAGTCAGCTTACCGACTCAGAGAAATGAAAATGAAATGAGGTACTTTTATACATGGACCAATACACTAGACAGTATGTAAATGGTAGCCATTGATCAGGCAGTCACCAGACGTGACATGATGAACATCGGACTCAGAGGGAAATAAGACATAGGTATTGATCAACCAATGGGAATACCAATGGAGACAAGGGGAGGAAACATAGATGTGGGGTTTTTGTCAAGGGTGGAAGGAGACTGAAGAATAAACATTTAGTATATGAAGATCAAGGGACCCAAACAGTAGGGGGGGCATTAGAACATTATGCCAGAACAAAAGGGTCTTCACCTTTTTTTTTCTTTTTTCTTACACTGGTATTTCATCTTAAAGAGCAGTTCAGTTCACAGACACCCACCTCCCCATCACTAAATGGCTAAAGCTGGTCTCAGCAGTCACATTGCTTCTTGCAGACGATTTATTTTCAGCCTTGACCTTGCCATACTTTTTAATACTAACAATTGTGCTCCACATGAAAAATGTCTAACAGTTTGCAGCATCTAGCATTAACAGCTCGTGACCCCCGTGTCAAGGTCCTGTTGAAATAAATATTCCCTAATGTTATCATGAAATGTCCTCACCTTTTTATCTGTCTCTTATTTCAGTGTGAGGCAGTACTCCGGGCGGTTCTTCTAGAAACAAGGAAGTGAAGAAGAAGATTGAAGCCATGCTGCCATACTGTTTGCTCCTTTTATTCAGAGCCTACATTCCTCTGCTTTGGGTAGATGTGCCCCCTCCCCTCACTATCACACTCTACAACCATCCATCTATCTATAAATTGCGATTTTTATTTTGAGGAGTTTTTAAAAAAAATCTTAAGCTGTCAAACAGCAAACGAGGAGTCCACAACATTTTTCTGTGCTGGTGTAATTATTTTTTAGGAGAGTCTTGTGCCGTCATTGGAGTAAACTCATCTGTGTGATAACTTTTGGTGTTGTGTGCCGCCCCTGGCCCTTATCTCCCTCATTTCAGTACAGCATGCAGAATGTAATCTTTTGTAAGGAACATTACGTGATTTATTTGTTTTTGTTCCCCTCAAGCACACTCTTCAAATGAAGATGCATGGTCTCTGGATGGTTAAATAACCATTCTGCTTTTAATTTTTACACAACAGCCAAGATCCTTTTCCACTGTCAACTGAAGTGCTTTTTGTAAGATGGGCTTTAATGGAGAAGTTTGACATTTTGGGGAAATATCGTTATGTGTTTCTGGGAGAGGAAAAGATCATATTGATTGAAAAGATCAATACTTCGTGTGTGTGTGTGTGTGTGTGTGTGTGTGGCAAATATGAAGCTATAGCCAGCAGCCGCTTAGCTTAGCATAAAGACAGGAAACAGCTAGCCTGGCTATGTCCAGCGGCAACATAATCCACCTACCAGCACTTCTAACGCTAACACTTTATGTTTTGTTTAATACGTACAAAAAGCAAATTGTACTAATATAAAATTGCCCTTTTTAGAGCAGGTGATGTATAGTTAGCTAGCTACCTGTGAGCAGTAATTGAACTTCTCTTGTAACCCCATGTAAAACAATGAATTGTTTTTAATCCTCTTTTTTTTTTTTTTTTTTTTGGTTTGTTTGGTTTAAAAAACAAACAATGTGTTAGTGCCTTTTTCTTTCAGGTGCTGGTACTGTAGTGTTCCACACAGCCATGCTAGCTGTTTCCCTCTGTTTCCAGTCTTTGTGCTAAGCTAACCGGCTGCTAGCACTAACCTAGCTTCAGATTTTGCTAATGGACAGATGAGAAGGTATCAGCTCCCTCATCCGGCTGGCTAACTCTGCACCAGAAACTGAATGAGCGAATTTTCCTCAATGTCGTTCTTTTGCTTTTAAGTTGGGATAAACGTGCCAGTGTGATATAGTTAAAAGAAAATTTTTAAGAATTTTTGTTTTTCATTGAAAGACAAGGAGCTGTATAAAGTGTGTGTATATATTTACATAGGAACAGTCATTTCATGAGTAGTTAAAAAGGCCCAGGATACTTTCTCTTGGAAGAAGATGGCACCATAAGACAGGTTTGGTCAATTTCTTTCTTTCTTTTTTCTCTCTTATTATTTGATTTATTTTCTGCCACTCACCGTGATGGACTCTCTGTAATGCAAACCTTAATATCTAATCTGTTTAAATCCATTTATTCTTGATAATTGTTTTTAATTTTGACAGTTTTGGAAGCATTTTTTTAAGCTGCAGTTTGATGTAAGGAGTCCATGAGTGGTGTTTTCTGTCCGGTCATATCTGTATCTCTCTGTATGAAATGATATCTGTAGTACCTGCAGGTGTTGACTAAATAAACTCTGTGTTACAGTTCAACCATGTGCTTTTTGTTTCTTTATTCCAACAGAGGAATAAGAGTGCACATCCAGCTGTATTGGTTTGTAATTGGTTTCTAGTGAAGGTGAGGTGTGTCAGCCTGTTGCTCTCACTGTCACATGCATCCGTAGTTTACTAGTTAACACCGGAAATTTGTTCCCATAATGTAATAGAGAAAGCCCACACGGTTTCCCATCAGCACAGCCCTCTGTCACATGGTCCACTGTTGGTTTTTTACCCAGGATAGGGAGAGAGAGAGAGAGAGAGAGAGAGGACAAACAAAACTGCACGCAGAGGAAGATAACACCGAGCATCTCTCGCAACCCAAGACAAAAAACAAACAAACAAACAAAAAACGTGGCGTTTGAGTACTTTGTATTCCCCTGGAGGATGACTTTTGTTGTTATTTTGTAGCGCTATGAAGTGAAACTCCGCCATATTCAGCCCACCACGCCCGGAGCTCCGCTACCATAAGGGGTAAAGCCTCGCTACTTCACTGTCTTCTTAAGTTGTTGCACAAACTTAATTTCCTCTTCACAGGAGAGGAACAAGGTAATGCAAACAGCCTTGAGAATAACCTACTTTACTTCCTTGAATTTACATTTGTTAAACATTGTTTTCCAGCTCAGGAGAGTACTGTGTTGGCGTACGCAGTGGGTTATTGTGGTGGAGGGGTTAATCAAAATAAATTGACTTTAGGATAACTCGGGGCTTTTTTTTTCTCCGTCCTGTGTAACCAACATTATGTATGTGTCTGTGCCTTGGAAGGAGAAGTGTTATCCAGGAGTAATGATTCTGAGCTCCGTGGGGGCTTGCTGCCTCAGCCCAGAGGCCAAAGAGGCTCGCAGGATCAACGATGAGATTGAGAGGCAGCTTCGCCGGGACAAGAGGGACTCCCGACGGGAATACAAGCTCCTTTTGCTCGGTAAGGGACGAAAAATACTTTCATCATCTTTCGTAAGCAGTGGTGGTGGAGAAATAGTATTCAGATCTTCTGTTTGAGTTAAAAACAAACAGACTGTATCCTACTGTAAAGATTCAAAATGTACCTAAAGTACAAAAGAAGTACTAGTATGCAGACTGGCCCATTTCAGAGTGTGTTTATTTTGTATTATTGTTATTGATTATTATTAGTATTTTCATAATTTGATAACACATTATTGTTTTGTATGGAAACTTCTAATCTGTGACGTAACTATGGGTGTTAAATGAATGTAGTGGAGTAATAAGTACAATATTGCTCCCTGCAAAGTAGTGGAGTGAAGGTATAAAGTAGTAGAACGTTGAAATACTTGAGTACAAGTACCTCAAAGCTCTACTTAAATACAGTACTTGGGTAAATGTACATACTTTACACTATTGGCTATAAATTAACTCACTAAAAAATAGATGTAAAGGTCCTTTACTTAACTGGTCTTGACACTACTCGAGTATGTGGTGGTGCATTTGTGGTTGAATATGACCAGTTTATGTTTTATAAGAAAGTGGAGTGGAGTACTCCATTACAAGTCCCATTTTACTTTATTTATTACTGCAATTATCAGCAAGATCAGATCGGAGTCACATTATATTAGAGTATTGGATTATTAATATGCATTATTGATTAAACCAGCCAACAGCAGTGGTAAAAATAACCCAACTATTCAGGTCCTTTACTTTAAGTGAAAATACCAATACTACGATATAAAAATACTCCAGTACAAGTAAAAGTCAATCAAAATCCTACTTCAGTAAAAGTACTCATTCTGCATATAACTGGCTCCTGTAAGTATGTTACTGCAATATTCATTATTCATTATTAGTAATACTGATGGTTTAACTTTACTTTATATACATTTCTGGTATTTCAGTCCAGTGGTTCTCAGCCTAGGGGGTCAACCCGCTGTCCAAAGGGTCCCTAGATAAATCAGGGGGTGATGAGATGACCAACAAGGCCGGAAAGATCTTTTCTTTTCCTCCAGAATATTGGACACTTTTACTGGGCCTCAAACATTTATTGAAATGAAACCATTAAAGGTTTCGTTTCTTTTAATTTTCACCAAGTTTAGAGAGACAAAATCACTTTTGGTGGAACTGAAAATGACTCATACACATCTGAAACGAAGCATCCTCTTACAGATCAAAATTTGTGTGAAAAGTAAAATGTATCCTTCTGAAATAGTGAAGTAGAAGTATAAAGTAGCACAAAATGGAAATACTCAAGTACCTCCAAACTCTACTAAAACCTCCACCACTGTCCAACAGTATATAAAGTTTATGTCCACCTTGACAGCAACATGATGCTGCTTTATATTAATGCACGAGTAATGTACCAATAGTATATTGTGTATGGGATAAATATAACACTCTGAATGGGGCCGTTCATAATGAGCTCTTGTACTTTTGAAACATAACGCACACGCTATTCGAGGAAGATTATGAAAGGCAGGAGTAAAAGATCTCAATTCTTTTTCGACCACTATTTATGATCGAAATGAATTAAAGCTCCTCACAAATAAATAAATAATTAGACATACAAATCCTTTACTTAATTGGCCTTGAAAGTGCTTTGGCTGAAAGACCTTGAGTGCGTAATGATGTGTTTATGGCCGAATGTGAACAGAACAGTTAATGTGCACTGTAAAAATTATAGAGCTGAGTCTGATCACAGTACAACCCACTGTAGAAAATGCTACAGAAACAGATATTGGTATATAGAAAAAAATATATATATATATATTATATCATTATAATCAGTAGTGTAAGAAGGATTCAGACCCTTTACTTGAATGTGACGTACCACAATGTAAAGTAATGCAGTCAGAATCCTTATAATATAATATAAAAATATATATAAAAAAAGAAAAGTAAAGATACTCATGCAGAAAATGCCCCATGTGAGAGTTAAATATATCACTGGATTATTATTACTGATGTATTAACATGTAAGTAGTATTTTACTGTTGTAGCTGGTTGAGAGGGAGATCATTTTAAATAATTTGTATAGTGATTGATACTTTCATTTGTAACAATACGTCCTATTTTATATTCAGATCATATATTTTGTATGTAAAACCTTCATCTGTAAAGTCAGGTAGTAAACACAGCTGTCGGACACATATAGTGGAATAAAAGTATAAAATTCTTCCCTGCAAAGTAATGGAGAAGTACAAAGTAAAATACAATCACCTCAAAACTGTACTCAAGTGCAGTAAATGTCCTTCCATCACTGATTATAACTACTATTTATTTATTTATAGCTGTAGCATCTTGGGAGGCAACATTTTTATTTGTGTCACTTGACAGGATATATCAGCAATGCTGTGAGTAGGTTTAGGGTGTAGGTGCAGTCACGTTGGTTATGATTATTCTACTAAATGATTGACTCATGCTGAATATATAACCATTCTTTTAGGTTCAAAGGTCCGATATATAGCTCCACCACTCCTCAAACTGACTGCATACTTTGAAGAAGTCTTACATTTAAAACTGTACAGAATATTTGATTTAGATCAATTGGATCAATAATCATATCAAATATATTCCATTCTCACTACGTTTTCAAAATTACATGCTAAAGGGACATTTCACTTCTTGTCTGAAAAGCTCTCGAGTGGTTGCCAATGAATACTTTCATTTCAGCTTTTTCAGCTACAGGGGGAAATGCTGCAACATTTTGTAGTTCAGCTTTTTCAAAGATACAGGCAGTCACTGGTGAGATGACAAAATATTGTTGTAAACCTTGACTCAAACATAAACATAAGACCCACGGGATCCAAGAATAAGATAAAACCCAGACTATTGTAATTAAAGTTAGTCCAAGATTGCGTAAGAGTGAGATGTGAAAGCACTTCTAACACAATACAGACAAACAAACAAAGTTTAGGGATAAAGCTGGTGATATTCTATATTTTTCATATTGTGAACAAATCACATAGTTTTATTTTATAGTTTATAGTGCTTACCATCCTAGTGTAGCATATTAGCATGCTAACATTTGCTAATCAGCACTAAACACAAAGTGCATCATAAACCAATATCTGGATGGTATTTGTCTGTACAAAGTTTGCAAAGGGTTTTATAGCCACAAAGACCAATGAACACATCACAACAACAAAGTTAGCTTAAATACAAACCTCATCTTTCTCCCCACCTTTAATGGGATTTGTTGACAATAACAAACATAGAATAATTCCAGCCTCATGCTTTAAGTAAATGTGTGTGTGTACAGTAATGGTCTGTATTTGTCGGCGGTTAGGAACTGGTGAAAGTGGGAAGAGCACTTTCATTAAGCAGATGAGGATCATCCATGGCCGCGGATACTCTGATGAGGACAAGAGGGGCTTCACCAGGCTGGTCTACCAGAACATCTTCACAGCCATGCAGGCCATGGTCCAGGCCATGAATACATTACAGATCCCCTACAAGTATGACAATAACAAGGTAGAGCAGACTATCGTTTCTTTGTCCTTTCTTTACTGCTTCACAGACAGATTGAGAAAGAGGTTTTTACCACACACTGTCCCACAGAAGCGTCCGCACGGTTTATTGTCTCAGACACTGACAGAACCTGCAGTGTGTATTCAGGGTGAAGTACTTCTGGTAATTTGCAACAGTGTTTAGTTTTGCAATCCTCCTGCCTTAAGAGTTGTGTCTATTTACGGAAAGTACACTCGGTGTCACACTGCAGGCATGTAAAGACAGGTACTCCTGAGTCCAAAAAGAGACAAAAGAGCAAGGGAGATGGAGAATTCCCTATTAATCACACAGGAACCTGTCCCTGTCATACCAACGGCAGGAGCTTATTAATCACACAAATGTGGTTCACACACATATACTACAGTTAACGTTCCAGGAAAGGATGAGACAGAAGTGAGAAGCGTTCACTTCCTGTGGAGGGGTGGCCTTCATGGACCTTTGGCAACATTAACTAAGTAACCATTAACCATGTGGGTTGTTTCTGAGTGTCAGTGATGTTCTGTTTGTCACTGAGCATGCAGATATTAGTACTGATGTGTAAAGGGTCTGTAGGTCAGTCAAGAAGCCAATATGCCAAGTATTGCCGAGTATTCACTACACCCCCCACTCTCAAATCAATAGCTAGTTACATTTGATGAGGCTATAAGTTACTTTTAACAAAAAGCACAAATAAATGGCGAATCCACTGTGTATTCTATCCTCATTGTGTGGAAGCTGGAGTGTAGGGCAGTGTTAGCAACTCTGTCTTTTTTGGATTTGGGGAAGTTTGCATTACAGCAATCCAAGATGGTATTACATTCACCAACATTGGTTAATCCTCATTGTACAAGCTTTCTCTCATAACGTTGCCCATAAATACCTTACATTAGAACTCTGGACGAGTAGTGCAGGCTATGTAGCCGAACATGATTATGTTAAAACAAAATAATAAGCTGTTTTAGGCCTGGACCTGTTAGTTTAAGCCTGTTTTTAGTCTTTTAATGTAATATCATGATTTTAGCCATTGAAAGCCCCCTTTTTGTTTTGCTTTATCAAACCGAGCCTCCTGGACATTGTAAAAAAAAAATCGGACTTTTCAACTGACTCGAGGAGTTAAGTTAGCTCAATTAAGTAGCTAGTTACAGCTGATAATATCTGCTAGCGACAGTTGTCATTTCATCTGCAAATTTGGTGCTCGCTGGCTAGAAAAGAGAAGCCTGCACTGCTTTTTTCTACCTTTATCTGAAATCTAAGAGCCATTGTCTTGATTTAGTGGTAAATCTGCCATCATTATAATTGTAAACAGCATATGTGCTGTGCGAGAACAGAAAGCTTGTCTTTGCAAGAGTCACAAAGGAGAGTGGAGCCTTTGCGAACGGTCAATTTACTATTTAATATTTGTGCGGAGTTGGACGTGAAGAGTTAACTTTTACTAAATAAAGACTTTTTGGAATGATGTCAAGAGGTCAGAGAACGCAGAGTAAAGAGCTTAAAGAAAGAGAGACTGGCACAGCGGTTTCAAAGGATCCCTTTAAATTTGTCCCAGGATCATGTCTGCAGAGAGAAGACTGGGAGCATTAAAGTGGTGAGGCAGGAGCCATAAAGTCAATTTTAAAAGATGCACAAAAAGAGAAAAGCATTTGAGGGTATGGCTTCCCCCAGAAATGTTAAAGTAAAACTAAACACACACAATCTCTGGTAGCAATTAAAGTCAGCCAAAGAACAGAAGAACAGGAAAATGACTTCCTCTTACTACTTCTACTGTATCGTTGGTGTGTAGGGATGTGATTCACCAAACTGCTCGACAGACAGTATTAGTATTGGTTTCAGTGGAGTTAACAGTGGTGTGATAAACTAGCTAAGCTAGATATTTGTATCATGACAGTCACAGTCTTCCTTTTATCACGAGTAGTAGAGGAAGAAACCATCAGAACATCAAACATCCATCAACAAAACGATAATTGCAGCATGACTGCAAAAGCACCTTGTACAATAAGGCGGTCTATTGATGCCTAAATAGACTTAGAGTAATAGTTCACCCATAAATGACCATTTAAAGTACTCCAAACAGCTTGTGCAGTTTTCTTCCTAGTGTTTTCTGCCTGAACGATTGCACTGTGGGTCCACGGGTGATGCACAGTCAGGAAAATATTTATTATTAATCAGACACATTAGAGCAGTGAGATAGAGAGATCGAGAGTTCCAAGAAGACGCAGGACTTTACAAACCCAGAGGAGGCGACCTGGAACACATAACAGCCTTTGTACTTTGTTTAGCTCTTTGTGTCTGTAAATGCATATAAAAGAATAATAGAGGTTTGTGGTCAGGGATTACTGCAGGAGTCAAAAGCAGCCACCAGCAAGTAGTCGCATTTCAACCCAATTGTTTTACCTTAAGAAAATGTTTGAGTCAGTAAAAGTTGATTTAGTCTATAAGAGATCCAAAGACAATCCCAATCTCCTAGATCTTTAGGTAATCTCTTGTTTTGTCCAATCAACCGTCAAAACCAAACTTACTTTAATTTTGAGAAAAGGGAAAGCGGCAAATTATCACATTTGAGAAGTGAGATCTTTGGAATTTGTGCATGAAAAATAACTTAAACGATTGCCTGTCGATCGACTAATTGATTTATCATTTAATTGTTGCAGCTGTAGTCTACAAACGCTAAGTGATCCGAGTTTTACCGATGAGTCAGCATTGAATTAGTGCTGAGAGCTCCACGGAATCCTATAAATTACGCAACATCATTTATGAACAAGGACTGTTGAAAACCAACCGCAGAAAATCTATACGCAATACTAAACCGTTTCTTTTCCAAACATGACATCATTTTCATCATAAATGCCTCCGTATATATTTTGTTCTGGAAGTGTTGGGTTATGTCATTAATTTTAGTGTGTCACTCCGTTGTTGTTCAGGCAAACGCCAGTCTTGTCATTGGGGTTGATGTGGAGAAGGTCACAACATTAACAAACCCTTACGCGGATGCCATCAAGAGCCTGTGGAGTGACCCAGGGATTCAGGAATGTTACAATCGGAAGAGGGAATACCAGCTCTCAGACTCAACCAAATAGTGAGTGCAAACAGAAACTCCTCAGACGTTGCCAAATAGTTTCCACTGTTTCATCTACCAGTTGTCTGTTTATTGGATTCAGAAGGTTCAGCTTCAGTGGTTATACCATTTAAGGCTGTTGACAAAAGGCTTAAAAGCAGAGAAACACCATTTCAATTTCCACTATAGAATTAATTATAGTCAAGTGGCTGAAACCATGACTTGAATATTTTAAAATAAAGGTCTCCTTTATCCCTCTCCTGTTTTTATATCACTCTATCTAACTGTTTTCATTTTCTTAACTCTGGGTTGTCCTCCTGTGTTAATAGCTATCTGAATGACTTGGACCGAATTGCTGCTACTCCTTATCTGCCAACCCAGCAGGATGTCCTGAGGGTCAGGGTGCCCACAACAGGTATTATAGAGTACCCCTTTGACCTGGAGAATGTGGTGTTCAGGTGAGTGTTTTGTGTTGTGGCTATATTTTATGTTGTTGTTCTGTTGTAGAGTAAAGTGTAGAATAAACAGTATTTGGGAGTCGGGGCAACCAACAAAGATAAAATCTAATATCATGGTAAATGTAGTTTTGTATCATGATATTGATGTCATGACCACATGGGGGAGTGTCTGTTTTTGGTTAAACCAAATACCAAACAAATCAAGGCACTTTATGAATATATAACCCAAATTGTCCCGCTCATTGATTGCAACATTGGTTAGGATACATTGTCACCAATGGCTTAATACACCTAGACTTATTATAGGGATAGATAAATGATATAGTTGAAACCACCAGTTGTCTGGTAATGTCATGTCACCCGACTGTATTTAGTTACTTTAGCTTAGTGTAGCTGTAATGTAAATACATTTTAGATAGATTGTCATGACATTTTTTGTTTTACATTTTGACATTCATGGTCCCCAGATGATGTATCCTGCTGATTTTGGTGATCCCCTGACTTTTTCTCCAGCCACATCTTTTGTAAAATGTCATTATTATGTAATTGTTGAATGGATTGCTATGAAACTTAGCACACACATTCATGTCCAAAACACTTGCATAAACTAATGACATCCCCATCAGCCTGGACTGTACTTTGTGTTTATTGCCACTAATTGTTAGCATGCTAAGACTGTGAGCATGGTAAACATTATACCCACCAGCATGCTAGCATTGTCATAGTGAATGTTAGCTAGCATGCTGACATTAGCATTAAGATCAAAGCACCCAAGTAGAGTCTCACAGAGCCGCTAATATGGCTGCAGACTGCAGACAGTTGTTTCTCCCTGTGTCAGCATCGTCGTGGAAGAAGAGACACAAGTTGGAATCCATTGTGTCTGGTTAGTCTTATTAGTCTTCTTTGAGCACAGCTGGGCCTCATTTAGTAAATAATTGTCAGATGTCAATGGTCTTTACATTAGCTATGTCAAATCAGGTTGGTTTTTGTTTCTGTAATAGTTAATTACACTAAATTGGTATCATTTAAGGGGTCTTAAAACAAGTTTCTGTTCCCAGAATTTAACCTTGAAGTTATAAAGGTAAACGCTGACAGTATTCTGGTTGTCATGGGAATGTTTTAAAAGCATTAAAGCTTCTCAACCGTAGACATAACATAGATAGGTAATGAAAAGAATACAGATACAACTGTGCAATAAGTTTATATTGATAAGTGATAGTAGACTATAATAGATTAGCCATCATGTTTACATGTATAATGATCAATTCTCAAAAACCCCTTGTAAGAATAAAATTAGAAAAAAAAGAAAAAACTAGCTGTAATTTAGTTATATGTTTTTATAATGACTTGTTCTTTGGGTAGCTATAGCTCAGGAGGCAGAGCAGGATGTCCTCCCAATATAGCAGGTTTTTGGTTCAATCCCCGGCTCCTCCTCCTGCATGTCAAAGTGTCCTTGGGCAAGATACTGAACCCCAAATTGCTCGGTGTGAGTGTGTGTGAATTGGATTAGTTGATCAGTTGGCACCTTGCATGACAGCCTCTGCGTCAGAGGGGATGTGAAAAGCACTTTGAGCGGTCAGAGGACTAGAAATAAGCAATATAAGTGCACTCCATTTATAATTCCGTTTAACTTGTGGCTGTAGGATGGTGGATGTGGGTGGCCAGCGTTCAGAGAGGAGGAAGTGGATTCACTGTTTCGAGAATGTCACTTCCATCATGTTCCTGGTGGCGCTCAGCGAGTACGATCAGGTCCTGGTTGAGTCTGTCAATGAGGTGAGACGCTGCCTGCAAAACAGTCAGTGACATGCTGATCTCTTCCTATATTATTTGTTAGTCTGTACAGGGGTCGCTTAAGGGAGGACAAAGGGACATTGTTTCTTTTGTTTAAGGCCAAACCTGTTAGGTGGAGATGATGACCTAGATTTAGTCCAGCACTAGTCTGGTTTCTCTCTCTTTTATTCTCCCTCTCTTTCTTTCTGGTCACAATCATAAACCTCTTTTGTGGCAGTGTGCGTAGTTCATCTGCAGGGGGAGCTCTTTAGTCACTCTGTTCAGCAATGTGCTCCTCTCACCAAGGCTTGTTCACTTGATGAGATTAAAGCCAATTGAATTTGCTCACACACACACACACACACACACACACACACACACACACACACACAATCAGTGCTGAAGTACTGCTGTCTAAAGCTGTATCTGATTTCATATGTATGCTCATGCTTAGATGTTTGTGTCATGTGTTTTTCAAAGAATCGCATGGAGGAAAGCATGGCCTTGTTCAGGACAATCATAACCTACAAGTGGTTCAAAGAGTCCTCAGTCATCTTGTTCCTCAACAAGATAGATTTACTGGAGGAGAAAATCATGTACTCACATTTGGTCGACTACTTCCCTGAATATGATGGTAAGAGGAAACTGATTAAAGGTTTTATAAAAGGTCCTGTGTGTAATATTAAGGAGGCTCTATTGACAGATATTACAATAGTCACAGGAATGTTTTGATTAGTGTATAATCACCTGAAAATATGAATCATTGTGTTTCTGTTATGTTAGAATGAGCCGTTTTTACAGAGGGAGCGGGACCTCTTCCACAGAATCTGCCATGTTGAACCGCCATGTTTCTACTTTAGCCCAAAACAGACAAACACAATGCTGGCTGTAGATAGGGCCTTTCACGGTTTTTGGGGAGTTTTGCAGTGACCATAATTTCTCCTACACAGGTCACAGCCCCTTCTCAACTTCACCACTAGATGCTACTAAATCCTACATGCTGTTAATTAAATAACTCTATCGGTTGTTGGTTTATTTAGATGTTCTGTGTCTTTAAAGTGATACTATGTTTTTTCAAAATAAAAGATAACAGTCTTTGTACAGATGAAAAGTCTAATTCATAAGCATAACCCTTGGTTGCTACAGCTCACCGTGGTCTGGTATAACCAGCAGCTTATAACGGCTAATGTTAGCCTATGTTAAACATTATTTATCTATTCTTCTGCACTATTTTGGCATGTCACAGATACACATTTAAATTATTTATCACAAAAGTAAACCAGGCAGCCACTGACACACTGTTGTTATCTACTTGTAGTCCCATTTATTCACTCTCAGTCATATGACCTGATAATGGTCTTTAAATTGCCAGGTTTGAATGCTAAAATGTAGCTTAACAGTAACACAAGTAGGCAAGAGTCCTCATACTGATTCAGTAATATCTGTTGTAGAGCAATACATACGCCTGTCTATAAAGTTAGCTAACATAAGCCATTGTAAGCTAATGGTCGTACAAGATCAATTATAGCTGTAGCAGCATGTATTGAATTGATCCAGGATGTGTTTTATGGCTCATGCATTTAGCTTTTAATTTGTAAGAGGAAGTTACAGTTATTTCCTCTTTGAAAAGTTACAAACTTTCACTTCAGTGTTCTGCAGCCATTTTAGAATACAGTGCTAGCCTGTCTTAAGTACTACAGTGACTCTCATGTGCTGTCTTTGTCCTCTGTCTCTTTACACCAGGTCCCCAGCGGGATGTCAATGCAGTAAAGAAATTCATCTTAGATATGTTTGTCAGCCTCAATCCAAACGAGAAAAAAATGATCTACTCCCACTTCACCTGTGCCACAGACACAGACAACATTCGATTTGTCTTCCGTGCAGTGAAGGACCACATCTTGCAGGGCAACCTGGAAGTCTACAACTTGGTTTAAAACAGCGGTGTTGCCGCTGTAATTCAATCGGCTTTGTACAGCTGGCAGCCGGGAGAGCTCTGCAGTGATTCAGTTTGCCCCACACTGCTGCTGAACACTATAATCCAAAACAGGACATTGTGAAGCTACAGAGCTTGTCGCCAAATGACTGTACTACTGATGTATTTCAAATTTTTCCTGTTAGGCTCTTTGAAAATGGATGTCTCCAGCTATAATGAAGTGTGTCCTGACAATTAAAGTGCTGCTTTAGCGAGGAGTCTATTATAGTATGCACTCTGAAATTTATGGAGCTCTTTGCGATCGTTTTTTGAGCAGTAACAGTATAAATGCACATGGATGGATTGAGAGGGGGAAAAGTATTTCTGTGGCCTCAAAAGCCTCTGAGGACTTGTAATGTACTAGGTCTCTCCTTCAGGGAATCTGTGGAAGTGAATGTAGATTAACTGCAATGCAGCACCTCACATCACTAACCCATGTTGTTCATAGTTTGTTTTTTTAAGTTAAAATAATTGGAAATACTCTAACTTAGTTTGTGCCTTGAGTTGACTTAATGGGGAACGAGTCATAATTAACACTAATGACACAGTTACATTATTGCAGATATTCATTTGCACACTGTGCATTTTGTAACATTGGTATTGATATTCTGTATGTGTGTACCTCACTTAGTTGGGTATTATCATTTCCACAACTTCATTTCAGACTGTCATGTACTTTGCATTTGTCTGTGATGGCATTATTCAGTCTTAAACCACTTTTTATGAGCACAGTATTAATATATTGTCATGTCATTTTCCACATATTTCAAAGGGAATCCTATTGTCAACCTACTAGATTCTGCTACATTAGCATTATTTTTTATTTTTTTAAGTCTTTATTTTGTCAAAGCTGTAGAATCAAGTGTTGTTCAGGGACTGTTTTATTGAATAACATAGTTGTCTTGCCTAAAAATCAGTCAGATTGCTAAAATGGCTTTAGAACTTGCCCCATTATTTATATGAATGCATATTGTAAATATAACACGGTACAGTGTGTTTTTTTTCACCTTTACTTGCATCAAGGTCAGTGTTGAAAGGCTAACTGCTGAAGAGAGAACTGTTGTGTTAAACAATCTCTGAGGAAATAAACTAGTGCCTTCTTTATCTTAATTCATATGCTGTTCAAGGGTATCAAATGCATGAATAAAAAGCTAATGAGAGCATATCCACGGCACTAATGTTTACATGACCCTTCTCTTCTTGTTAAAAATAATTACAGCCTAATTTGAACTATTTAATTTATGGTTCACTGTCACTGCGATATCTTAATGCAGTCTTAGTGTTTTTAATGTGATCGGATAAATAAACAGACATTTTCCTCTTCGTTTGCTGCTCACTTTTCCATTCTTTGTCTGTGTTTACAAATCAATTCCAGCACACTGTTGGTTTAGCATTCATGTGTTTGTCATCTTGGCTGCTCCATAGGCTCCTCTGGAGCAGTGTTGATCCTGAAATCATCCTCCTAGATACATCCATCTGGCTAGAGGCTGCAGCAGAACTTGTGTTAGAGGTCCATATATTTAGTGTTGTACACCACACAGGGATATATCGTGTGGCAAAGAGCCTTTATTTTGGAGTAGGACCGACACTGACAGTAATGTGGCAGCAGTACATGGCACTAGTAGTGTGCAAGGATGGATGCAGGGGTGAGGAGGCTGTTGGTCCCTTCCACCAGACCCAAATCTTCCCTAAATCTTCCCCTCAAACAGATGCTGTACACTGTAACAGTTGTGAATAATGCCCCATGTCTCCTTGTATGTTTGTTTACTTTTACTGTAAATCAAATGCCCCCATGAGGGACAATAAAGGTTTAACCTGAACCTGAAAATATCCCTCTGCATCCGAGCCAAACACATAATGCATTCTACACAAGTGTTTCTGTTTATTTTGTATATTGAAATTGTGCAAACAGTTCTATAATGGTGACAGCATCAGGGTTATCTCAGTTTGAGACTTGAAATTCTTCACAGAAACCCTGTGTTACCATCTGGAGGTGTAGAGTTTGAAAAATAGGCAATTACAATGCAGGGAGGGTGTAAAGGAAAGACGATATTGAGATGCATGATGGGAGTAGGATCAGGTTTTTCTGGATCTTTAAGATAACTTCTCTTTGACAAGGCTCAATAAAAGATGCACATTTAAAAACACGCACACATAAATTACGACTAAAGCTTTTGAAACAATTTATAAGAACAGTGTTTTACAGTATAGTGCCTATTTCATTTATATACAATACAGTTTTTTGTAGAGGTTTTTCCAGGCCAGAGGGACTTTGTGGCATCTGCTTGAAGGCAGTAATTGGAATATTTCAGGAGGAGGTGAGAGGTCAGTTCAGATAGGGGAGTTTTGGGTTAAGCAATTTTTTTTCTGGTCTGATAAGTTATGTGGGAGAACTTTGTTTTGAGTTTGGTGGTGAGGGTGTTGTATCAGGATGAAATATTGACGATCAATATAGATTCAGTTAGTGTCCTGTAATCCAGGTTGTTAAAGGCTCAGTGTGTAACATTTAGGGGGATCTATTGGCCGAAATGGAATATAATATTCATAGGTATATTTTTAATAGAGTGAAATCACCTGAATATAAGAATTGTTGTGTTTTTGTTACCTTAGAATGAGACATTTTTTAATCTACAAACACGGCAGGTCGCCTTCCATGGAGTCAGCCATGTTGAACCCTCATGTTTCTACAGTAGCCCAGAATGGACAAAACGAACACTGGTTGTAGATAGGGCCAACATACATTCTCCTACACACGTCACAGGCCGTACTCATTCCCAGGTTGTCAAACACAGACACGAGCGGTGTTCAGTTAGTTGCAATCTGCCACTTCCTAACTAGATGCCACTAAATCCTACACATTGGTCCTTTAAAATGGCCATAACATTAAAGATCCTGAGGTTCCTCATCAGGTGGAGGCATCGAGTCATGTGTTGGGAAGAAGACAAGGAAGAGTCTGTCTCCTTCCCAAGGTATTTAAATGATTGTACTCTACTAGCCTTGGCCTTATACTTAGTGATTGCCCATAGTAGGGACTAAAAGTCAGGATATCTTGGCCTCTTGCTTCAATTTTGACCATTCTTTTAAAAATCTGTCTCCTGCGAGTTCCTCATCTATATGGAAGTACAATAAGAAATAGCTGGAGTGCCCCTTTAATCTCATTATCTCATGTATAATGTGCATGTAAGTCAAGTGATTGCGGAATTATAAGACCTACCATGGCGTGGTTTTCTGGTGTACATTAAAATGCATATTAACTGAGGTGTTGATGGTATATTTTCACCTGGCTGTCCTCCATTATGTTTCCCCAGTGCACTCCAACTCATTGTGGTGATAAAGTTTCAAATTCTGCGGCTCATGGGAGTATGGAGCCTGTAAGCAGATACACAGGAGCTGTCTGCATAAACTCACATTGCCTTTTTCTCTCAGAGCCTGCCCATCGGCCCGCCTCCCCTGCACAGCAGGAATGTGGAATGCACCTGAACTGGATCCTGCATGAGGAAGAATGACTGCTGAAAGTCGCCAACCCACCTGTTCCGGGACAGAAGTCTCCCTAGCAGGTCTGAGAAAAATCATTACCCTTTTCTTTTCACTAATCCCCACCAGCTGTGTAGAATAACCAAAAAAATCAGCCCCTTGTACACAACAATGGAAGAGTGCTGCCTGCCTGCTCACGAAGTGGAGAGACTCAGGATACACAGAGAAATAGAGAGACAAATTCGTCGGGATAAAAGAGATTCTCACCGGGAGCTGAAGCTGCTGCTTTTAGGTGAGTGCTGAGACATGTTCACTCTCTGAGACTGGGAATAAATGGCAAATATTAACAATCACATATTCACTCTCTGAGACTCATAAATGGACATTAAATAAATTAAAGTTAAAGTCAAAATAATCATAATAGGTATGGACTTTATGGACACTTTATGGTTACAGCCCAGGTGAATACAATTACTGTTATCTCTTGAAGTTATAAAATGTTAGAAAGTGTTTATGAGGGGCCAATTGTGTCAAGGTTGAACTCTTATATATAGAACGAGTTCAACAATATGTTGTTTTTAATGGAGAACCTATTGCATTCATCCAGTTGTTGCTGTGATTTATTGAGTTGCTTTGTGATTAAGAGTTTAAAAATGGAAAAATTGGGAAAAAATGGAAAATTGTGCCTAAAGTTTAGGGAAAATTTTTACAATGATGTTTTATCCTAAATACTAACATTGGCATGGTAATATGTTCACAATGACAATGTCAGCAGGTTGAGGTTTAACAAGTTTAGCATCAGCTCATACAAAGACAAATTCATGTGTCACAGGGTGTAGCCTTTGTTAGCAAACTTTTGTGACTCAATTCAGTCTCTCATTCAGAATTTCTGTCATTTGTCAAATAATAAAGTGTGTTTCTCATCTGGGGTTCACTGGAAATTAACTCCACCATACTTCCTGTCTCTCTACAGCTGCTACTATCAAATAAAGGCAATAAAAGCCCCAAAAATATTGTTAGCATAGAAAAAGAAACAGCAGCTCTCATGAAATTTTACAAGCGTGTAATGACTTCATCATAACTTGGTTTCGTCCATAATATTCACCAATTTCCCCAATTTTTTGTTGTTGTAGTCAGTCCAAAAACATCGGACGATCACCACAGTCAGTAGGATTCAACCTCTGGGCACCATGAATGTCTGTACAAAATGTCATGACAATCAGTTCAATAGTTGTTGAGACATTTCACCAAAACCAAAAAAAAAAAAAACAACATCCTCTGGGGACCATGATCCTCCAAAGGTTTTCAGATATTTCTGAAACAGGCTATAAATTGTAGACTGGCCAATAGATAGACTTCCCATGAGCCATGGCCATAACTTACATGGTTGAATTGACTGAAAAAATGTTGCCCCCCTGAAGTCAAATGCCATTGGGCTCCAATTCATTAGGCCAACAAACACAGAAAATACAAAAGTATGTGGATCAATAGATAGCAAGGCTATGGTATGTGTTTTTTAAAGTAGTTCCGGTTACCTTTTGCATTCTTCAAATAGTTGGCGAAGCCCGGATGAATCAGCACTTAAATGAAAAAAATACATTTTATATATTTTTTCTTTCAAATCAAACTAGATTGCTTTCATAAGACTAGACGTGTGTATTGAGGTTTTATGTGCTGTTGCTTAGTTAGATTGTTTTCTCACAAGTCTGTAATAATAATGCTTTATTGTGAAAGCCATGTTGGGTCGATACAGTACATGCAGGCAGTTTTCTTATTGTTTTGTTTTGTTGATTTGTTGTTTTTCTCTAAATTGTCCAAAGTGCATATGCCAAATAGTGCAGAAGATAAACAAGAGAATAAATGTGTCGTACAATGCAGAGCAACATTTTGATAACCACAACAATGTGTAAACACCAGTCAAATTAAATACATTACAGCTCATAATAACTCAGATGAGGCATGTTTTTTTCCCCAGAACTATCAAAACAGCCCACTTATAAAAGCTTGACTGTTAGTTATGTTGGAAACAATACATTACACATGAGCTTTAAACTTCAACTTGAGTTTGGCTGTTTGGAGACTGGAATATCGTCCTGTAAAGGTCAGACTAATGGTTAACATTTTAGGCATTTTAGATGCTTAGCTGACACTCTTATCAAGAGTAATTTACAACCAGAGGGCAGGAAGCCGTTCACTGTTTCACTCAAGGGCACATTGTTTTAATAGACACATAGGTTTGCATGGACCAAACACAAACCCTTTAGTGTCCCCTAACAAAGTAAAGTATGTAACACTTGGAGAAGTAATACACTTAAATACAATACAAACATATATTTTGAATTATTCAATCATTAATATTTTGAATTTATATAGTTTATGTTGTCTGTTTGTCTGTTTATGTATTCTTTTGTATAGTGATATAACTGTATACTTGTATACTGTTATATCTGAGTAATAACATTATTGGGTATAGTAGTAATACTGTGTTTTATGGAATCAAATGAAAGGTTAGCAACTTGCATACACCTGAAGAAACCAAGTAGGTCTATATATGCACCCAATAAATTAAACATACATATATAGCTTGGAAAAAACTACAATAACCTGTAAAACATTTTACTTTATTATATTCTTATACTCTTTCATCCTTAAGGATGCATCCTTTTTTGTTGTTTTGTTGCTGAAATCCTGTTTAGCTACAACTGACTGATGAATTTTTTGGTCCTACTTCTGTCATTGCTTTGATCTTATTCCATTTCTCATGTCTCATTCATCTCATTTGCCTAGGGACTGGTGAAAGTGGGAAGAGTACTTTCATCAAACAGATGAGGATCATCCATGGCACCGGATACAGTGAAGCTGACAGGAAAGGTTTCACCCGGCTGGTGTTTCAGAACATCGTCACAGCCATCCAGGCGCTGATCCACGCCATGCGGACTCTAGAGATTGACTACATCGATGACCAGAACATTGTGAGAAATGTCTTGTGCAGCATTTGCTAAAGCTCAGTGTGTCACATGTGTTTAGCAAGTTCATCTGCTAATTAGCATTAAACATAACGTACAGCTGAGGAGGATGGGAATGTCATGTGTTTTGTTGGTCACAAACCAAAGTATTAGACAAATTAAACATTTGACCTGATGATGGTTCTATAGGGAAAAAGTAGTACATTTTTCTCAAAACTACAAATGTGAACCTCATTGTGGCTTTATAATGATAAGCCAGGGGATCACCAAAATCATTAGGATTCATCGGATTGTGAATGACTATATAAAATTTAATAGTCACTGATCCAATAGTTGTTAAGATATTTCAGTCTGGCCAGTGTGGTGGACTGACTGACCAACAGACTGATATAGGCATCCATAGAGCGACACATGGCTGAAAATGAATCGATTTCTTTTTACTTACTCGAGTTGAAAATCCAGCTACTTCTAGGTGACATTCTGTTTCCATTCCCCATCCTCCTAATGATCTATTAATAAGTCAGTCAAAGATTGAAAGTTTTTGTTTAGAAAAATCCCCTGTGGATGTTTTGTGTGTCAGAGCCACGCAGAGAAACTGAGCCAAGTGGACGCAGACCAGGTGTCCACTTTGGAGGCTTGGCAGGCAGACGCCATTAAGCGAGTGTGGAATGATCACGGTGTTCAAAGGTGCTACGACCGCAGGAGGGAATTCCAGTTATCTGACTCTGCCAAATAGTAAGACTTTTATATATTTCATATTAACATAAACCCAAAGCTCTGCCAGAAAACCAAAGCTTTTGCTGTGTGGAAAGAATAGAGTGGATTAATACTCATAAAACATAATATGCATATAACAAGTGCAAATTGCTGTATGACATTCCCTCTTATCCAGTCAGGTTTGTGTCAGAATATTAAAATGGATGCACTGTTGTTAACTTCTCAGTTACCTGAGCGACATGGACAGAATCAAAGCCCCGTCATACATCCCCACCCTGCAGGACATCTTGAGGGTCAGGGTCCCCACCACGGGCATCATAGAGTACCCCTTTGACCTTTCAAAGGTTATCTTCAGGTAGAGTATTTTGCTTATATATATATATATATTTCCTTCTAGATTTCTCATGATTTTTTTAAAAATATACACTCATTTGCTTTTTTGCCAAGAGTTGGATGAGAAGAAAGATGCCACTCTCATGTCCGTCCAGTAGATATGAAGCTACAGTCAACAGGTGATTAGCTTTAGCTTAGCACCAACTGACTGGAAAACCTCTAAAGTTTACTATCTCTCTAACACATTATATCTCCGGATTCTTTTTTGTACATAGGAAAAAATTTAAAACTTCAACTTGTGATTTTTGGGGGGAGTTGCTGTATACCCAGTAAATTTGTACCTTTCTGTTTGTGTCTGAATTGACAAAGAATGAGCTATAACATGAATTAGGGAACTTTAGATTTTTGAATGTTCTTTTCCAGTATTAATGCAAAGCTAATCTTTAGCTCCATATTTAGCATCTTCTCGTCTAACTCTCGGCAAGAAAGTATATTTCTCAAACTACCGATTGTTCCTTTAACAGTCCGTGAACCTTTATATTTACTTCAATAAATGGTAATGTGTCTCTAGGATGGTGGATGTGGGTGGTCAGCGTTCAGAGAGGAGGAAATGGATTCACTGTTTTGAGAATGTCACCTCCATCATATTTCTGGCGGCCCTCAGCGAGTACGATCAAGTCCTTTACGAGAGTGAGAATGATGTAAGGTTAAAAGCCTTTGATCTCTTGTGCCATGGCTATACTGTGTTCGCTCTCAGTATTTTTTCCATTATTTCCGTACATTAGTCCTTTGTCTAAGATTATTCTCACCTCCTTCTTCAGAATCGTCTGAGAGAGAGCCTCGCCTTGTTCAGGACCATCCTCTCGTACAGCTGGTTCCAAGAGTCCTCCACCATCCTCTTCCTGAACAAAACAGACTTGCTAGAGGACAAGATTGCACAGTCTCATTTGGCAACCTACTTCCCGGGCTACTCTGGTAAAGCAACTTCTTTTTGCTGTTGAAACAGCATTCATAGCTGCGTCCAAAATCGCTTCCTACTTACTATTTAGTGTGCCATATTTACAGTCTGACATTTTATTTCAATTTCTGTTTAAAATAGTTAATATATTAGTAATCAACTACTTTGATAATTGTTGATTGTTTCTGTCATTCACTCATTCCCGCTGTTCCATTGTGATGATTTGCTGCTTCTGTCTGTATTACATCATTATGGACTGAATATGCTCTTGTTATGGACTGTTAGTCAGTGATTTAAGTGAAATAAGAGATTTGAATACATTATCTTGGCAATTTGTTTATATTTTGTACATTAAACAATTAATTGAGAATATAATCTGCAGATTAATCGATTATCACAATGCAATGAAAGTGGCATTGTGTATGGCATGTACACTACTTTCTGCTAACAATCGTCTGAAATTTCTCTACTGCTCCTTATAGTATACTATTCTGTCTATATTATACTGGGAGAAGTGAATGAGTGAACATGGGTGTGATTTTGGACATAGCATGTCTTAAAGTGATCTCTCAGAATTGAATTTCCTCGACATACACAGATTCTCTCTGATTTAGACAACTTTCGCTTCCATAGGGCCTGAGCGTGATGCAGAATCTGCGAGAAAGTTCATCTTGCAAATGTACAAGGAGCAGCACGGCGAGCGTCATAAACCCCTGTACACACACTTCACCTGTGCGACAGACACGGAGAACATCCGGGTTGTCTTCAAAGCCGTCAAAGACACACTCTTCGTCGATAACCTTCATAACTTCAACCTCGAATAAGGAGGTTGTAGGACAAAGAGATGGTTTCACGTTTAGGAACAAGACACCTGGTTATACAGTCGCATGTTGTAACACTTTATGGACATTTTATCTGTTGTGTGCTGACGATTGCAACTTGTTCAAAAACATCAAAGAGAGGCAATCAGACAGCAGTGTCAGGTAAGGCACATTTATCTCAGCACTGTAAAACACAGACAGTATGTGCCATTTCATAAACACAGAACACAGTTCATAAAAAAATATGTTCTATTGCTACAGGAGAGAAACAACTGCAATGTCAATTAATTATTGTACTGAACTGTCCTATTGTACCAATACCGTTTGACAGACATGATAAAATTGTAAATGGTGTCAAACTGGTTGGACAAAGTCTTATCTACTTACACTGCAACCCACCCTGCTTCACAGCTCTGGTAGGAGGAAATAAAAGAATAGCCTGCAGGGAACTACAGTGCCTTTGTTTATATTCATCCTAATGTCTTTATGTGTGCAACAACAACCATGTCACCTATGAAACAATTATTATTTTTTCCAAACTAATCTATACTAACTTTAAAATATAGACATTAAAGCTACATGTAATATGTGTTTTTAAACAAACTGGATTCTGCGCTGTTCCTTATCTGTCTCGTCACATCTTTTGACATTAAAAATATGTATACGAGAAAAAAAACAGAGGTTTCCTCACAGAAATGTATGATCCATCTTATGATATATGACTGCATTTGCATGGCACTGATTAACCCAATGCTGTATTTGGGCGCCTCCAGGCGTAGTCACATTGATTGGCATGCTGTGGAAGCAACCTTTGTACTAAACACTTGTCAAGAATGTGCACAGGTCTAACAGGCTGGACTGTCTTCCTGTCGACCTGTTGGGACTGAACAGTGGTAAGTGAAAAGAGGCACTCAGCGAGGTTAGACCTGTGGAGAGAACAATGCGTGTTTCCACACGGAAGGAGAGACTGTCTAGGTACTATTGATTTTATCTGCTTTGTGGTTAAAGTTTGCTTGTTTAAGGGTTTAAAAGTTCAGTGCTAATGCAGGATATAAAGGACACATTTGAAGTTGCCTTATAGACAGGGGAATGGTAAGCATCAGATATTTGCTTTGGATCAGTCACTATTTTCTTACCAGCATGTGGTAAAGTGTGTGAATATTATCAGCACATGAAGCTGACAATGTTCTCGTTTCTGATTGCTATTGCCTTTTTTTTACCCTGAGGGGTGATAGAATGTTGTAGCTGCACAGCCAGGCTCACAAATCTACTGTCAGGCATTAATGGCAGTCCCACATTCCTCACGGGTAGTAATAACACAACGGCAGCTACGCAAACACACAGAGTTTATCCCCTCCAGTCGAGGAAAATAATGACACACAAACGCAACCTCCTATTGCCCCATTCAGTTGCACTGCCTGAGGAAGCTGCTGTGCAGAGAGCTGTTATAGCAGGTGATCGCCCTTATTTGGTAATGGCCCAGATCATGTGACCACAAAATGGTGGAAGCTGTGAGCTGTTTGTAAGCTGAGCATCTCCACCGAGAAGGCTGGGAGCAGGAAATAGGCAGGGAACTTGGAAGTACATCCATGCTCTGAGACGCAAGAGGACAGAGATTCCCGAGCCCCAGCAGTGGTGAGTAGATGGCTTTTATTCTGTGGAGATAAAAAGAAGAGAAAGAGGGATATGTTCTTGTTTTTTTTTTTCTCCCAGCCAGCAGACAGGAAGCGAGAGGGAGGGAGGGGCTGCTGTCATCAGCACTGTGGTCCTGTGCTGTGCTGTGGAAGTAAAGGAGCTCAGCATCCTCCATGGAGGATGCACATTACAGCTGATGATGATTTTGTTATTCTGCAGTGCAGTAGGAGTGTGTGTCATTGTATGTTTGTAATCTCTGTGTGTATGAGATATTATCTACTATGTGTGCACATACTGTACATATTTCTGTGGATCGTCATCATGGCAGCCATCTCCACTCTACAGGAATATACCATTCAGCTTTCTGTTTCTGTTGTAATGCAATAACATCTTCCTCGTTCCTGGCAGAGTTTGCCGAGGAGGAACAAGGATGTTTCTTTTTCATGCGAATGAGCGCACGTGACTCAGGGTGAATTTGCATCTCTGCCCAATCTGTGCTCATGCGAGCGTGCAGTCATTCGCTTTGAATCAGCACTAGAAAAAGACAGCGAGGAGGGGAAATAGCTTGTCATGATGTAACAAGCCCTGCTCCTCCCCCCTCCTTTCACCCCTCAGCATCCTCCCCCCTCCTCCACTTTGAATGGAAGGGATTATTCACAGGGGAAGATGACCTTTAACCTCAAAATCTTTGTGATTTCCCTCATCCCTCCCCCTTACTTTCTCCCTTTACCACTTCACTACTCTTGTCTTTATGCCCCCTGTTCTCTAATAACAGTGGAAATGTGTTTGTAAATCAGATTAAAATACAGGCATTAATTAAGTAAAATTAATATACCGTTTGTTAACACATCCTAGGGGCTTCTTGTACTTATGCTTTATAAAAATATAGCCTGATCGATACTTGATTTTTGAGGAATCTGATTGAGATAGTAATTTTCCATCATAAACATTAACGATAAACAACAATGTTGATACAGATTTGTATGAGGATTCATACTAAGTGGGACATTATGCAGTAAAATAAACTTGTCAATGCTTTAAGGGCAAAATGATATGACACCGTATCTAAATTACCTCAAACTTAGTTCATTTAGTTTCTGTACTGACATTTCTTGACATCAGCCAACATACTGTATATACTGATACAAATATATTTGGAATAAGCTAATACTCCTAGTAAATGTCCTGCATTGAAAATGTAACTTAAGTAAAATATATGTGAGTATTAGCAAAACGTACTTATCGAATGTTAAAAGTACTCAATGCAGAAAATGGCTCTATGTGAGTGTTATATTATTATAAGTTATATTATTGGATTGCTGTTACTTTTTTAACTTCTTTTTATTGAGAGCAAGGTAGAAGTGACTTGAAACACACACACACACACACACACACACACACACACACACACACACACACACACACACACACACCTAACCAGTCCCAGGTAGTGCATCCCAGCAAAAGAAAATTAAGCTAATAATAATAATAATAATGATTAATTAATGATAATAATTTGAACTACTGTATATAGGCTTACTGTTGGAAGTATAATCTGTAGCAATGAATGTAAAATGTAAATACTTGTGTTAAGTACCTCAAATTTGTACTTCAGTATACTGAGTGAGCACTTAATTACATTGCACTGCTGCTAGCTTTGAAGTTTGCCATGAATTGCTACTTTAATTTAACAACTATCTCACTCAAAACTCAAATGGATGTTCTTGTTTGCAAATCATTAAATGTAGAGGAATCACAGGCGATGCATTACACAAGAGTCTGGAAACTCTCCAGGTTTCAAGTTGCATCATAAGAATCAATTTAATAACTGTGAGTATCTTCTTGTAGGTCCTCCTGGGGATGGACCTGGCATCAGAGAGTAAAATGAACTCTGAGGGGGGCGAAGGCAGACCAGGTGAGCATGAGTCATCAGTCAACAGTTATTCAAAAGTAAAAGAAATCGTTTTTGATGTCCAAAAGACCGCCATGACCCAATTGAATAACAATTTTTATATACTATTTTCTGCAGTTCCACCTACCTCTCTACCCCTGCAAGGAGGTCCCACCCAACGAAAAAAGCTATCTGCCCCTCGTATCAGCCTCTCACTGGACCAGAGCGAAGATGACTTGGGGGAGACGCCAGATGATCTTGACATTAACGTCGACGACCTCGACACTCCAGATGAGGGGGATTACTTCGACTACACGGACCATGAAATGGACTGGGAAGGTGGGTCATTCAGAATATAAGAAATGGCAGTTTGACCATGATCCTGAATCATCATGGACCTAAAGGAGGCAAGATGTACCAAAATGGTTCAGTATACAGTTTATAACAAAAAGAGTGCAAATTCTGAAATTCCTGGTTTGTCTCTAATTTTGTAACATAACACTCATAGTAAAAATTTAACTTTAAGATAGACAGACAGACAGATAGATAGATAGATAGAACAACCTAGACATATCAAGGCAATATAAAATGCAATATAAAAAATTTATAAAAATTTATAAATAAGCGGTATAATTGTAGTGCAAAGTAAAAATATAAGGTGCAGTGAACAGATTATGTAAAAACATATAAGGTGCTTGGATGCTGTATTGTTATGACCAGAGTTTTAGCTGTTATTGTACAGTGTGTTGGCATGTGGCAGGAAAGATTTCCTGTATCTATCCCTTCGATAGCAGAGCTGGAGCAGCCTGTGAATGCTGTGAGGATTATTTTAAAACCATATAACTGATGTTAGTTTGTTTTAGGGTATAATTCCTATGACAACTCTAAAAATGACTGCTGTGAAAAAGGCCTGTAACACAGTATTTGGTATTTTCTCATATCAGACCCCAATGCTGCCAATAGGAGTGGGACAAGTGAACCTTATGATCCAATCCCGACGTACAGCGCTGAGGAGGAGCGCCAGGACGGCAAGCTATGGAGAACGGTCATCATTGGGGAGCAGGAGCACCGCATCAACATGAAGATCATTGAGCCCTACATGAGAGTCATCTCCCATGGAGGTGACTATTAAAGAGCCGTTTTAGCATCATAACTATGGATGTTATGTCCATCTTCAACATTATCAAATCCAGCTAGGGTTTACATTTTTTCAAGTCTGTCTCTAATGCTATCAGTCACACACTCACATGCCCAATGTAAAGTCTTAATATCCACTGGGTATTTTCAGAATCATATTTGAGTCTTTCATTAAAATCTCCTGAAACTGTGTCCTCTTACTATTCAGCCACTAAAATTCAAATGGAAAAAACTTTTAATGAAAAACTGAAAAACAAATTAATGAAAGTGGTTTAATGCTCATCTGAGGTGCCTTCAGTATTACTGTGCACTGTGGAAACATACAGGCTGGAATATCTTTTTTGGAGTAAGGTTGCTGCTGCATCCTGAGAAGACGACCTGCAGACACAACTCACGGCAAAAAAAAAAACTCCCTCCCCCTCGTTTGCATTTCAGTTAGAAAAATGCTTGAATCCTGTTTTATTTACAGATGATTTTCTTCTCTCGGTTCAAGTTATAATTTCTTCAAATAAAATTTCAAATTATAACATTTATTATAAGGCATCAGGTTAGTGCATTGTTAATGCAACTACTTACATAGCATACTACATATTATTTTTGCTATGCTAACATTGTTGTTACTACAATTTCACTATAATTGGTTGTAAATACTCTGTACTATAAAGACAGCCTCATATTAGCTTCAGCTGAACTTTGGAGTGTATTTTGCATTGAATGACGACTGTGAATTGTGTCCTCCATTTCTTATGTTACGCTAATTGTTTTAGAAAGGGATTTATTTTCATCCGGTAAACAGATGGAACAATTGCAGCCAACAAAAACTGTTGCACCATACAAATGGGCATGTGAGTGTTATTTTAAGATAGACTTGAAAAAATGGGAACCTATCCTTTAATACACTTCAGACAATATCCAGTATTCATTGCAAATTCTGCATTCTGTTAATCACATTAGTGATGCTGGCACAAAGATAAATACAAACAAACAACCAATTTGAAAGAAATCCAAAACTAACAGCATCTTTTTAGCAGAATTTATATGGGGATTCTTATTCTTTGTATTGTACCATTTTCCAGGTTTCCGTTTCAGTTCTTTTTGGCCTGAATATCTGATTGCAGGTGTAACACCATATCATAAAAGTCATAATCTTTGGTGACCTATTGTTTTTGAGCTGGCTTCTGCCACCTCTCAGCTTATGAGGTGGCAGAATTATGTCTCATTTTGGAAATGACTCAACTTCCCTTGGAGCTGGGCCAACCAAAAATGAGAAAACACAGTCTGTAGTTGAAGCCAGCTGATGAGTTTTACATCATCCAGTGGCCATCAGAGAGGAAACTCTCCAACAACAAAACACAGTGGAAATGTTTATGTCCAATTTTCACATCCTCTTCACACTAGAATAGGATTCCGGTTGAAAATTGGGAAAGTGGCCACTTGACAATAATATGCCCTGTGTGTTTAATGAAGGGTGGCGGCTGCTGTCCAAAACAGCTCTCTTGTATATAGGCAAGTGTTGAATTAAAGGGAAAACCAGAAATTTTCATTATCAAAGAATAACTTTCTTGGTTAACCGATTAGTTAACCAAGGAGAAGTTTTAGAAGTCTTTTGTCCAACTAACCTTCTAAAACCCAAAGGTATTCAGTTTACTACCACAAAACACAAATAAAAAGTGAAAATCGACATTTTCACTTTTGTTTGACAAAAAATTTGTCAATTATTTAAATAATTGCTGTTTTTTTTTCTGTCACTTGACTAATTGATTAATCGACAAACATTTCAGCTCTACAAAAGACCGAATGAAGGAATATCTCTTTTCTCGTGGTAGCCCAGTCCCTACGAAAACAGTTAATGCTAATTCTTCCCTTAATTTGTCACCCATCTATAGCCGCATTAAGACTGCTGGTGGACCAGGTCTTAAAATGAGGCCAGACATCGATCCACACCATATTGGTTTCACAGGCAGGGGCCCCATCTCTCTCTAGTTCCTCTTTGTGGGGCCCTCTAAAACCCCAAGGCTATGGGCTTGCACCCTGGTAAGCCTGTGTCTTATATAAGCACTGACCATATTACCATTATTGGTGGAAATCAGACCCCTAACTATATCAGGTAGTGCATTTTCTTCCCACTGTGTTGCGGGCTTAAGTGAAACACAGCCGTCCCACTGGAAACAGAGACGTCTGTCACTGAACAGTCAGTATCACAAGCTCTGTCATTTAGATAAAAGACCCTCTGTCTGAGTGACACCAAATCTGGTGATGAATGGGTTGGTGAATAAAAGGAAATTACATTAATATGAAAAGTAGTGAGTGGAAACAGGAAGAGAGACAGTCAGACAAAGGAGACACAGATTGGCAGATAAGCTGAACAAAAAAGAGGAAAATAAGGGAGCAATCAAATTATGAAAACTATGCTAATTAAGGCTAAGCTCTCACCAACAATGGAACAAGGTCAAGTTAACTCTTATTATTATTATTATTATTATGTGTTTTTTAGGCTACTATAGCAATGGAGTGAATGCCATCATCGTATTTGCAGCCTGCTTCCTGCCAGACAGTGACAGAGAGGACTACCATGAAATAATGGAGAACCTCTTCCTGTGAGTATAATTCTGCAATAACACACTTTTAACCAGTAATTTACTTGCATTTTATTCTCAAATAATACTCAGTCAAAGATGCTACCTAACCTCCCTAACTGAAGCAATAGAAATAAAGTCATAGTCTAGCTTGTGTGCCGAGACATCCCATGTTGATGTCTTCACTGTTGTGTTGGCACAGTTGCATTTCATGCTTGGACAGTGTGATTGGGATCCCACAGGCTGTTCTGTGAAAGATATTGAGTAAGCTGGCATATCTGAGAGTTTTGGATAGAAATGAAAGGAGGTAAACCGTAGCGTCTGCAGTTTCTGATGCCAGATGGCTTGAGGTCTGAATCCTTGCGAGCAGGAGTTAACTATAGCTGGGTGGTCAATCGTATGCAGCTTGATGTCAGTGGGAGATGATCACAATAGTCACGAAACAGAGTGGACCAGTAGTGTGGATGTCTAAGCTGGAGAATGACATTGGATCCGGAGGAGAGGAGAGTCAGGCTGAGCCCAAAGTCATTGAAGTTAGAGGAGTTATTGAGGAAACTAGAAGGACTATGTGAGCTGAGAATATTGTCAACTTTATTTTCAAAGGAGGCGACAAAGTTCCCTGTGGACGGAGGAGAAGAGGGGGAGGGGGGTTGAGGAGAGAAATGAGAAAGAGAGATAACAGTTTATTTTGGTTTGAATCAGAGTATTGGATTTTAGAAAGGTCTGATTGAGCTGCTGAGATGGATGCAGAGAACGGGGGGAATTTAAAGCAAAACAGCTTGTCCATGAAGCAACATTTGTACCAATTTCTCGTAGCTGACATCAGAGGAGAGATTTTTTTTAAATGCAGCAATTTTTTTCTCCATTTCTATTTATTTTCCTCATATTTGTTGGCACTCAGATCCACAAAACATGGTTCTGCATTTCTTGCTCTTGCATTAAACCAGATTGACAAATGTGATGTTACAGACCTCAGTGCCTTTTTTTTCTTCTTCTTTTGATATCTGGAATATAGCCAACTGAAACACATGGCCGATACGGTAGCTGAGTTTTTGTAAGCAGAATGATGTTGTTAGTTCTTAGTTTTGATGTCATATTTATGTTTGGGTAATTATATTATGTACAGAATAAGGGCTACAAGGAAGTTGATCTAATGGTTTTGTCATATTAGTCACTAAAATATATTAACAACAGATGGATCCACAGACATTCATGGTCCCCCGAGGATGAATCCTAGTGACTTTGGTGATCCCCTTGACTTTTCCTGTAGCACCAGGATGAGGCTGACATTCATGCTTTGGACATGATGACGCCACTAAACTGGCGACCCATATGCTTGCTCCAAAAACGGACTTCTGGAGCATTTGATGCAAGTTAAATTTCCTTGTGAACATACAGTCAAGTGTTATCTTATGTTATCTTATCTTATCTGAATGACTACTTGAGGGATTGCCATACAATGTGGAAAAGACATTCATGCCCCCTTGAGGATAAATTATAATAATTCTGGTCACAAATCTAACTTATCCGTTATTTATGACCAAATACCTAATGACATTGTGTTTGGTGCTAATTAGCACATTTTAGCATGATAATAGCTGGTGAACATGGTAAACATTGTACTTGCTAAACATTAGCATGTTACCATTGTTATTGTGAGCATGTCAGCATGCTGATGTTAGAATTGAGTACAGTAAAGCACTAACATGGCTGCAGACTTTTTTTTATCTTGTTGAATTTTGGCTTATAGTCCATTGTGCAATTTCTGCATCAAATTGGGTCACTCTTGTGTTAGTCCAGAAAAAACATATATTTGGTAATTCTACAGAAGTCAAAGTCAAGAGCATTTTAAGTATTTAACTATGTGTGTGCGTATGTGCGTGTTTATCTTCAGGTATGTGATCAGCACACTGGAGCTGATGGTGGCAGAGGACTACATGATCGTGTACCTGAACGGAGCCACACCCCACAGAAGAATGCCTGGCCTTGGCTGGCTGAAGAAATGCTATCAGATGATTGACAGAAGGTTTGTTCCGTTCACTTACACCTGTTGTGTGATAACACTGTTATTTGGTGATTTTGTGAGAGACAACAGTAGCATTGCATGACTCAAAACATTTGAATGAATGTGAAAATGAGCTACAACATGAGACATAAACTTGCCTAATGTGATATCTTGTGTTGTGTTTAGGCTCAGGAAGAATTTGAAATCCTTCATTATTCTCCATCCATCATGGTTTATCAGGACCGTTCTCGCTATTACCAAGCCCTTCATCAGGTAAGAATGATCCCATTTTATTTGCCATGCAAGCAATTACGCACTAGTTCCTAGACATCTTAATGACGTTGATCCCCCCGGGTTTTCCTCCAGCACAGTTATGAGGTTGACATTTTTGGTTTTTAGTGAAATATTTGAACAACCATTGGATGGATTACCATAAAATTTGGTTCAGAAATTCACATTCCCCCTCAAGATGAATTTTAATAACTTTGGTGATCCTGTGACTTTTCCTCTGCGGCATCATCAATTTTATCTGCTTCAGCTGTACTTTGTGTTTGTGTTTAATTGGCAAATGTTAGTATAATAACGCGCTAAACTAAGCATTATATCTGCTGCACATCAGCGTATCAGCATTGTCACTGTCACTATCTTAGCATGCTGACGTTAGCATTCTGCTCAAAGCATTGCTGTGGCCTCACAGAGCCGCTAGCATGGCTGTAAACTCTTAGTCTTGTTTACATGTACCTTGGTCTACTGTAGCAAATTTAAACTAGTGTAGTTTCACTTCTGAAAGAAAACCAGTCTATGATTTTGTTCCCCTGATGCCAAGCCAGTTACTTTCACTGTGCTGTCACTTGTACCTGTTTTAATGTGTTTGTGTGTTTGTGTTTGTGTTTGTGTGTGTGTGTGTGTGTGTACATGTTGCTCTTGTCACAGCACCAAGTTCAGCAGTAAGATTAAGTATGTGACCAGTTTGGACGAGCTGCAGGAACTCATCCCCATGGACTGCATCCAGATCCCAGAGTGCATCATTAGGTGAGTCCCTCGAAGCCGCCAAACGATGCACCACCCCCTCCTCCCTCCCCCAAGTCTGAGTTGTCTTTTTAAATGACTTTATATTCATCTTGTCATTTGAACTCTCACCTCTAGACTTGACAAGGAACTGAAGGAAGCAGCAGAGAACTCAAAGTAAGCATCGACTCTCCTGCCTCTCATTACTTCCCTCTGCGGAGGCAGTGGCCCCTGCCTCAGTTTTATCCTTGGCTGGAGTGCTCATTTATCAGATGGCTCACTTTTAGATCACAGGGACTCTTCTGCTGGATGAGGACCAATTGGATTTGGCTAGGGTTGCAATTACAGGAAGGAGACAGAAAAAAAAGTTGCTAAAGATGCTAAATGCATCTCTTTATCTCATTTATCATTACAGGAAAATAAATGAGCCAGTCCTTATTACCGAGTGATCTATTACACTGATAATAAATGCAGGAATGAAACTGTAGAATTCACACACTTTAAATCTGTCTGACTAATTGTGTCAGAGTTGCATGTGTCTTCAAATCTACAAAATACCAGCATGTTACAACAATACATTCTCCTCTAACAACCACTCCACTTTATTCTTTCGTTCAAGAATGAATAGTTTTCTGTATGGACCGGAGCCAACAGCAGCAGGCAGAACAGAGTAAGTCCTCTTAGATGTTTAAGTTCACACATGGAAGAGAAACGGCCTTGTGTCAGCAGTCTGTCACCCATACATAAACATACGCATCTTTAAAGTCTGCTTTGTTCTTTCGCCTTTCTAGCAGACCAGACGAAGCCAGTGCCAGCAGCTCTTAAACCCAAACATCCTAAAGGGACGGGTCACCTCAATGTTCAGAAGTCACTGTTGTATTTTATGAGTGAAGCTGGAAAACAAAGGCAAAGGCTTGTTAAGCTAGTGTGTGCGTGTGTGTGTGTGTGTGTGTGTGTGTTTTTTTGTGTGTATGTGTGTGTGTATGTGTGTGTGTGTGTGTGTCAGTGTTTGTCAATTAGACACTGGGGTTTAATATGAAAACACAACTTATAATAGTACCTGTTAACACTCAGAGTTAGACCTCATTCTTTATGGCTGCTGTAGCATCTACTGTACCTTAAACCTGCAATCCAGAGAGCTATATAGTCAAGTGTGATGCTTCGCAGCACTTACAGAGTAGCATCATTGTTCACGGTAGGGTAGGAAATGCAATTACACACCAGACAGTGCACTGCGCAAATCCATTTGTAGAGTCTATAGTGTTGTAGTTGTGTGCATGAGAAGCAGTGAAGCAATAATATCACCCTTTACTGGTCACACACTCTCAGTATTTCAGATAAAGAAGCACCGTGTGTGTCAGCAATCTACAATAAAAGCACATGGTTTTAGCCAAAAAATCCTTGTGCCATAGATGATGACCAACTATTGCATTTAAGCAACCCAATCCTCTGTCTTAACACTTGTTCTAACTAGAAAATAAATCTACAAATAAATATTCTAACTTTATAGTCTATCTGAAACCAAGGAGGAATTAGTTAAATATGAAATCAAGTTATCAGTGCAATGTGAGAGCATGTCTTTTTAGCTCTGCAAATATCTGTGTCTGTGTGTGTTTTCAGTCTGTTTCTGTCAAATACAAAAAGGTAAACCGGGAATCATCCTTATCTTCTCCTGCATCATCAGGAAGAAACCTCAGAAGAAAATAAAGTTGGGATTTATGTAAAGCACAAAATCTTCTCTTTGTTTGTGTGTGTGGACACGCATGCATGTGTTTGTGCATCAGTGCATGTCCCTTCATAGATAACCGATAGTCCTCTTACACGTGCGTCTTCTACTGTGGTGTATTGAGGATGTGCAAAGCAATTATGGATCACTGTCTAGTAATTCAATAAAATGGACTAAAGTCTGAACGTTGTTTTCAGTCATCGTTTTCAACCATGTCTGATTCGTTCGTTGGACTTTAATTGCTTTGCTGCTGAATGACTGAAATCAGTCAGTTTCCACACTGCAAAGTCATGAATTACTCTTTTCTGATGCATTTTTTTCAAGACTTTATTTACACAGAATAACAACACATTTTCAAATTAAATTCAATGACAGCAAACACTGGGGGATATAGAAAAGCAAAAGAAATACCGTGATTAATCAAATTTAAAATGCTAATTCAACACCACAACAATTTAAAAGATGAATAATATGATTAATGAAACTGTCAAAACTGGTAAATGCCCATAATAAATTATCTTATATATGCGGGAAGTCGACATACTCCAAACCAAGTCTAGAAATCAAGCTTAATTACGTAAAAAGTCTTTAAGAATGCTAAACAACATGGAATTTTTTCTGCCGCACATTATATTTTGTGAATGGATAGCGGTTGTAAAATGCAGCTCATTATAAATAGATTCTCATGTCTCATTCGGTTCAACTCATATTCAGTGGAGGATAAATGGGTCTGTCCCCCAGGGCAGGAGGAGATAAACAGCACAGAGGGAGGGATAAGAGAGAAAAAGAGGAGAAATGTTTCTTTAGAGAGATTCTTTTGCTTCACCGGAACGTGTAGCTCTCATCGTCATACTCCAACTCGTCCTCGTTGTCCTCTCCCAGCTGTCCGTACCGGAACTTCCTGTACACGGTACCATCCTGGCCCATGTAAACAATGTCCTCATCTTCATCATCATCATCATCATCATCGTCGTCCTTACTCCCTAAGCGACGTTCCCCCATGTCAACCAACTGAGTCTCCTGGAACCGACCGCCGGAGGAGCTGGCGCGGCCACTATTGGAGGCAGAGCTGTAGCCGCCGTGCCTGCTGCCACCTCCGAATCCTCCACCAGAGCCCAGCTTCTCATAGCCGCGGGGAGTGATGTCCGGGGGCGCACTCTTGGAGCGGGAGTGTCTAACGAGGAAGAAGACGGCCACCAGTCCCAGTACCAACAGGATGGAGGCGATGATGAAGACTGCCAGGTTACCTCTGGACTCATCTTCCTCCTCGTTCCTGAACGCCAAGTTGGTGCTGAGGACACACTCTCCTAGAAATCCCACAAAGACCGGATGTTTAGACACAGATACATAAACATACACCAATACATTTCGTGCTTCAAGCTCTGTTTTTCTGTTGTCTACAAGAGTTCAATTTCCCCCATTTTACAGTTTTAGTTTGATTTACTCACTAAGATCCAGATGAGAATAAAGGAGCTGACATTGACACTTACACTCACAGTCATAAGCTTAATAAGCATCAGCAAGTGATTTTCAGACATGGGTTTTGCCTCTCAAGCTACATACAGCCCTATCTTATTGCTGTCTGTATGCCAGCTGAGAGGAAAGGCTTGCCACTATATCTGTTGTATCTTGTTTTTTGGTTTTAAAAAAGAAATCTACATTATAATTTACAGTTCTCCTAAAAAGATCAATATAGGTTAAGAACACTGATCATTGCAATAAAGATGCAAATACAAAATTATTAAGTATCATCAGGTCTCTATTAAGGACTCTAAACTTCATTTTAAAGCCACTGAAAGTAGTTCTCTAAAACATTAAATATTAATGACAACAATCAATCAAACTTAAAAAGACAAATTAAGGTTTATGTTTATTTAATAAGAGTTTAAAAAACAAGAACTTTATCTCCTTCATCAGGACTGTGTGGGTCAGATTTGATTGACAGTGGCCTGTCAACCCACCAACTGTTATCACATTTTGATGCCAAATTCTGATTGGTGCACAGAACTATGTGAGTCCCGCCCACTTCAAACCAGTAAGGAGAGCACAGAGAAAAAATTTATTTAGAAATTTTAATGTGAAATAACCCAAACTGTTCCAACTTTGAAAGAAGATTGTGTGTTCTTGTAGGACCACATTGCTTAGAGCAAGAATTATTGCATTTATGAGTATTAAAAATAATCAACAGATGAATCAGTAATGAAAGAGTTATTAGTTGCAGCCCTAGTATTTTTACTTTACAAGGGATACAATCAACAATATCTCATATCTTTGACTTTTTATCTCCTAATTTTGACATAACATGAACATTTATTTTATATATATTATCAAGGCGCTTATTTTTTTTTACTTGCGAAAATGAGCTTCCATACATGTACCTCTCTATTCTCCTCCATTTCCTGCATTTCTTTCAACAAGCAACACCAACCTACAGCCCACCTCGAGTCTCAGTGCAGTTACAACAGTCCTGCTGCTGCGTCGTGGCCTCGTCTTCCTCCTCCTCATGGCGGCAACAAAGCAGACAGCGCCCTCCAGCTTCTAAGATGGCCTGAGTAGGACACATGGTGCAGTTGGCTGGACCAGACCCCCGACATTCGAGACAGGAGCTGTCGCAGTCCTCACAAGCGTGGCCTGAACCCTGATGAGTGGCAGGAGAAAGGACTGACATTGAAAAGACTTATATTGATGGACACACAGCTACAGGATGAATTTTACATCACAACCATTGATTCTTTGCTTCTAAAGATATGCAAAACTTTCATTTCTAAAAGGACTGAATATAACTGAGGCACTGCCTTTGAGCCTAATCAATTAATATGCATCTACCTGCCAGACAATTTCAGTAAGTTGCCTCACAGCATGAGCCAGGAGATTTATTTTGAAATCGTGACACAGTAATAATTTTCACTCTGCTGTTTCTCCAGATTTCTCCTGGTGCAGTAATAAGTCAGTCTGAATTGCATTATATGATACCTGGGGCCAAAACATTAGTAATAATTATTTTTTGGTGAAGCAAGGCCAGGGTAAGGATTTTTGTTTAATGTTTTTATAAAAAGTTAATATTTGTGAAATTAAAAGCTAAAAAAAAGTGTGGTTACCTTTATTACAGGATACTGGCCTGTGTCGCACATGGACTCACACACGCCATCTGAGAGCAGGTATCCAGGGTAGCAGGAGTCACAGGACTGGGAGTTTTTTCCTGCAGATACATAACAACATAAAGGGAAACTCTGGTGATATTCTATACGTCTCTTATTGTCCAACAATACTATTAAAATATTAAAACTAACAATCAATTGATGCTACTAACAAGTATTGTCTTTGTAGCCAACGCCTAATATTTATGAACCACACCATTGCACCTGGTGAGATGTTCATACATGAACATGAATGCTGTGGGTTTTTTTTTTTTTTTTCAGTTCAGTTTTTCAGTTCACTAAATCCAGAACTGAAACTAGTCTCTAACAAATTTACTCTTGTTTCACATGGGCATCTGGCTAGGGAAGTCACAAAGTATTGAGCGGTGGACTAACACATTGTTGGTTTTGGTCTTGGGACAAAACTGAGAATATCACCAGCCTTGTTCCTGAACTTTAGATTAGATAAATCGTTTGTAATTGTTCACATTATTCTTTTAAGAACTGATATAAATAAGAGTTAAATTGAATACTTTTTAAGACCATCATGAATGCAATTTAAGACTTATTTTATGTCCATACTTGTGGAAAAAAGTTTGAAAGGCAAATTGTATTTACTAACATTGGTCTCACTTCCATGTCAGTTTTGGTTTATAGTTGTTATCAAAACCCAATCTTTCCGAAAAACCCATTTAAAAATAAGACTGAAAAATGCAACTTTGTATAAGTAACCTTACTTACTATATTAATACAATCAATTTTAAGACCTGTCAATAATCACATTTAGGTCCAGTGTGTAACATTTAGGAGGATCTATTGGCAGAAATGGAATATAACATTCATTGTTTTTTTTTCATTAGAGTATAATCACCTGAATATAGAAGTTGTTATGTTTTGGCTCTAGAGCGAGGTTTTCCGAGTTGTAATCGGAAACGTCACCACGTGATGCCACTAAATCCTACCTGCTGGACCTTTATGACACTTAGATATTTTAAGGCCTAAAATTCACATTGTTTTAGTCTTCTTAGGACCCTGCGGACACTCTGATATAACAGTGCTATGATCAATATACAGCTCAGTCCACCACTTTCACATCTGCAGTCCGTGGGGAAAACAGCACCATCAATATCTCATCACCTACATGTGATCTGTGTGTGTGTTTATCTGCATGACACTAAATTACTGCTGAGTGGACGCTCTTACCTGAGCATGTTCTGCAGCTGGTGTGGCAGGGCTCGCAGGTCCTATGTGCAGCGTCGTGGTAGTATCCCTGAGGGCACGAGGGGAGGCAACGGCCTTCTTTCCGCAGGTAGATGAGACCCGGAGCGCAGCTCAGGCAGCCGTCCTCCCCGCCCCCGATACACTCACCGCAACTTGGGTCACACTTCTCACACATCCTTGAGCCTGTGTTTCCATAGTGACTATCGGATGGATGGCAAGAAAGTTATGATAGATTAGATTCAATTAAATCGGATGAGATTAGAGTTTTGTTTGTCCTCAAAGGAAATTCCTTTCCACAGCCACTCAGTCACATACAGCTATAAACAACAGTAACTACTCAGACACGACATAGATAAGACACCATGACAGAGGGGATGCAGTCATAAAAAAACATTTCAAACAGAAACAGGTTCAGCATTATAAAGCAATATTTTCTTTCTTGCTATATGCTGCACAGGCCTGAAAGTATGTAGGGTGAAACGTCACAGAATTAAATAGCCTTTGTATCACTTTTGTGTTTTCTCTTGAGTATTTAACTGCACATCAATTTAACGGCACATTAATTTAACTCTCTCAATCACTGCACCCCAAATAAAATCAAGCCTAATTAGCATTTTACAGGCCACATGAATGACTATTTAAATCTCAGGCTAAATTAGCTTCTATCTCCAAACTGCCCCCCTGTCCAGCTAACTAAAGGAAAGCAATGGGTTTAGTGTCCAGAATGACATTATGTGACTAGGCCGATCTTTTATTAATGACAAAACCGTGTGACCGCACTTAATGTGATGGATGAGCGGCACAGCTGGATGGTGAGCAGGTTAAAC